CGCCCGTGCCGCGGGTGTAACTTCTTGGACCGGGACGCATTTTCCCGCCGGTTTTGGGCGGGCTTGCTTTAGGGGTCCCGACTGGCTTTTTTTTTTGCATCTCCCTGCCAAATAATCGCGCCCGTGCCGCCGGTGTAACTTTTTGGACCGGGGCGCATTTTCCCGCTGGCTTCGGGCGGGCTTGCTTTAGGGGTCCCGACTGGTTTTTTTTTTTGCATCTCCCCGCCAAATAATCGCGCCCGTGCCGCCGGTGTAACTTTTTGAACCGGGGCGCATGTTCCCGCCGGTTTTGGGCGGGCTTGCTTTAGGGGGCCCGACTGGCTTTTTTTTTGCATCTTCCCGCCAAAAAATCGCGCCCGTGCCGCCGGTGTAACTTTTTGTGGACCGGGGCGCATTTTCCCGCCGGTTTTGGGCGGGCTTGCTTTAGGGGGCCCGACTGGTTTTTTTTTTGCATCTCCCCGCCAAAAAATCGCGCTCGTGCCGCCGGGGTAACTTTTTGTGGACCAGGGCGCATTTTCCCGCCGGTTTTGGGCGGGCTTGCTTTAGGGGCCCCGACAGGCTTTTTTTGCATTTTCCCGCCGAAAAATCGCACCCGTGCCGCCGGTGTAACTTTTTGGGGACCGGGGCGCATTTCCCCGCCCGCCGGCTTTGGGCGGGTCTCTCTGCTAGGATCTAAAGACGGCGCCTCCAGTGCGCCGTCGTTCTTGTTTCCGACCGGGCTCGGATGGCGCTGGCGCCGCGGCCTTCTCTGCGGCCTTTACGTTTGCTAGCGCAGTGTCGGGTTACCTAATGCGAAGCGTTTTTCCGGCAGAGAGGGGAGCGCTGTTTGTCGAATGCTTGCGCAACTGTCAAAGAGCAGGCCCGTTCATCTATCATCTTCATGAGCGTCCGTGCCAACTCTACTGCACCGACTGCTAATAGTGTTGTTGAAAACTACTGGAGTTGGCGAGAGTCTCTCTGTGGGTTGGTGCGTTCTTCAACTTGTAAGAAAAAGCACCTGCTGCTCGATGGAAAATGGCACATGGCACCACTAGATGCACTGCAAATATGTCTGGGCCTGGAAACAGGTGAACTTGTGATGCGAATTCTGGAGAGCGGAGTTCTATTTTGCATGAGCGCCAATACATAGTTGCCCACTTCTTACGATACTCATCTGGGATAGGCACTGGAAAGCATGCGCAAAATATGTGATGCCTTTGTCCGCATTCCAGGGCGCACATGCCGGCAAAAAGATGCATGATAAGCAGTCGCGTTCTTCCAGGCCCACACGTATTTGCATTTGATATATTGAGCTGCAGGAGAATACCAGCCAAAGTTTTTGGACAAAAGAGCGACCCTGCATTTCTAGGAGCGACGTGCGCCTCCCACCCGAGAATCCCACGCAACCCGACAAAGAGCAACAGATATAATTCATAGCCCACTTTGTAGATTAAGATTTGAGCACTGGTTCTGGGCCGAGTGGTGGCTCTTCTGCGTGGAAGTTGTGCGAGTGGGGTCAAAAGCTGAGAGGAAGCCGCGATTAGAGAGAAAGCGCAGCGCAGCAACGCAGCGTGGCTCCCGATTTTGATCTGTCTACGCGGGATTATGCGATCACGCAGCAGGTGCAGGTCGGAACTTGAGCATGCGAAGCATCTGTATAGATTACTTATACATAGAACGCGCATGGATGGTTAGAGAGCTCAAGCATGGGCCTTTCTCGTGTCACCCAGCTGCGCCTCCACTTGTTTCCGGTTGCAGGATCGCCGTCAGGAAGCGTTCCCACATCGTGCGGCCCGTGGCGGTAAGCGGGCGCCCCGCCGCGGCAAGGTTAGGGCGACGCCATGCGCCCCTCACGGAGCAACTCGCCGCGGCCGCCTACATTCTCAACGTCAATCGAAGAGGAATGCGCCGCGACTGGAAACCCGCCACCTTGGCTCTTTGGCAGGTACGGGGGGGCTGCGATCGGGATAGCCAGCCGCCGCCTATTTCGCACGGGCCCCCCGCCGCCCCGATGCTTCGCGCGGCGCCCCCCGCGCCGGCCCGCGCCGGGCGCTGCGCCTTTCTAACTGCTGCGCGCGCGCCTTGGTTGTGTTGCCAAGCCGGCGGCGCCGCCGTTTCACCCCGGGCCGGCCAGCATCGCCGCGCCCTTCTGCGCAGGCCGGCTCTTGTTTTCGGCCCGCGGGCCTCTTTGCTCCGTGCCCCGCACGCCGGGCACCGCGGCCGCTAGCTGCCCCGGTGGGTCGTGCGGCCGGCGCCGGCCCGCTTTGGCGGCGCCTGCAGCGGTGCCGGAGGCCTGTATTCTCTAGCGGAGGCTTCCGAGAAGTGTCTTTTCTCTGTGTGTCGCGTTACAATCACTGCTTCGAAGGCCTCGTGTGTGCGAAAATTGCTGAGGTGCGTGTGTTCGTCAGGAGGTTCCGACCTCAATGATGGCCGTGTATGCCTCTGAGAGGCCGTTGCCCGGGCACACATTAGGTGGAAGCCTGGTTTGGGCTGAGTGCGTGCTGCTTAGTTGGTATTTTTCGATTTGCAAAGGTCGAGAAGCAATCCAACTGTCGGAAGAAGACGGCCTTCCTGCGGGCTGGTCTGCTACCCCTGTCTTCATTCTTGGCAGAGCGCGCGCTGGGTCTTTTGCTGGGCCTGCTCCTTACACGCCGGCGAGTAGCAGTCTTACTTTTTGAGAAGGATTTGCGAAGAGAAAGAGGGGGCTGAGATATGGCGACCAACACACCGAGCGAGCAGGGCCTCCGTCCTTTGTTATCTTTTCTGAGCGCGGGGCTTTACGAGTGAAGACAGAAGAGGAGGATGGAGACTAAACAGGAATTGAGAAAAGCCCAGCTTGCGTGTGGCGTCTCAGTTGTATCACTCTGAGACAAGGGAAGATAGCGCGACGAGGGACAGATGAGGGGCACAAGTCCGCCTGCGCAATTTGTAAGCGAGAGGGGATGCATGCTTAGAGCCTGCTGCCGCTGCAGAAAGAAGCGCCTGCGTACAGTAGTGTTAGTTTAGGTGCTTATTTAGCTTGAGCATCATGTCGCGGCGCGTCGTCAAGTTCGAGGACGACTTCGATAGGCCACAAGATCAGTCTGCCATACCCTGACGAGTTCGGCGCCGCGGCCGCGGTTGTCCTGCTGGAGTACGGGCCCGTTTCCTGCTGCCTGTCCTGTCCGAACTGCCGCGAGTAAGTACGGTGTGAGCGAGCGGCGGCCGGGTTTGATCATACAGGCGCCCAAGGCCGAGAAAGAAGTGACCGCCGCGCGATAAGGGAGGCCTGCAACCTCTGCGCGGGAGTTGTTTGGTCGGGCCGGCGTCTTGCGAGTTGCTGGACCCCGAGTTCTGCAGCGCGCTATGCATTGCAGCCCTGTGCCCAGGGTCAGGGAAATTCCGGAGACATTTCGTGCTTGGCATGGTGGGCGGGAACAGTCTAAGAGGGTCGCGTCCCAGTACCAGATACAGTGACTCTTTCTCTGGAATACGCAGTGAGTTTGTTATGCGGAAGGTTCCTTGCAGCAGCTCCTCCGCCGGCTTGTCTTGGTTTGGTGTGGCTTGCCTGTTGACACCTCGCTCAGCCAGCTGCTGTGCATGATTGGCAGTTGCGGTCAGTTTCACCGGGGACGCACTTGACTAGTATCTACAGTTTTCCTGACCCTGACGTATTTGCACCGGATAAACTTCGTTGTGCCGAAACCTCGATAACGGGTCGGAGGAGGAGTTTGAGTTCGCGCTTGCCAGCGTGATTTCGAGGATCAACGCTGCCCACCCATACGCCGGACGCTTCCGGTATAAGGAGGCCTCCCCGTCCGAGGTACAGAGAATGACTGATATGGAGAATGATGAGAAACTATCGCGCTCCTTCGTGGACATGGACGATTCATGAGCTTACCACTCGGCGGCTGTCTCCGTCCCACAAAAGAATGAACATACTGACTTTCTCAAACAAAAACGAAAGGTTTTCGAGGACGCGGAGGCACTTCTGCGGGTAGCTTGCGTGGACGGGAACAAGTCGCCCCGCAAAGGGGGGACTGAGGGCGTTCCGGTGTTGTCTTCCCACGTCCCGTGGGCGGCGGAGGTACTTACTGTCTTTGTTGAGGCGCGCCTGGCACTTCCACTGAAAGATGCAGAGACGGATTAGAATTTCGCTTCTTTGCATGAGATGATACACGGCGCGTGATCAGTATGCACGTACAGTTACAACAAGGATACGCTTATACAAAATACACATCGGTATGTTCACATTAATACCATCAGCGACGGGACGCCGGGTTCTGGAACGAACTGCTGCGCAAGTGGGTAAAGACGGCGAAGCATCAAGGTGCGAACCTCGACCGCTACGAGAACGCCCCTGCGGCGAGGGAGCACTACGGCGTGGCGCCTATGCTCTTAGAGCGCGCCCAGTTGAAGAAAGCCGGCCGGGCGCATTCGATCGCTGCCCAGGGTTTTCTGCCGTCGATATTGGCAGCCCCAGGCCGCCCGCCCTGACGCAGCCAAGCCGCTGGCTGCGCCGTTCCCTCCGGCCCGAGAAGCATCGGGGCGCCCCTCGTGCGCGCCGACCTTGTTTTCCGGGCGGGCCTCCAGCTTCGTCGCCCCCCTCCGGCTCTGGGTAGCCGTAGCGCTGCGTGCGTTGCCCGGCGCTTGCTTTTCTTGTGGCGCCTTGAGCTAGGCCAGGGGCCTGTGCCTAGGGGGCCCTATATTGCCGGTTCGACGAGGTGGCGGGGTGTCGCAATGCGCGTCGCGCTACAGGCAATGAATGGCGCGAAGCCGTCGCCCTCGCGTCTCTGGATGGTTCGTGCGTTCGTCCGTTCATTGATAGGCCCCTGTCGTAATCATGACGGCGCCTTCGTCTGAAAGGCGCGGCAAATATTGTCGTCGAAAGCTGAAGTGCGCGAGGTTGTGTGGCGCGTTCAAATTGCGGTCAGTAGTTCGCAGAGAATTGTCTCCGAAGTGGCTGCTTTCGCCAACAGAGCGATATTTTACTTTTTGGCTTATATATTCCATACATACTATTTTGTCCGCCGGCAACTTGCAGACCGTATGAACAAATACGTTCTTCAAGTTACAAAAGCATATGGCCGGTGGACTCAGAAGAGCGTCAGTATTGAGCTTGAACAGAATGAATAAGAGCCGAAGTTTTTGCGTTTGCACGAAAGAGCGATCCGTCATCTGTTTTTGGGAGCGAGAGAGAGAGTCAGGCCATATTTTTACAGAGCGGAGGGCTTCCTTGCAAGATTGCCCACATACCCCTGTGATGTGTCGCGGAAGTGAATCAATTTCCCGCGGCACTAAACTCATTAGCACACAAGCTCGCCTTGCAAGTTCCCCGGCGAGGCTACCTTGCTACTCGCGCAACAAGATGGCACTGCGTTCGAACGAGGACGGACAGGAGGCGCGCGCCGCACATTGCCGCGCCGACGTTTATGGCCGGCCGGGCGAGGGCAATCAGCGACGCGGGCCGACCGAGGCGCGCCAAGCGGCCGGCGCTGCGCCCATCAATCTGCAGCAAGAAGAGCCAAACACTCGCGCTGAAGTTGGACACCCGCGCGGAAGTTTCAAGGACGTTCGGTAGTACAGCTTTGCGCTCTTACCTTCATCCTTTCTTGACGCTATCGTCCTATCTGCGTGCAAAAGGTATTAAAGACCCGCTGGGCTAAATGTGAACTCAGTCTAGCCACGACACCAAAAAAAAACTAAACACAGGCTCCGCACGGTGGGAAACAGCTGGAACTTCCCCGCTGGACATGATGTCGACCCCATCGTAGTGGTCACGAGCAAAACCGGCCAGGAAGAGACGGACGACCTGCGACACTCACGGGTGCGCGGCGGCTCCATCGTGCTGCGACAGGAGGGGCGCGCCCCCGGCCCCCTCGTGAGACGAGGCACTGCGCCGCGCAGCCCCCGCCCCGCGCGTTGCCCTCCAGAGAAAAACCCCGACTCCGCGCGCGGGCCTCCAGTTGGCCCCGGCTGGCCGCTGGCGTTGGCCTTCATGACGCTCCGCAGGACCAATGCGAGGCCGGCCTGTGCCGCATAAAAATACAATTGATTGCGCGCGGCAGAAGTCGACGCTATTGCCGGAGCCAATCGCCGCTGGCGCCGCGGCCCTCTCGGCAGCCTGCGCAGCTTGGCTAGTAATTTTCCTGCCTTCTGGTTCTGCGATGGATCTTCTTTATGTTCTCTCCGGTGGAGTAGAGAATGTTCTTTGCCGGGTATTTGTTCATGATCCACCTGTTGTGTAAAAGAGCGGGCGTCATCCTTCTATTGCCATCTTCTTCACGGGCATCACTGTAACCTCTGAGTCAATATTGTTGTCGAGAACTGCTGAAGCTGACGAGAGTTCAAATTGTGCAGCGTAGTATTGCCGAAAACTGGAGTCGGCGAGAGTCTGTGGGGCATTCTTCAAAAAGCCAAAGCATGCCCTCGGAAAAGCGGCAGTATAAAGCTTGAGTCGAACAATATTAAGAAAACGAGCAACAGTGCAGAGCGTTTGCTTTTCCTTTTGGGCGAGAGACGTAGTTGTTTCTTGGAGTGAGAGAGAGCCGGGCGAGCTTCTGCAGAAAGGGAGAACGACTTTGCGAGGCTGTCCACTTCTTCCTGTGGTGCGTTGCCAAAGGGAATCAGTTTTCACACTAGAACCGTTGGGCCACAAGCTCGCTTTGTAAGTTCCCTGGCGCAGTTTGCTGGCACTTTTTGATCACCCGCGCAACAAGATGGCACTCCGCGGGCTCCGAGTGGCGTCAAAGGCGCGACGCGCCCACGCATGGAGGAGGCAGCCAACGCATGGGCATGGCCCGGGGGAGGACGGACAGAAGGCGCGCGCCGCCCTGCGCCGCGTCGGCGTTAACGGACGGGCCAGGGCAGTCGGCGACGTAGGCCGACCGCGGCCGCGCCAAGCGGCCGGCGTTCTGAGCGGTGCCGGCCTGACAAGGTCTCGGCCCCGGCTTCGCAAAGACCGAGGACGACTACAGGCCCCCGAACGAGAAAAAGGGCGGGCCGGGCCGTAGGCGAGGCCAAACGCAAGCGAACTTTATTCCGCTCTCCATGTTTTGCGAGCACTGCCACGCAGCCCCAAAATAAAGCAAGGGCTTCGGCGTGAGGCGCCACACCGCGCCCGACCTGGTTCGGCTGCCCCTGATCGATTCACGCGCCGTTCGGCGCGACAGGCAGGCCGCGCCGCCGGCCACCGGGCTGCGCGGAGACGGAAGAGCGGGCCGCCCGGCCCTGGCCCCGCACGTGGGGCCCCAGCATGGGCCCCGGCCCCTGGCGTGGGCCTTCAGCGATTGCGCCACCCCCCAAAGTGGGCCCTCCCCCAAATGCGCCCCTCAGGCGCGTCTGCGAGGCCGGCCGGGCAGCGGAACAAACATCATGGCGCACAGCCGTCGTTCTTGCAGGGGCGGGCCGATCCGCGTTGGCGCCGGCCGCGGTCTTGTCGGCGGCCTGTGCAGCTGGTTCAGTAATTATCTTGCCTTCTTTACAACTACGATGGGTTTTTTCCCGTTCTCTCCGGTGGAGTAGAGGATGTTCTTTGTCGGGTGTTTGTTCATGATCCATCTGTTGTGTAAAAGAGCGGGCGTCATCCTTACAATGCCATCTTCTTCATGAGCGTCATTGTAACCTCTGGCGAGCCAATTGCAAATATTGTTGTCGAGAACCGAAGTTGACGAGAGTTCAAATTGTGCAGCGGCCAAACATACAAGCCCGCAATGGTAAGGAAGTTCAAACGGACTCGCGGCCAAACTGTTTTAGAAGAGAGCATGGAAGTGCGCCGTGCCTGCTTTTCCTGTAACATTGCGCAGAACTACAGCATCTGAGCATAAACATCGCGCATTGATGGTGAATTCATACAACAAACCAAGATAAGTCAATGCACTCAACCAATGAAGAATTTTTCAACGCGAACGCGTGACGACCTCCGCGGCTACAAATAAGTAAACTACTAAATCCCTTTGTCGGCAGCTTAAGCTTATTCCAAAAAGAAAATGGACCCGGCGCTGGGGGATTTTCTCAATGCCTCAGGCTCGAGCGAGGAGGAGACGGCGTATGTGGGCAGCAACAAGCCAAAGTTATCCACTGCAAATATGTCTCGGTCAGGAAGAATGTTGCAGATTGTATTTGTCATGCAATGCTGCCAAGCCCCGCAAGGGCAAAGTTCAAGTTTGGGATCTAAGGGTCAGCATCACAAGTTCCGTAGAACCACAGAGGTGGTAATAAGTAATTCCTGCTGTTCTGTGTGGTCACAAAGCCTCTATATCAGCATGGCCGGAAATAATGAGCGTCTTTTGCAAGAGACTTCTGCGACCTGATTACCGGCGACACGACGCACCACAAGTTCGCTCCCTTCCTGACATGCGGGGATTGTATTTGCACTGGATAGAAGTCCGCGTCCAACGACCCCTATGCGTCCATCAGTCTCTCCACGTCGTCTATGCAAGAAAAAAACTGTGTATAGTTTAAGTTTGTGATGCAGAAAATGCAAAGCCGTTTTTTATAGATACTTGTCATGCTGGAACAAGTGGTGCGTCATAGCCACGCTTCCTACGCATTTTCACGTCCTAGCTGCGCATGACAGGCTTTTTCTCGAAGAAATTGCGCAAGAAAACGAGTTTGTGAAGATGCTTGTTACTCATCTTCCTACACAGTCACAGTATACAAAGTTTTTTTTTTGGGATATCGTCGTTGCGGCGTTCGGGCGGCGGTCTCAAGGCCAGATCACCGGGGACGCGTTCCAAGATGCAGGGAAGAAGTACTTTTACTTAACCTTACGCACAAAATCGAGGTTTTGATGTGTTTTATGCGTATGCCTCTGCAGCTATTTCCCAGAAAAGGAAACGGAAACAATGCTGCACACCAAATATGTAATGATTTGTCGGAATGATTCAACACCATTGATTTACTGTACGACCCCAAGGTTTTTGATTATTATTTCATTTCTCACGAAAAAAACAGGAACCAGTGGCGGGAAGCGCGTGAAGGGGCGGTTGGGGTCCAAGTCCGGCGTATGAACTGCAAAAATGTCTGGGTCTGGAAGAATGCATGTTTGTCATGCTTGTCTGGCATGACTCTTAGACCTGTCATGCACATTACCCAAGAGCCCAACTTTGCTGTCATGCAGAAATGTTGGAGTTTGTCATGCAGAATAGGCAACACCTAGAAGCTCAAAAGCTTGTCATGCTGAGCCAGCACTTGTGGCTTCTTTATGGTACGACACCCAGCATCACAAGTTTCCAGACCCAGACGTTTTTACAGTCCATACGGCGATGGGTCCCCGCTGGCGAACCTAACCCACAAGTTGCTCAAGCCGGCGAAGGCCGAAGACACGGCTAGCAGCGGGGACGAGGAGACCGAGGACGTGCCGGGTGCCGGCTCAGCAAAAGCCGCGAAGAAGGAGGACCAGTCCGAGGTTGCGGCTTCGGCAGCAAGCAACTCCATGTTCGCGGCCTACCAGCTATCGAGGAAAAAAACGTTGTTACTGTAAATTTGTGATGCGCAACATGCAAGATGATTGCGTCTGTCATTCTTGGTATGCATCGCAAGGTCCATTAAAGGACTTTTTCACGTTCTATCTGCGCATGTCAGGTTTTTGCTGCCATGCCAGACAAATTTGCAATGCTGTTTCTCCAAAAAAGTTACACCTACAATGTTTTTTTCTTGGATACCAGCAGGACCTGCTGAAGTCGCTGGCTGACAGCAAAGCGGAGATCGAGCGGGTGCGCAAGGAGGAGGAGGAGCGCGCACAGGAGGCCGAGCGCAGGAAGCAGGAGGAGGAGGCGAAGCGAAAAGCGGAGGAGGAACGACAGGCGGCGGAGCGGGAAAGGAAGAAGCTCGAAGAGGAAGCCGCCCGGGCGCGGCGCGAGAAGCAGCAACTAGAGCAAGAGGCCGAGGTACCGCAAGAAAAAAGCGCTACAGTTACACTTTGTGTTGCAGGAGCCGAAGGGCAGACAACCTTTGTCATGCAGGAAATGCTTGCGACCTTCGTTTCCTACGTATTTTCCCTCATGATCTTTGCATATACAAGATTTGTCTGCCACACAGAGGAAATTTGTGATGCAGAAACTGCAACAACTGGAACTGTGTAACTGTAACACTTTTTTCTGGTGATACGAGGCGCGCCGGCAGCGCGAAAAAGAAGAGGAGGACCGAAAGTTCTGGGAGTCCGCAGCGCAGCTCCGGGAAAGTATACCGGAGGTGGTGTTCGGGAAAGCCACGGTCGATGAGAAAGAAGAAGCGGTACAGCCAGAACAGCCTGCTGCCACTCTCTCGGGGGGACGAGAGGGAAGTCAAGCGAGCAAAGCGGAGGTGGGCCTCCCCGCGAGCGGAAATAGGGAGAACGCAGTCGAGGACGGGACAGACAATACACGACCTGTTTCGAGGACACTGGAAGCTTCATCCACGAACCCTGCGCCCGGAAAAATGAACGAAGATGCGGGTGGTGCAGCGGATGCTCCTGCAGCTAGTATTGCCGCCCTTGCTGCGGCAAGTCAGCAGGCGCAACAGCAAGCGTCGGTGAACTATTCGGAGGAAGAGTTCGTTCCGGAAGAGGAGTCGCAAGAGGAAAGCGAGCTGTTGCGCCGTTTGCAGGAGGCGGAAGAGCGGGAGCAGCGGCTGCTGGAGCAGGAGGAGCGGGAACGGGAGGAAGCCGCCGCGCGCAGGATATCAAGTGCAAAAATGTCTGGGTCTGCTGGAAGAATGCAAGTTTGTCATGCTTGTCTGGGATGACCGAAAAGTTTTTAATGCGTGTCCAAGAAGAGACCCGTTTCTCTGTCATGCAAAGACGCAGTTTGTCATGCGAAATACGCAACACAACGAAGCGCATGCTTGGCTGGGCATCACGATTACAGAGCATTCACTATTCCCAACGCAGCATTACAAGTTTCCAGACCCAGACATATTTGCAGTTGATACAGGAACCAGTACCACGAAACTTTGGACTCCATGTTCGCGCACTCGCCTCCGCCAGCGGAGGACAAGAACTCTCCGGACAAAATGACGGACGGACCGGCGAGCAGCGGCAAGAAGGTGGAAGAAAAAGCTGGAGATTATTATACTGCGGAAACTTCTACAATAGGTGCTGATAAGGACAAAGTAGATGGAGAAGTACCTTCTGCAACTACAGGGAATAACATTTTGAAACCCGGTGCTGGTTCATCATCATCATCATCATCAGCTGCCCCAAGTAGAACAAGAACATCGGCTGAGCAAAGAGCCGCCGGCCCAGCTGCAAGCGGAGTGGAGGAAATAAATGGTACAACTGCTCCTGCTGGAACTACTACTACTTCTTTTCAGGAACGATCTTCGGGAGTGCTGCAACAGGCTGCGATATCACAGGAAAAAAGTGTTACAGTCACACATTTGTTGGAGTTTCTGCAGCACAAAGTTGCTCGACATGGCATAGAAAACCTGTGATGCGCAGACTATAAGCGGAAACAGGAACAAAATGAGGCTGGCACGCATACCCTGCATGACAGAGGTTGTCTGTCTTGCTTGTCTTCCATCAGAGTGTGTAACTGTAAGACTTTTTTCTTCGGATATGCGAGCAGCAAACCAGGCTTCGGACTCGACCCCGGGACGTCGACCACCGCGGCAGCACCACCGTCGGTAGAAGACTATGCATTGCAAATATGTCTGGGTCTGGAAACTTGTGATGCTGAGAGGCGTAGCGTGAGGAGGCCACAAGTGCTGGCCTAGCATGACAAATTTCTGAGCTTCTAGGTGTTGCCTATCCTGCATGACAAACAGCGTTTCGGCATGACAGAAAAATGGGGCTCTTGGGTAACGTGCATGACAGGTCTAAGAGTCATGCCACACAAGCATGACAAACATGCATTCTTCCAGACCCAGACATTTTTGCATTTGATAAAGACCTGTTCGGCGCCAAAGTAGGAGTAGTCCCACCTCCTTCATCGTCGACGGCCAGCGGAGGTGCGGCGGGCCAGGTGCGAGACGGCGCTCCGAGTGGTGGTCGGCTGTTCGAGGCGGAACAAAGCCTGGACTCCTCCTCTCGTCTGCGGTCCCTGGAGCTGCAGGAGGCCGCCCTCGAGCAGCGCATCAAGGAGCGCGCCGCGGTGCTCGCGGAAATGGAATTCCAGGACCAGTTCGCGCCCCGAATGTCCTTGCCGGATAGCAACGCCGGGTTTGTGAACGCGAGCCTGACGTCCTCTCAGGTTGTCCGGGCCGCGTCCTCCAGCAGCCGCGGGCCCCCCTCATCCACCACTTCGACCGCGCGCACGACCGGTAAGGCGAAGACCGCCGGGGGGGCTCAGATGAATGGTGCGACGAGCAACAGCCGCCCGACGAGTACCACCACGCGCCACCGCTACGCGCCGCCGCCGGACAGCCAGAGTCAAAGCGTCCGTTCGTCCGCCCAGCAAACGAATTTCGTGCCCGGAAGCAGAGTGTTGCAGAGCATGGACATCATCTTTCCGTCAATATCCTTCGTGAAAATAACTAAACGTGGCCTGCGACGCCGCATAAGTACTAGAAGTACAACGGAATTTGGCATGCTTGCTAGAAACACCAACCGGGATTGATGGGCATGCTAGTGAACTCTACCAATCTGATTGCGATGTTGCACCTTCACTTGTTAAACCAGATTAGCACACAGCGGGGCCAAGCTTGTCATACGCAACCCGGAAAGCTTGTTGGTTTGTGTAAACCTAAATGTAAAGCAAAATTTCCGTCGTGAAGCCTCCGCGCTACCGCGGGCCCCGTTTTTCCTCAGGATCATCCACCGACAGATTTTTACGGGACTCCACCTCCACCACCCGCACGCAGCCGGGGTACTTATGTGTAGCTAGCCGCATGCCGTAGGACCTACTTCGGAAAATGATAGTGATTCATAGTTTTTTCAATTTTGCATGAAAATGATTCGGGAAAAACCTCCTCATCACATCTGCACTAAATACAGTCGCGGCCCTCAGACGGCGGAGCAGCAGCAGGAGCTGAACACCGCGTTCCAGCAGCTTTCCGAACTGCACCGCAAGGTGACCCAGCTGGAGGAGCTGATTTCGCAGCTTCGGGCCGGCAAGGCCAAGATGGAGGCCGAGGTGGCGGCGCTGGACGCCCGAAACGTGAAACTCCGGATGAAATTGCAGGGCCGGGAGGACTATGAACAGCAAAGGTACCGTACTAGTAGAAATCGCATGACAAATTCACTCAGAATGAGAAATAAAATTTGTAGTGCGGATTGAACTTGACAGAAAAATTTGTATTGCATAAACGCGATTTTTAGTAAAGTACGAGTACGATGCTTTTGCAGTGCATAAGGCCGAGTTCGACGAGCAGGTGCGCAACAACCGGGCGAACCTCGAAGAGGTGGAGCGGAAGCACCAACAGGAGCTGCAGTTCCAGCGCGAGGAGCTGCGGAACCTGCGCAAGGAGCTGGACTCCGAGCGCGCGGACAAGGTGAAACAGAACGTATGAAAGTGCACAACTCCCCTACTTCCCCCTCATTTGTCCTATCACATCATGAGCAGCAACACAAGCGCGGGCAGATAAGTGGCTTTCACATGACATCAAATCTGCACGCGGATGATTGTAGCTGTGTTTGAGGTTCCACAATTTGGCATGCAGGAGACAGTGCCTTTAGGAAGGATGTGGATTTGGCATTTTGCCTTTACAAATGAACGGCAGGTGGGGGATTTGTGCACTCTCATAGAGCGAGCTCTGGGAACAGAAGCGCGAGCTTCGCGACGAAGTGCACGAGGAGTGGGAGAGCCGCATGAAAAAAGTAGAGCAGAAATTTCTGGACTCGGAGCAGATGCGGAAACGACTCAACGTATTGTGAGGAGAAATCCCCCCTCCCCATATGGAAAACGAAATTTGTGTTGCTGTATTCGAGGACACAAATCGGCTTTATTGCTACAAGGCTAGGAAACGCAGTTCTTCCCTCGTGTGGAGGAAATTTGTGATGCTATTTCCCGTTTCCAGTTGCTCCCTGTCATGCTGAGGACGCACGGCGTTGTTCCTGCGCCAGCCAGCACTACAATCCGCATCCCTTCCCTCCTAGCATTATAACGGGATTTGTGACCACCACTTAGCATCACAAATTTCCATTTCGATATGGGGATGGAGGATTTTTCATTTTCATACAACGAGCAGAACGAGCGACTGCACGACGAGACCATGCGGATGGAGGAAGAGGTAGAGAAAGTGGAATTGTAATTAGTTCCGCTTTTTTGATGCATAAACTCCAAAAACAAAAAGATCTTCACCCATGATCATGATCAAAAACTACAATGCATAAAACTCAAAATCAAAATCGACCACCAACGTGTCGACTTTCCATCCTGCTTTCTACAGATCGCGCAGTTGCGGCGGCAGGTCAAGGACGCGAATGCGGCTTCCACGGGCAAGAAAGTCGCGGCGCTCGACCAAGAGAGAAAAGCTTTCTTCGCCAAGGACCGCGTAGACGAGGATCTTCACGCCGCAATGTTGCCAACAAGCCAGCAGTCCGCCGCACTGAATCTTAAAGGACCAGCACCGGGCGCTGCTTCAAGCGCCGACGCGGCTGGGCTAGGGGAAGGGGACGAGGAACAACCCGACTCGACATCCCAACCAGCTTCCGGTCGTCCGGGTGCGCAGCAGCAGGAAATCGGCGGGCCGGGGCTGCGGTTAAATCCGGACGAGAGCATGGTGGAAACCTTGATGAGGGGGTACGAAAAGGAGAACGAAAAGCTGGTGGTCGAGAACCGGGAGCTGCGCAAAATCACGAAGAACCGGGACACACAGCTGCAGCAGATCCGCGAGGCCCACGACAAGGAGATGCAGACGCTGCAGACCTCGCTGGGGGCCACCCGGGCGGAAAACGAACAGCTGCGGAGCGAGCGAGACTTGCTGGAGCAAGAACAGAAGTTGCGGGATCGGGAGTTGGCTGCGGCAGCTGCGTCGGGCGCTAGTGCAGGCGCGGGAGAGCAGATAGACGGGAAAGGAACATCATCGCCTTCTCCGAAGCAAGCGACCGGCGCACAAAAGCTGCTTTCCTCCCCCGCAGACCTCGCCGGGGCGCAGGAGTCGCCATTAGACAATTCCTCCGCGGCGGACAAGAGCCGGCACAAAAACAAAGGCTTTCAACAAAGAGCCGACGAGACGAATGATGCCTCCACCGCGACGCTGTTCCAACAGATGCAGCAGGAGGTAAACCGGCGGACCGCGCAGCTAGAGCGGGAAGTCCAGCACTTGACCACCCAGCTGGTGCAGGCGCAGCAGCAGGCGGCGGTGGCGGTGCAAGAGAAGAACCGGTTCCTGCGCAAGTCGCTGGACGAACACCCGTTCCAGGGGGAGAGTCTCGGCGTCACGCTGTACAACTCCACCGCGGGCGGGGCGGGTGGAACTTCTACGACATCGGCCGAAAAGGCGCTGAAAATGAACGAGCTGCTCGAGCAGGTGAAGGAGTGGAAGGAGAAGGCAGAGTCTTTCTCTGCGGAACTCCAAAACGCGCGCGAGGCCAAGAAGATGCTAGAGGGCGAGCTGGTCAAAAAACCGGCGCTGTCCGAGAAGGAAATGGGCGAGCAGAAAAAATTGTGGGAGGAAGCGACCGAGAAGAAGTGGCAAATCGAAAAGGACGAGATGCAGGCCAAGCTGCAGTGGTACATCGAGAGCCAGCTGAAGATGGACGAGGACCGGGCGAAGGCAAAGGCGCTGGAGGAGGAGAACCGGAGCCTGAAAAAGGACTCGCGGCAGCTCCGTCAGCGCCTGTTGACCGGGCGGAAGGCCGATGTACGCGAGAAGGAGCTTTTGAAACAAATCGAAGAATTGCAGGCCTTGGTGAAGAAGAAGCTGCCGCAGGACACCAGCATCCTGCACCTGCTCGCCGCCGTGGACACGGAAAAGGAAAAAGAGAACCGGAAGACTATCCTATGTAAAAACGTCCCCAGCACCCCATAGTCAAGATGGAGAATCGGCTAGACGAATCCACAAGCTTTACCTGTTTTGCATGACAAATTTGCACTCGCAGCGTAGTGCTCTTTGAGCTAGCGCAGCAGAATCACAGATCTAGTATATCATGCTGTTTGAAGCATGACAAATTCCACATCATTACTAGAAAGCGCTCTCATAGGGCTCCGCATGAGAAACATTTTCAGCATGCAGATTTGCATATACAACCATGGGTTGGGGGCATTTTTCAATACGATACAGACCCAGTCGGAGCGGGAACAGGGGCTGGAGGAGGAGAACGTGAGTTTGAAGCAGCAGCTAGAAGACAAGGAGGTGGATTTTGACCGGAGGTTGCGCGCGCTCCGGGCGCAGTACGACAAGCTCCAGTACGAAATGGAGTCCGCCAAGTACCGCGAACGCATGACCGGCGGGGCGGCGGGAGGATCAAGCTCCTCAGGAAGTAGTACCAGTGCGGCCGGGAGGATGAACATCAAAAGCGGGACCACTTCTGGTGCGTCGGGGCACACAGGTACTAACAGCAACGACCCCCACCAAGACGTCGCGCACGCGGAGCAGGTGTGGAAGGCTCGCATTAAGGACTTGGAGAAGCAGCTGGAGCACCAGAAAAGCTACTACCTCGGCAAGCTGCGCAGCAAGGACCCCCTGGTCCCGCAGTCCGCTCCGTTGCGGGCAAACGCGGCGCATTCTGGCGCGCCCGGGGCGAAGCGCGTGCTGGACCTGGAAGAAGCGCTGGCGCAGGCGGAGAGGCGGTTGCAGGAGGCGGAAGTGCGAAATCGGGACCTGGTTCTGCGGTTGAACAACGACGATAGCTACACAGCGACGCCAAGTAGGAAGAACAACAAACGTGGGTACAACTATGGTAACAACGCTATTTCGCCCTCTGCAATAAACATGGAAGTGGAGCAGGCTGAGGACGGTACTTCTGGAATGTTCTACGACAGGAGCTCCGCGACCGGAAGTAGAGAGCCCGCTCCACCACGACGAAGTGAAGGACAGGAGCAGTACACGAGTGCGCGAGGAAGCAGCTATCCGCCGAAAAAGGTTGTGTTCACGGAATTGGAAGATGGTTATCGCGAAGAGTTACAAGGTGGTATAACAAGAACTGCTGCGCAATCCCAATCGATCAAAGCCCGGGATTTTCTGCAGTTCACGCCGTCTCTGATGCGGAAATTTTTGGCCCAGCCGTTCGCGCTGTGCTTCGGAATCCTCGAGAAGGCCGCGAGCGACTTATTGGAGCAGAAGTCCTACCAGCCGCCCGGAACAACAGCCGCGAATGTAGAAGATGTTGCGGACCAGGAAATGCGGCGAAAGGCTGAGCAGTCGCAGCGCGTGCAGGACAAAAACCACCTGTTGGCGTTTGTGGATGCACTGCAGATCCGCAGGAAGCAAGCCGCGGATGCTGGGCCCTACCCCACGACGGAATTTCTTCAGCGCGTGCGGTATCAAATGTAAAAATGTCTGGGTCTGGAAGAGTCATGCTGTTTTTGCATGACGCAGAAGCTCTGGCATGGAAGCTCTAGCACCACAGGTTTCGAGAAGCTTCCGCAATGCCGAACCCGCATGAGAAGTCCCCCATTTTGGTGACAGAAAGTCGGCAGCTTTTGCTACCTATGCATGAGAGATTTTTCTGTGTTCTACAATGCGCATCACAAGTTCGGATCCTTCCAGACCCAGACATTTTTGCATTTCATATGCGGGTCGCGATCGAGAAGAACGATTTGCCGACTATCAAAAGGAAAAATCCCCTCTCCCCATATCGAAACGAAGTTTCTGATGCTGGATTTGCGTACACAAATCAGATTTGTCTTGCTGGAGAGGACTGCAGACCCATATCAGGCCTGAGCAGAGAGGCTTTGGCCTAGGCGCTTGGCATGAAAAACGCCCGCGCGGTAGTCCCAGCAGCATGACAAGCCGCCTGCATAATGCGGCGGAGCCTGTGGAGTTGCCTTCTGGCAAGCCAGACACGATTCGTGGCCACAAATCAGCAACACAAATCTTCGAATAAGACATTCCTTGTCAATATGGGGAGGGGGGATTTTTTCTCGCGATGCCGACCATCCGGTCGCTGCTGGACCAAGCGCTGTTGCAAAAGCTGTCCGTCGCAGAGAGCCTCTCGCCGGAGACCGAAGACACCTTTGGACGGCCACCAGCGATTATCAAATGCAAAGATGTCTCCTGGGTCTGGAAGGATGCAACTTGTAATGCTATTTTTGGATTCTAAACAAATTGCATGACAGGCAATAGGAGTCCAGTTTTTGGCACGTGGAGAGGGCATTTCTCATGCAGGATAGGCATCAAGAAGCACTCAGAAAATCTGTAATGCTAGGGCATACATCACAGCCGTCATGGGTCATGTCAGGTGTGCATGACAGATCTTCCGATGTTCGAGACCCAGTCATTTTTGCACTTGATAGAGATCGGCGAGCAAACGCTGGCGTTCGCGCTGTTCGCGGAGCGGTGGCGGGAAAACCGCTTCGTCGCAGAGGACTTCCCGATCTTGGAACAGGACCTTAAAGTGCACCACAGCCACCACGGCTTGAGCATCCCCTGGTTTGAGTTTCTCAAGAGCGTGCAGCGGTGCGGGCCCTGGGGCCCGGAGCTGAAGCAGCTGCAGGAGGACGCGGCACTGCTGTGTGTGCCCGGTGGGAAGGTGTTTTGGCCGGAGTTGCGCACTCTCCTGTTGCAAGGGGCGACGCCGCAGCTAGGTACTTATCAATTTTATTCGAGCTTTTTTGTTTTTGCAACTGACTTGTTGAGCTGCTCATTTGTACAAGCGTGTATTGTTCATCTGCAACCTAAGTCTAACAACTAACCCAGGCTCCTTCGCCAGTGTATTGCACCCGTTGCGGAAGCTCAAGGACAGCAACAATATGCATGGCAAATATGTCTTGGTCTGGAAGAATGCCGGGTTTGTGATGCTCGTCTGGCATAAGTAACTTTAAGCGTCAACTCAAACAACTCTGTGATGCTTAGGCGCGAAAAGATCCTCTTGCCTGTCATGCAAGAATGGAGCCTGCCATGCGGAATACGCATGACGCAGGAGCTCTCTCAAAAACCTGCAATGCTTGGTCACCTATTTTTGCAGTGAGCTCATTATTCGCAGGCTTGCATCACAAGGAAGTTGTTCTTTCCCGACCCAGATATAAGTATTTGCATGTGATGAACAAGTGGCAGGAACTGCTGGACGCCTTTCGGTTGAAGGATCCGAGCTGCTCCGGCACGGTGTCGCGGCAGGATTTTTTGGATATTTTCCAATCGAAGACCCTGAACGTCGCCCAGGAGGTCCTAACTCCGGTGGAGGTGGAAACCCTGACGCTGTTCTTCGGCCGGAGCAAGGGGCAGAAGGACGTCGAATGGCTTTTGTTGCTGCAAGACTTGCTGCAGCAGGGGAGCTCGGGCGAACAGATCTGGAGCAACTTCTTCAACTCCGTGCCTGGGGCGGGGGGACGAGGGACCACAGCTCCTGGTGACCACGGCGCGCCGAACAACAAAACCAGGCAAACTGGTTCTGAAATGATGAATTATGGTGCGCAACAAGATGGCCAAACGACTTCAAGTACTGTCATCGGCGGTCCTGCTACACAAGCTGACCTCGCGACCAAGACGGAGTTGACGCGAATGACGCTGCAGAACGCGGAGCTGGTGCGGCAGAAGGACCGGCTGCAGCAGGACGTGAAAGAGCTGCAGGACAAGAACGACTCGTTAGCGCAGCTGGTGGTGTCCACGAAAGACCAACAGTCGAGTTCCGTACCGCAGCAGTTCCGGCAGCTGGCCAGCACGGTGGCCCTGTTGGAGAAGCAGCTGCTGCAGAAGACGCAGGCGATGCAGCAAACCGCCAAGAAGAAGGAGATCACCCTGGAAACCGAGTTGGAGATCCAAAAACACGAAATCTTCGAGTTGAAAAAACTCCTGGGGCAGAAGGAGAACCAACTGGCCGTGCAGCGCGAGGAGGTGGATGCGATTGTGCGCCAAATGCGGGCCCTGAAACCCCCAACGAGTATGTCGGCGTTCACGGGATGATAAAGGGCCGAGAGAACTACTCGTGGGATGTTGTAAAGTAAGTACTAACGGCTCTTCTTTTTCTTCATCAAATTCAAAGAAGGCAGAAAAAATTGGAATAAAGAGAGACACGATGGCTCGTCCTGTACTCACATGATTTATGCTAAGAATTATACTTCGCACATTACTTGACGTTCTTGCAGCTCGAGGTTTGTTTGGTTTATTGATTATTTTGCAATGCAATTAAAGTTATCATCGTCGCTCTTGCTGCGGCTGGAAATCGATGTGGATGCATTGTTTTTTGCAACTATTCGTGTTTATTGAACAAGTGTGATTTGGTCTTTTTTGTTCGAAGCAAAATACTAGCTGTGTACTAGCGAACTTTCTTTTTTTGCGGATGGTGACAGTGATTTTTTTTCACTACGCGGTCCTTAATTGCTCTGCCGGCGAAGTGAAAAATCGAGCCACTCGTTGGTGTATTTGTCTTGCTTTTTGCGCAGTAATATGCCATTTGAAAAAATAGAAAAAGAGTCGATATAACACTTAACGACGAACTACAAAAAAATAATTGAATCTCAGCCAGGAGCTGGATTTTTGATCGAGGACATGTCGCTTGTTCCGTTTTTTTCTGTTTCGTTTTCTTTTTTGTTTTATGCGAACTAATTGGGTCCTGAGAGTAGTTGCAGCTGTGGGACAGAAGTTCTACCGACCTTGTTGAGTAAAGATTAAGATTGTTCTCATGATGCCGTCCATCTTCACCCACGTCATTTAATGTGATATTATACGAAGAACAACAATTAAGTGTGCGTGCGGAACCTGAAACCTGTTTTTTGCTGTCCAAGGTTCTGGTAGAGAGAGAGATTGCCGCTTTATTTCACTCACAGAAGATCAACATCGTCTAAGTAGTTTGTTCGTCCTTCTTTTACAAACAAACACGTAATCCTCCTGCAGAATCAGAATCATGTGGAACAGCCGCAAAACGCGTGTGCATTTAGCGACGCAACAGAGCCCGTACCAGCGGAATCGGGCGCTGATTGAGAAGTTGGAGTGGGACAAAAAGTTTATCCAGGTGAAGCGGGACTTTGTGCTGAACTCCAAGACCATCGAGAAAAACATCCTGACCCCGAAGGTGGGCGTGGGGGCGTTTTTCGCACCCAGAAGTGGAGCAGAAAGTGCCGCTCAAGATGAACTCGTCCAGGAGCAGGACAGCAAACCCAGCGGGAACATTATTAAAACATCACGACCAACCAAGAAGAACCAGAGCTTTCTGAACACCACCCTGCTGGAGGAGAGTTTTGATGATGCGTGTAAGGCTGGAACGGGAGGATCGACGGGGAAGGAGGTATATATAAAGTACTAGGCGTAGGACTACGAGCTTCTGTTGTGACCAGTTTGTGTTGGAAATGCCCTTGCGAGTTTCGTTTGTTCATGGCACCAGCTGTGGGTAGTAGTCACCATGATATCATCATCTGAAAAATGCCGTTCATTTGCTCTTTATGCCAACGTGATCCAACACTGCACGAAAAGGAAAACACACGACCACTTGTTTTAGGCCGCCGTCGCATGCAAAAGCGGACAAAGCGCGAGAGCGAACCACTCTGCAGTTGCTGAAATAAACGGCGAGAGAACAACTACAAGCGCGACAGCAAACGATGAGGGGCTCAACGACGACGACCAGGACGGCGCAACAATTCGGGAAACACGACTAGACCGGGCAGAAGATAGTAATCCATCGACTACAGTATCAAAAGTAGCAAGGACGACGACTAAAAATACCAACCAATGGACATCAAACACGCAAGAAGACCAGGAATTGTTCCAACTGCTGCCACAAACCCGAAATCAGGAGTACGGTCTGGACATCGGGAAGATCTTGCAGCAAAAAGACAACTCCGCTAGTACAACGAAGAAGAAAAGGAAGTGGCGGCTGTGGCGATTTCTGCGGGCGGAGAATTCGGAGTTGACCGAGTATTCGGAATATGCGTTGCAAATGTCGATCTGGGTCTGGAAGGATGCGAACTTGTCATGCACGTTTCCCATGAGCCATGATGTCTATGTTGTACGCCCTTCCATCACAGATTTTTTGAGGCCGTCTTGATGATGCCTATCCCGCATTACAGATGCCCTCTTCGCGTAGCAAGAGTTGGACTCCTATTTTGCTGCTCATGCAATACAGATTTTTTTAGAGTCCAAACACAGCATCACAAGTCTTCCAGATATTCAAAAATATTTGCACTTGATACGGAAACCTACCTGCGGATGTACGGACACTCCCCTTGGTATGGATGTGTCAGGATCGAAATCGACAAAATCGAAAATTTTGTGATGCATAAAATGCAAAGTACTGCAGGCCTGTACTAGGGAGCAGGCATATGAGACCGATTGTGAGCCTGTTTAGGGCTATGCAATGTGCTGTTAGAGTAGCATGAGAGGAGCAGTCTTCTTTGCCCAAACAGCATGGCAAATTGGATTCCGGTGCTAGGAAAATTTGTCATGCGCCGCTTGGAAATTGGTCTTCCAACTGGTATCCATTTTGTGCATGACAAATCATTTCAACTATGTCGATTTCAAACCTGACGCTTTCATACATGGTGGCGGCCAGTGCAGACGTGGAAGTTGAAGCCCGCGGCGCTGATGCAGCGAGTGAAAAGCGTGCAGTCCAACAAAAAGGGGAATAATAACAAACCGGTCGCCGGTGGTGCTGGGGGGATCAGCGGCAAGCCTACTTCCGCTGGGTTAGCAGCGGGTGCTACTACGTCAGCCGCGCCGTCGCCGGTCAAACAGGAGAAGAAATAAGTAGAAGTAGTTGATCTGTGTGACAGTATCTCTATCCATCGATTTTTTCATGAGGATGAACATGAAGAAGTCAGCAGGAAGTAGTCCGCAGCTAGAAAAATGCTCTCAAGTTTCTTGCCGTAAAATAGATACTAAATAATCCGACTGTTTGATGATGTCTTATATGTCGCTTAGGGCTTCAAATACCTATATTTCCGTACGTTGTTAATAGTGCATGTTGCAACACACAAAGATGAACGCGCTCTCGAGAGTTGTACATGCTTGTCATTCACCAGTAAGAAGTGGAACAGGAACGCGAAACGCCTTTTGTATGATGGAGACTGCTAACAAAAGCAAGTGCTTTACATAAAAAGACAAAAAGAACCGTGTACAAGGATATCGTTGACATGCGAAGTATATGAATATGTGACATCACACTACATCGCGCATATGAAAATATCGCAACTTCTCTCCTCGCTCTGTGTCTTAGAATGCACCGAGCGACAATGTACCTAGCGTTCGCTCAAGCCTCTCCTGATGTACCACCGGAAATAGAATTATCGACATGATCAGAATGACACAGAATCTATCTACTCCGCGATCCTTAAAGAACAAATCTTCATCGGTTCTTGTATTATCTCGAGCGCTTCGGATAATGAAGATGTTTAGAACAAGCTGAAAGATTGATCATCTGCGGAGAAGTCTCTTTTCCATTTTTGACCGTGCGTTGGATTGTCAGTTTGACTTGATTTTCGTACAAAAGTTTCAGGCGATACAACAAAGCTCCCACGACGACCGACCCCATATTCAATTACTACACATACTCAATTGACATAGGTTTGTTAGAGTGAAGTAGATTTCGAAGTGGTACCAGACCCAGAAGAAGCGCTTGTCGTCACTACCGAGCATTTTTTTGGCGTTGTTTTGGATAAAATAAATTCTCCCATTTTTTTACTCCGACCGTCCACACGGAAGTTCTCAAGAACACAAATCTCCAATTTGTTCGCTCGACCGCCTACATCTTCGATTTAGTTGTATTAGATTATCTTCTGTTCTTTGTGAAAAAAGAAAACTCCACTTAGCTGTCTGGAAAGTAGAAGCGACTTCGTTATCTTCACAGAGGAGCCACATCTACTAATAAACGCCGTAAGCAGGAGCCGAGTATCCTATCCCCGGAAAGGAGACAAGAACGAACAATGTCGGCCCACCCTAACGCTGCTAACTCTCTCGACACCCCGACTTACGGGTGGACGAAGACAGCAGGTAAGATGATCAAAGAATTTTTGCGGTTGATTTCTTGCGGTCTTTATATCAAGCCATGCCAAAAAATAATGTAGTCAAATAAAAAAGCTGCACATTGTTCACTACAAACTAACCCTCTACTTCTAAACAGGTGGCAACGCGAAATCCAAGGCTGCGCAGAATGCTGCGGCCAGGACTGGAAACCTGGAAGTGGAGAACAAATTTGGTGCTGCGAACCATTCGGTGGGACCAACGAACTCCAAGGCGCTCGATGAGGATACTGGAAGTTACAAGCACCGCCAGGTACTTCATCATGATCTTCGTGTTTTTTTTACTACACAAAATAACATTATGCGTATGACAACCTACCAAAGATTTTCGATGCGTCAATCGAATTAAGTAACGCAGATCTTGAACTGTTTGATGTTGATGTTCTTGTTCTTCCCTAGCATATCAATCGAATCAATATCCTGATCAATACAACCATAAAATAAAACACCAATACCATTGTCGCAGATTCCAACGGAGTTCAAGCTGGCCCTGCAGAAGCTGCGACAGGGGAAGGGCCTAACTCAGGCACAGCTGGCGCAGGCGTGCAATCTGTATCCACTGCAAATATCGATCGGGGTCTGGAAGAATAGTACGAAACTTGTCATGCAAGTTTTCCACGACCCATGAGGCCTCGAAAAATGCAGGATTTAGCATGATGACAGATCTGTACTATCATGCCTACCCTGTGCATGAGAAAATCCCTCTGAACCTGGTCAACAAAAGTAGACTACTTTTTGCACGATCCAGTTCCTCCAGACTTAGCATGACAAGTTGCATCCTTCCAGACCGCCAGATTGATATTTGCAATGCATAATCTGGCTCCGGCTATCATTCGCGACTACGAGGCAGGCAAGGCTGTCCCGGAGGGCGCGGTGATTCAGAAACTGAACCGCGCACTGGGAGCGCCGCTGCCAAAAATCCCGAAGCAGAAGAAGAAGGACGACAAGTAAAAGGCTGGGAGATCACGACGACATCCAATTTTGCCGAAGATGGACGGACGCAAAAAATATCAATTAACTCAAAACCGCCGTAGAAAATAATCATTTCTTAACGAATTCAGAACAGAATGAATTCAGAATTCCAGCAATTTTACACTTTGGCTCGTTTTAGGGGCCTGAGTCCTCGCGCCTGGTTATCGACCGACGGAGCATCAGCCTGGTCATCAATAGGGCGCGTGGAGGCCCTTCGACTTTCCTGCTTCGGGCCGCCACTGTATAAGCGTCTTCATGCGCGAAAGACAGGGACTTTCTTAGCCTGGCAAGATTTTGCAGCGATGCAACGTCATTGCTGCCCCCAACATTATTGCCTTGCACGCCGCCAGCCGCACACTTGCCTCTGGCGAATGGGCCCTGATTCCCGGGTCATGAAAGACCGCAGGCCATAGCGAGGAACCACCCTGGCCTGTGTTTTTTTCGAGGGAAGCGGCCCGGCGTCCAGCCAGGCCATTGAAGAAAAGGCGGGCCAGCGAGCATCTTGCGGAAGGGTCCGGCACCAATTTCAAAATTAAGTTGGAAAAGAGTTGAAAAAAGTTTGGCAAAACAAGTACGGCGTTGTCGAGGCTTTTGGCCGTTTCGCATCTATCAAAAGGGGGCAAAATGATTGCCGGGGCTCTGTTTCGCTGCATCATCTTGCTTGTGGATTTGTTTCTTGGGATCTGGCATCGTGAGTTCCATGGGCTCCGGGCCAGAGGGGCTTCGCGCCGAGGGACCTGGGACGTCTTGTCCGACACCTTGCCCAATCCGGTCCGCATTTTGTGCGCGTATTTGTGATCGTCAGGGCCCCTCGAGTGAGCGACGCTTGTGGGTGTTGGGTGTTTGAGAGGTACACGCCTGAAGCACGCGCACGCCCTCCCAGTTCGGGGCCGTGCATTGGGAAACATTGTGGCCATTTGTTCAGTAAAGAGCCGCTACGCGGCTATCGATGCACTCACTACGACGCTTGCGCTTTTGCGCCCTGTCAGCCACCTTATTGTCGGGCTAAGGGGGCCGCGTTGGCGCTGTTAGAGGTGATTTAGGCGATGCCTTTCGCCCCAAAATCCCAAAAAGTGCGAAACTCTGACTTCATTCTGAATTCATTGAGAAACGCAATTAGTTCCAGGGCGGTTCTGCATTAAAAGTAAAAGGCTGGGAGATCACGACGACATCCAATTTTGCCGCGAGGTCGAAAGCAGATGGTGCGACGGGCTTTCTGCCTTCGTAGGGACATCAACATCTTCCTCACCATACGCCATTTATTACGGCGGGGAGTTCTTCGATCTTGGTCTTGCCGCGCGATAGTATCCCTAGGGAAGTCGAGATTTAGTAGCTCCATATCCACCCTAGATGAAGACCGTTGCAAAGCGAATGTACTCTACTTCTGAAGTGCTTTTCACTTATGGGAGAAGGTGATTATGTCCAAGACGGGTTTGATATTTCAGGCGTCTTCCGTATAATGGAACAGGAGACACTCAGTGTACTAGGATGTTTTCAGGAATGTGCTTGATACTCTGCAGAACTCGCATTTTTCGAATGGATGTTGTGCTGCTCACCAGATAGACACAGCACTTCATCGATCCATAATCAGCTAGAAGGTCTCAGCTGCACAAAAAGCGCATCCTTTTCGGAAAGACATCCACAGACTCACTTCTCACATATTGACGCACCCCGTCAAACTTTCACCACACGAGAAAAAAAACTGTATATAGCCGTCGAAGTGGGCTGAAAATGGGTACTAATACTTGTCACCTCCTTAATATTCAGTGTTCCAAAGCATTGCATTGCAGCGACGAGGATCTTGGTCTAGCATGACAACGCAATTATGCACGAGAGACAAGATTATCTATTTATGTGAACGATCCACGACTGAACCTGTCATCCATGACAGAGTTATCTTCTACGCGCTGTCACTATCACATTCGCTTTTACAGGCCTTTTAGAAATGTTGTAACCGAGAGCTGAACATAATCTGTACGCTGGTCGTGTGCTCCTGAGTATCATGTCGTTGGTGGAGTAAATCTAGTGTGATCGTAGCGTGCTGTTTGCAGATCGATCCGAGTGTTAAGATTTTAGAAAAGTAATTCGCTCACCAGGCAGAAAAGCACAAATTAAGACAGCACACAAAAATCGCAGATGCGAGAAGTAGTCCGGTTTCTAGTACAATCAAGATGGACCGCCTTCTCTCGCTTTCCACAAACGAGCCCACGACAATTGGTGCCTTGAGTTCATCTGCCGCCATAGCAGCATGTGGGGTAACGGTCGTAGCTAGCAGTTTGCTATCGCACCGCGACGGCGATGAAACTACTCCGAAGGATGGGCAGCACAGAAGCAGCGTGGAAGGGGAGCAGCAGGTGCAACGGGATGAAGCGGGCCAAATTCTAAGCTCGGACCACGAAGATGCAGCGCTAGTACAGCAGGAAGATCAAGATATTACTAACGACAGGAGCAGCAAGGATGTAGTTCTTTCTTCAGCAAGGATAGAAGATCCCGAAGCTGCTGCGAAGAGCCGAGAGTTGCGAAGCTCCTCTGACCAGACGCACGACGATAAAATGCCAGCAAGGGCGGGAATCCTCGAAACTAGTATGCAAGCCGAAAAGAGGGGCGAGGACGACGCAACAACTGGCGAAGCGAGTTCTTTTGCGCCGAATACTATTAAATCGTGCAGTAGAACAGGAAGACCTGAGGAGCTGCGGCTCATGGACGAAGTTAGGAGTCTCGTTGGGGAGAAAAATTGCAGCCCGCAGGAAAATATTGCCTCATTGTCGACCACCGCGTCCTCGCCGGGTGCGAGCCCGGTGTTGAACAAGGACATCGACTCCACGGCCCCACCAATCACGGAGGATGAGAAAGATCACCGGGAAAAATCAGCAGTCGATGTGTGTAGTTCCAAGCTACCGGCGTCGTCATCTTCTGCAGTTTGTGCGAACAAGTCACCCGAGGTCGTACCGGAGGACCCGGCCATGGTTCTGGAGCAGTGCCTACGTGCGGAAGAACGGCTTTGGGCTGCGGGCCTCCACACGCGTGACCGAAAAACCAAAGAGACGCTCAGTGTCGCCGACGCGGACGTGGAACGGTTTCTGCCGAAGGGATACTTCTCGTACTGTGAACGAAAATTCCAACAGTTCCGGAAGTACGTCAAACCCGTCGTGCGCACCATGGTGGACCAAGCGGAGTGGAAGACGCCGCCGTCTCATCGCTCAGCGATTGAGCGGGCGGAGATTTCCCACGGTTGCTGGATTAAGAACGCGTGCTGCCTTATGCAGGCGCCGGAGGATCACGCGCTCTTCATAGCAGAGGAAAAAGGCTGCAGCCTCCTGCACAACACCATCGCGAAACTGCACACCCTCGGCAGACCAGCAGTTCTATTCGAGAACCCGACGCCAATTTTCAAGGTATGTATAGAGATTTTTTTACATGCTCATGCTTGTTTGCAACGTTGTAGAATTTGAATTCAGCATCTATGATGATTTTGCAGTTGCTGGATTGTGGTCGTATTGTGTAGTTTTAATTGTGCCAAAACCAAAGTTGTTCAAATTCAGCTTTTCTTTGACGTTTGCGTGGAGCTACGGTCGCCTCTGGATGAGCCTGTGGACACGGCGACAGCGGAGGCAGAGCGCGTTCAGCGGAATGCTTTGTACAAAAAGTTTTTGGAAGCTGGCGTGTACAGTGGCGACGATGTTGCCGGTCCGGTTGCGGGCGCGATCTTCCAGTGGGTCTCCAATTCCTTCCCGCCGGAAACCAACACGAAGATGTACGTGGCGACGGGCTACACCAGTGCGGAAATGCTTCAGAAGACCGGCTGCCACCGCGTGGTGGTGCGCTACATGTTCCCGAACATTCTGGTCGACTTTATGTTGGCGAAAATCCTGCGGTTCGACATCGTGAACGTGTTGGAGCGCGACGTGGACTGTGCGGCCTTGCGGTTGGACCTCGAGCAAAACGTCTTCGCAAACGACCACGCTGTTGTTACCATGGGCCGCGAGATCAGGAGGCACGTAAACAAAATCGTCGCGCCAGAACAGATTTACCAGCCAAAATTCACCGCCGCCCGCAGCTTTGAGGTAGTACTTAGTTAAGTGCTTGCTTTTTGGATCTCGTAGCGTAGGACATTTTTTCTTTATGAATTTGAATTAAGGGGGACGTCTTTTGTCAGTGTCGCTTAGGAATTTGTATGCGGCGATAATTTTTTCCACATTCCGAATTTGAATTTCTGAATTCCACTAGACCGCCGGGCAGTGGAACACGGTCATTCGTGTTCCGATGTGCCACGCGGCAGAGACGGACGAGCGACTGAGTGGCGAAGTTCTGCGATGGCGCGGCATCGTCGACGAAGTCGGGAACAGATACCGCTGGCGCGACGTTGACCTGGACGCGAAGCCAGACAAGCTACCCGAGGAGGTGCGCAAGCTGTCCGTGCGCGAGAACGAGTGGCGTACCAAAACCGTCACGCAGCCCCTTCCCCGAGTAGAGCAAAGGCTGAACGGCGTCGAGCAGCGGCGGCGAACCTTCAAGGGTTCCTGATAAAATAAGTACACACGTCTGGCGACAATTCATCCTGGGCGGAGGCTTATTCAACAACCTCCTGCGAGCCGGCAGCTTTCCACACGTAGTTGTAACGAGGACAAAGACATAGCCTGCAGTAATATAGTTTGCAGCAAGAAGTTTGCGGTGAGAAAACGATGACGATCCCCATGTATTAAAGATTTCGAGGAGGATATGCCTCTTTCCAAGAAAAGACGGACTCCTGCTTCCATGGTTTCAACGGCAGAGTTTTGAACCGCGCTCGATTTTTGCAGGGTTTAGGTGAAGTGGTTTGTTTTTCCAACCTAGGGTTTCAAAAAAGTTCTTGCACCACGAAAAACGGTATTTGTTTGCCCATTCGCTAAAAAAGACAAAATCAGCGACTACATGGGCACGACTCCTCTCACACGACGTCGACGCATTCGCATTTCGAAGTTGCTGCTGTGGTAATCGACCAGATATCATAGTGCCTTGTGTTCAAAATAAGTAGAACTTCTTCTTCTTTGGTTCGGCGTCTTGTATAGGAGATAGATTTCGACATCGTATCAACTACAAATACGCAATTTTCATCTGTTTCTTGAAGTGAAGGTGGTTAGATTGTTTGAGCCAAAACGAAAACCGAGTGTAATTATGATCACGGGTGCAAATCGATATCGAAACGTGGTCGAGCAAGGTCGTAGGTTTTGTTGCGAGTAGTCGAAAACAAGATTTGTACGGGGATGATAGAACACGACCACGACCTGATTTCGACAGTTGCAGCTACTATAGAGAATAACGACCTCCACACACAGAGCAAGGAGTTCACAGAGCAGATAACTCACGACGTGCCTTATTTGAACATCAAAAGAAGTACGAATAAATACGAAAGAATCACGCGCTCACGACCTTCAAGATGCATCCGCCCACGAGATCTTCGAGTGATAAGGACGGCAATAAGATGCAGGCCAGTAACTCGTCTTCTACTATCGAGGAGGACTTCTTCTATTCCTCGGCTGATACCGGCGGCCCGCCGATGGTGCCGCGGACGACGGTGCGCAATCTGATCGACTTTGACGAGGTGAACAGGAGCGCGGGCGGCAGCGCAGGAAGCCCGAACAGTACCATGGTGGCCTACCAGCAGCTGTTGCAAAGTACAGTTCGAGTACACTTCTTGTGTTGATGGTTCTACTTGTGTTTAATACGGATATACGTAATTCAAATTCTTGCAGCATAATTACCAGTAGTAAAAGTCATAGTCTGGCTTGATCAAAGAATTGTTTTGTTTCGAGCATTCAGGCCTTAGAAGGAAAAAAGATTTTCATTTTCTCCATTGAGAACCACACGACAGACCTCCTATGTATACTACTTCCCAGGTACGACCGCGGCGCATTCGGAACTAGAAAATCAATGAGTCCCACTTGCGCGAGCAGCAAGTGGGGACGCACGACACACACGCCAAGGTAGTGCTGCTGCTGTGCGCTCTGCACGAAATGGCAGTGCGTGCGCTCCCTGCCGCACAGCGCCAGCGCCTCGGACAGAGGCCTGGCGTGGTGTGCTCGCGTCTCCGTGACGACACGCTTCAAAAGAAGCGCGCTGCGCCGGTCCCTATCACGGCATGCACAGGCCTACTTAGGCACACTGCGTGGTCCCCGTGGACACCAGCTCCGTGCAAGGAGCTCCTTGGTGTCGTCTCCGCAGGTCCCTCGCCCGACACGCTTCAAGCGAAGCGTGTGGCACGGTCCCCGTCGCCATCAACGCCTCAGGGGCTTGGTGTCGGCTCCGCAGGTCGAAGTCATGGCGTGCTTCTTCGAAGCATGCTGTGTGGCGGCCGTGCGTGCTTGGTTGGTACCGGCTCCGTAAGTCCCCATCGCGGCGGGCTTTTACGAAGCGCGCTACGTGGCCCGCGCGCCACCTCCAGAGGACGACAGACCTCCTATGTATACTACTTCCCAGGTACGACCGCGGCGCATTCGGAGCAAGCTACTAGTAGGAATCCTGCTAGTAGAATCGTGCTAGCAGAAAAGCGGCTACTAGTAGAAATCCTGCTAGTGTTTTTAGCGTCACAAAAACGCGAAGAACGCCTTTTGCTTCGGCCCCAGCCAACGCCTTTTGCTTCGGCCCCTGCCGTGGGTTTTCGCTTTGGCCTGCTTGCTCTATTTTTTCAGGGCTGTCTGGTTTCTAGCAAGAACCACCCGCAGCACCTCCTCTGCCTTCCCGCTGCGGCTGCCCTGCCGCCCTGCCTGCCCTGCTTTATCTTTGCTGGGTGCCGGCAATGTTTCTAGTCTTTCGGCCGTCGGCGCGCTTTTTTCGTGCTGTTTCCTGTGGCTAGCCTCCCGAGCCTCCGACAAGGGTCTGCGCACGCTCTCCGGCGGCCCTGTTTGTGGGGGCTCGGGCAGGGGTTGCGCTCAGTGCCCCCGCACGCCCCTCGCGCCTAGCGGCCTTGCCTCTACGTGCGCTTCCTTAGCTCCCGCCGAGGGAGAAGGGCCGGGCGGGAGCGCTGCCGCTTCTCTTTTTCGCACACTGGTCGCGCCAACACAGTCTCAACATGTACCGCTGGCCACGGGCGACCACGCTTTTTTTCCCTCGCCCCCCCTTGCACCCCCTCGTCGCCGGGCCGGCGGGCGCGGGGCGCACGCCCGTTCTAGATATACTACTTCCCAGGTACGACCGCGGCGCATTCGGAAGACCCCGGCGCGGAGGTACAGACCTCCTCCCCCGGGAGCAAAGCCGGGCAAACAAGGCTCCAGGACGTCTCCACCGGACAGCCCCGTTCCTGGGTATGTGTGTGGCGCTCCTAAGGCCGTGATTACCACACATAGTTGCGACAGCTGATATTGAGGCAGCTGCGACAACGCTATGAATTAGGCTGATCAGGCCCCCCCTGACGGCTAGGTGGACCTGTTAGCGCTGTTTGGGTCTCTAGGTTTCTGTCGTAGTGTCCGCCGTCTGTTGTTCTTGTGCACGTCTTCTCATGCCTGCACACCCGGCTTTCGTTAGCGCTAGGCTGATCCAGCTGGTTTTTCTAGGGAGCATGTGGCAGCGTGACTTTTACCCAGTTCTCTATGTATTGCTGCAGGAGTTTGTCCTTGTCCACCTTTGGTTTTACAGTTTTCCCATTCTCTGCTTATCGTTACCTGGCGAGGCGCATTTTCAGCATTTTAGGATTTATCCTTACAAGTATTTTCTGAGGTTTACTTGTAGGTGGCCAGCTCTTGCTTACTTTCCTAGGTGACAAGGGAAATGCCACTGCTCGCTGCACTTTGCATGTGGGGACTTTGCAGCGGAGTTGTGTCCGGGGTGTAGGTTCACTATGTAGTGTAGCTCTTCCGTAGCCGTATCTTAGGCGCCCGCCAGGCCGTGGATGCAGATCGTTTCTGCGGAACGAACTGGCCAAGGGAAATACGGCCTGCCGGCGCAGCTTGGGCGGGACAGGAATGGGCGAAAGCGTTGGCGGGCGCAACAAGACACGGAGGTAGTTCTGAGATTGCGGAAGAAAGCTGTGGGCAGCAGTTCGTTGCAAGGCGTGAACAGAAAAAACAGAAACATGATGGCGATGATAATGATGATGCAAAGGAATGATGGAAAGGAAAAGAGTCGTCGTGTAATCCCTGCGTGCTCGAAACCCCAAGCGCCTGGCAAGCAAAAGAGTGTCAGTGTTGTGTCGTTTTCCCCGTATTGCCGCCCACTGCTCGTCTTTCGCGTCTCTGTGTTGTTCTCTTCTCGTGTGTCTCGTGTTTTGGTTAGCGCTAGTGCCGCTTCGGTTGTCTTCGCCCCTAAGGCTACCAGCTCTGCTCCCACCCGCAACTGGTTTTCGGTGTGATTTGACCCCGACGAAACAAGGCTCCGTTTCGGGGTAATCGGATTGTAGGATGCCCAAAATGAGCCGGGGCCCTACCTTTGACACTGTCGAGCGGTGCACATCATAGTACGACCTCCCTATTGTCTGTACTGCCCGGCTCGGCTGTTCCTGTCTTAGGTCTGCTCGGGGACGCTTGGGCCTCTAATACCCCAGCCCGAGATCTGCAAGGTCCCAAAAACCAGGGCTGTAGTCTACCAAGTGGGCAAGGATGAAAGCCCCCGCTTGGAGCCTCTTGCGATTCACTTCACTTCACTTCACTTCACTTCACTTCACTTCACTTCACTTCACTTCACTTCACTTCACTTCACTTCACTTCACTTCACTTCACTTCACTTCACATCACTTCACTTCACATTCACGATAGACTATACTACTTCCACCCAGGTACGACCGCGGCGCATTCGGAATTACAGCAGCAACGCGGTCTGTAACAGACCATCCAAGGGCTTTCCGCGTGATTTTCTTTGGGACATCCCTTCTCCATCCTGGGTTTTCCGCATGATTTCCTTTGGGAAATCGCTTCGTCCGGGTTTTCCGCATGATTTCTTTTAGGAAATCGCTCGCCCCTGGGCTTTCCGCGTTTCTTTATAGGAAATCTCTTCCTTAGGAGCCGGCCGCTGATCTCCGCGTCAACACGTAGTGGAGGCAAGCTCTTTCTGATCTTCACTGTGATAAGTATCGGGGTCTGTGATAAGTATAAGTGGAGGCAAGCTCTTTCGGGTCTGTGATAAGTATCGGGGTTTCTCCTTTGATATGGATCAGAGGGTCCGCGATGTCGGACTTTTCTCCTTTGATATGGATCAGACGACTTTTCTCCTTTGATATGGATCAAAGGAGAAAAGTCCGGACTTTTCTCCTTGCAAAGGAGAAAAGTCCGCTGGATTGATACCAGAGCGAGCAGCTCCTGGTGCAAGTCCTTCTGTTTTTGCTTCACATCCTTCTGCTTTAGCATCAAATCCTTCTGCTTTAGCATCAAATCCTTCTGTTTTAGCATCAATTCCTTCTGTCTTAGCATCGATTCCTTCTGTTTTTGCATCAATTCCTTCTGTTTTTGCATTTTTCTACATATCACGCGGGCTGTGATATCAACAGCACAATCGACTTTTCTCCTTTTCTTCTTTGATATCACGTGATATCACGTGATATCAAAGGAGAAAAGTCTTTTTTCAAAGTTTAAAGACCCCATGAACAGACCTCCTATGTATACTATTTCCCAGGTACGACCGCGGCGCATTCGGAACTACAGCAGCAACAGGAGCAGACCATTCAAGGGCTGAACGAGGAGCTGAGTTTTCTCCGCTTTGAGCTGGAGATGAAGGAAAACGAGAAAAAAATCCAGATGGAGCTGCTGAAAAGCGACTTTGAGGCGGAAAGGAATGCATTGAAGCAGGAATTGGGAAGGCTGCAGGAAGGACAGAAGGAAATACCAAACAAAGCGGGAAAGAATTCCACGGGGGAAATTTTTGACGGAAAAACCGCGACGCGGAATTCAACATCGAATGTAGTCGGCCCAGAACAACAAGATCATGCATTGCTGGAAAAACAACCCGCAGGTGGGAACAACACAGCCACTATCTCCTCTGCCAAAACCACGGCTGCTCCACCTGACCTCCCGATGGAAGAACTACGAGCAGCCTCCTACGAGCCCATGACACCGAGCACCACGGTATTCTGAGTAAAAATGTCCTCACACCAGAGTCAAGATGGGAAATCTGCTAGACAAATCAACCAGCATTGGTTGTTTCGCATGAGAAGTCTGTCCCCGTAGCGTAATCCTGTTTAGCTAGTTCCGAAGCATCACAGATCTAGCCTAGCATGCTCATTCGAGCATCACAAATTCCAAAGCGCGACTATAAAACTGCTCTCATGGGGCGTCGCATGAGAAACTTTTATGACATGCCGATTTGCATGACAAAACGTGGGGACGTTTTTACTCAGAATACACGGATTTCGTGGAACTGGACGACGAACTAAGGCTGTTCAGTACCTTATCACGAGAAAAAATGGTTACAGTTACAGCACATTGTGTTGCAAGCGCAGCATGACAAACAGCCTCTGTCATGCCAGAAATGCTTCCAAGCTTGATTTCATACGTGTTTTCCCTTATGGTTTGTGCATTGCAAGTTTTCCCTCTCATGCAGAGAAAATTTGTGTTGCTGAAGTTACAACAAATGTGTAACTGTAACACATTTTTCTTGTGATATACCTTTCTGAACTCGCTCGCACAACAGCAGCAGCAGTACAACAACTTCCATGTAGTTGCCGGCGGAGGTGCAGGTGGAGAAGACGCTAGTTGTTCCGCTTTAGCTCCTAGTGCCACGACACCTCAAGCTGTAGATCAACAAGACGCGGCGGACCAGGGGGCCCAGCAGGTGGAAATTCCGGTGGACGCAGAGAAGTTGTTTCACGAGGAGACGCGAAACCTGCTCGAGTTCGTGTCCAAGTTGCAGACCACGTGCCACAACCTGACGCTCCGCTTGGACCAGGCGGAGGCGCAGTTGATGGTGTCCAAGAAGGAGCACGCCACGCAGATCCAGCAGCTGCAGCGCAAAGTGGCCTCGCTGACCACGGAAAACGAATCGCTGTTGCAGCTGTTCCACTCCACGGCGCCGGGTTTGGTCGCCAGCCAGCACAACTACCGGCTGTCTTCTTCACAGAGCAGCAGCAAGAACTCCACGGGTCGGAAGCTCTCCTCGGTTTCCTCCAACAGCCCCGGCGGTGGGGCGACAACAGGATCAGCAGTTCACGTATCTTCTAGTACAACTACTTCTGGCGAACAAGCTGTCCTTCCAACAGGAGCCGCTTCCCTAGTGGTCCACAAGCACCACCAGCAGTTCTCCAACGGCAGTAGCAGCAGCTCCGCAAACTATCGCGGAAGTAGTGGTGGGAGCAATTACAACAGTTCCCACAGCGGAGGTGTTCTTGGTGTTCAGAACCACCACGACCGCGGGCCGCCCCAAATCGACGACGGGCAACAGCGCAACAGTGCCCAGTCGTCGCAGAATCAGAAACGTTCGCAGACGAGTTTTTTCTCCATTTCCGGCAACTCTTCGCCGGCGGATGAGGTGGATAACTTGTCCGCAAGCACAAACAACTTCAACGACCCGCGACGCATGACGATGAGCCATCCCAACCTTGTGGTGTCCTCCTCGTCCGGGCACCAGCAGGTTCAGCAGGGGGTAGCTCCGGCTGGTGCAAGAAGAACGACATCTTCCTCGACAGTCGTGACTAGTAATACACATGATCTTGATCATCTGGGGCAAGAAGTCTCGTCAGGACAACATCCACATCATCATCCACAAGGATTAGCATCTGGTGCGGGAGCAGGACACCGCAGTCCCGTGGTGAAACTCGCCCGCACCACGGACGAGCGTTACTTCAGTACCAATCGGGCGCCTGCAAACTCAGGAGCTACGACTTCTCTGGCCCTTTCAACGGCCGCAATGGACCACCACAGCCGTACTACGCGGTCTTCGTTGAGCAGCGATGCACCAGCCCGAGGAATAGTGGACACCGAGCAGCCCGTTGTAGATGTGAAGGTCGCCGGCGGCAAGGTGTACGTGCCGCCATTCACGACGCAGCACGGTTGTAGCAGTAGCACAACAACTGCTACCGTGGGCGGAACAAGTAGTGCAAGTGGTACTTCAGCTGCCGCTGGTGGCCGCAAGCCACCAACACCCATTTCTACCACCGTCGGGAATCACCTAATATGAATTGCAACTATGTCGGTGTCTGGAAGAATGCAAGTTTGTCATGCTTGTCTGGCATGACTCGAGAATCTGTGTTGCATAGGCACGAAAAGGCCCTCTTACCTGTCGTGCAAAAACGCAGTTTGCCATGCGGAATACGTAACACATGGCAGCGAAAAAAGTTGTCATGCACAGCTGCATCTTGCGTTGCGTCTATCATTCACTCTTAGCATTACAAGTTTCCTCCAGACCCAGATATATTTGCAATGCATATCTAAACGGGCAGGGCAATGGCCAGGGTGGATCTACCACTACTTCCACAGGTGGACCACCACCGGCCCTTGGTCCGCAAGTGTTCCGGATGTCGTCCCCGCTTTCGAGCTCGGAGTCAAATTCCGCCAGCTCCTCCCCGACCAGCCCACCTGGCCTGGTGTCGATGAGCAGTGCCAACTACGGGGCGCGACAGAGCACCAGCTCGCGGCAGGAGCAAAACTTGCAGCAATTGTTCAACTTCTCCAATAGTAGTACGTCGACCTCCAACCGTGCAGTTGCCGGTGGCAACACCGGGACGACGTCGAATTACGGTAGTAACAAGCGTCCGAGCCCCTCGGGGCAGCTACCGTCGTCCGGCGAGAGGAGCAGTCATGGGGCTCCTCCCACCGCGGATGTGGTAGTCAGGGGGCACAGGCTGTCATCCTCTAGTGGTGGCGGTGGTAGTAGTGTTGTAGTACCCCCGGCAGGAGGAGCTGGGTCGGCCGCCGCTGCACAGAGGGTCGTGAGCGGTAGTAGTAGCTCCTCTACTTACGGTAGTAGTTCTCAGCGGATGTCCATGTCATCTACTTCGGAGCAGCAGCGAGCTGAAGTGGACTTCTATTTTACGCAGTACAACAACAACCAGCAAATCAGCAGCGCGAGTGCAGCTGCTGCGCCGCCAGTGAGTCAGCGACCCGGCAGCAGTCCAGGATTGATGTTCTCGAGTACAACTTTATCTCCGGCTGGTACCACTCCTGGCGCGCCAAGTTCCACGCTGGCCGGCGGACTGCGAAAAGGAGCGGCGTCGCCTGCAGCACAAAACTACCCGGCGGCGAGCAACATCACGTCAAGTGGTCTCACAACAACGACGACGCATCTGGGGAGCCGCACTCGCACGGTCGAGCAGACAGAGAACGCTTCCTCTTTGACCAACATGTTCTCCGGACTCTCGAAGCTGTTCTCAACGAACACTGGAAGTACTTCTAGCGGAGCCTCCGGTGGAGGTGGTGGACACCGCTAAGTTGTAGTGGTGTTCCCATGATGTGGGCACAGACCGCCACGCCTGGCTGCTATAGCTTCGAAGCTCGGCTCGACAAAAGTCCATTTCATATTCCTTCAAATATGGCCAAAATCCAAACTATTCATGTCGCCTCGAACTGCTCCTGAAAAATATTTTTACTGATTCAGGCCGAATTATGGAGGATTCTGCTAAAGATATGCGAATAAAGATTTTTCTTCGTGCTGTTGGATCTTGTTCAAGCGGAAAGTACACTAGAGTACAGTTTTTTTGGCGCCGTCCATGTTGCTGCTTGCTGACAGCCCGCAATTGCATTTGAACCGAACAAGCTTCTTTTTTTTTGGCCAAACGGTGGTCTTTTGAAACCAAATCAATCTCCTGTAAATATATTATTGCTTGGCGAAATTATGGCCATACCCACGCGAGATGAAGAGACCAGAAGTGACAAAAGAGTCGTTTCCAACGCAAAAATCGGAAGCGATATTTATAAATTTTCGTGTCTTTATTCGCTTTCTCCGCCTCTTTTTATGCAAATCCGTGAGAAGCAAGCTCCTTGATGCGCAAAGAAACCACGGGGTCCAAAAACAACCGCCTGACACCTGCCACAGCGGAAATCCTCAAAAGGGTTCATGATTTTGCGCCGATTTATTTTCGTCGATCTTCAAAAAGTAAGTAAAAGGATCATTCAAGATAGAGTTAGAGATCACACGACGAGGTCAAGTAGATTTTTGAGTTCTAGTGAAGGCGATCCCAAAATGCGGCTCTACTACACAACATGCAAGAAGTTGTTGGCTCAGAAGTTGTGCCGCGGGTCTTCAACGGACGTTCATCATATTTTCATTTCACAAAGAAGAAGAACCAGGCGAAGATAAATGCTCAGCCACTTCTTGCGCGGTCTTACAAAGATTTTGTTAAAGGATATTTTTGCCGCAGAAGTTTGATTTTCACAGTCGAATTATACAACGTAGGACCAACCTCAAGCAGAAGCGGAAAAAAGCCTAGTTCCGAACTTCTAGTTATAGAGGTACTTGCGGTTGCTCCACCTGCGGTTGCTCTCAAAGAGATAAGTGGTTGCGAAAATCATGACCCCGACGAGAACAACCTCCTCCCCCGCACGGCGCCACGCGGATTTGCGGCGGCAACTGGCGGCGCTGGACGTCGGCCTTGGTCAGACAACCGCCTCCAGAAATATGACAAGTGACGACTCGACTACGACTACCCCGGTCCTGCCGCGGTTTGACCGACCGAACACAGAGACCCGGTTCGGACCGATGGGCGACACGATAGTCCGCCGGCACGATAACGGTTTGGTGATGGTCTCGCTCCGGAAGGAAGTCGTCCTGGACGTTTTGAAGCGCTCATGTGGGACCGCGATCCGGGTCGTCTTCCCCATACCAGGAGGGGAATTTATTGCGGAAGAGGCAGTAAAAATTATGCCTTCAACCGGCGCTGGCGACGACGACATGAGAACAAGCCTTGCTCAAGAACATCCCAGCTGCCCCAAGACAACCGAGGACGACAAGACACGAGCTGCCCCTGCGGACCTGATCGTTTCCTCCAAGAAAAAGAAGAAGAACTGTCTCAAGCAGGTGAAAAAGGGGGATCTGCTATGCCAACTGGTATACAACTACACGACCTCCAGTACAAGAAGTTCTAGTGCAGCTTCTCAGAATAATTATGTCGTAAAAAAGAACCTCGAAGACACGGACACCAGGAACACGACCAGCACGTCATCAAGAAATAAACTGGAGGAAAATTGTAACCGCATCGACGTTTTGTCCCCTGTCGACGGGGCCTTGATTGAGTGCAATGGGCGGCTGCTCCATCTTTCCGGCGCGGGTAAAACTGGGTGTGAAGATGAAGGACGAACCAGCAAAACCAGTGGTCCAAACTTCTCGACTGCTGCCGGTAGAACAAACACCAGCAGGACCACGTCTACTCTGGATTTACAGGCCGCTTTTCGGCTCCTGGACGAGTACCTGGTCATTCTGGAGTGCAGCAGCGCCAAGCAGACAGCGACTTTTCACGCATTGCCAGCAAAGGGGCAAGAAATAACCTCCGCTGCCGGGTCGATATGGTCTGCGGAGGCGGAAGGGGGCCTTCCTGCTGCTGGTGAAAGTAGTGCTGCTAAAATAAGACCGGTGCTCGGGGGCGACGAGGAAGTTCTTCAACTTTTGCGGACACAAAAGTCCTCGTCCTCATCTCCACGTGCAGCTGCCGATGAGGAAGCAGAAGACGTCGAAACTGGTTCGGCGGCGGGGAGGGAAGCGAAAAAGCAACGATTGGAGTGATAAAAAGTGTTGGTGTTCACATTTAGCTGCCCATAGTGCCCCAGCTCCTTCTGTGCCAAGCCGCAGCGCAGCGAGACCTTATTATAAAGTACTTAGTAAAAAACGACACAAAGCGAAATCAAATTAGAAAGACAGCTTCAGGTTGCCACACTGTCGTGTGATGTCACGCATGTTCGCCAGCGCACTCGTCGATTTTGCAGCGTGTTCGATCTTCGAAAGGATCCCTTGTTTTTTGTTTTCTGCAAGTGCAAGTAGAGTTCTTACTTGTTCAATTTTTTCTCTTTGGCGGCGGCATTTTCGATTTCTGGTGTGCTTCATCAATGTTATCGACGAAAATAAAAAAAGCAGCGCGTAACGATCTTTTTATAGGGATTGATTCGCGAATCTCACCTTGACCAAGCTGAAACAGTACTGCTCACCGAAGTGCCACGGCAGGTCGAAGAGTAGTCACTCCTTCAACAATTCGTCGTGGCGAAATAAGTGTCTCGTCGCGGATGCCTCAAGGACGCTCTGCCGAAGAAGGAGAAGCTGTGAACACAGGCACAGACGAACCTGCTCGCAGCGCGAGGCGCTAGATTCGGGCGATTGCGTATTACGCCGGTACTAGACGGCTATCATTTCCGAATACGTTCGTGGACCGCAATGCGGGCCTTCGAGGCGACGACAAAGGACCGACGGCGGAGAGTCCCCGAGATGGTTCCGTCAGGGCCGGGCGGAAGAAGAACTGCATTTGCTGCCGCGATAGTATACTTTTCACTCAGTGGCCACGACCAGAGTGCAGTCGTCGGTTACCGCATTACGGCTACTAATAAAACAGGCGGTCCACCACACCCTCCGCAGCACGAGAGCAAACGCGACGGGGGAATAGATCGTACCCTCGAGGGTACTAGGTGGTCGAAAAAAGCCAGACGTGCATCGACAAGTGGGGTGGAGGATGAAGAGGCAGCAAGGGCGGGCGTGGTACTTCAAGGCCCTTCTGCATCTACTCCCGAGGTGAGGGTAGACGATTTTTCGGACGAAATGGATGTCGACCCGCCCTGGCTCAAGCAGGTCTCTGTGAACAGCTCCTGCAGCACAATGCTGCCCTGTAACGATACTACTATGTTCGAGTCAGCATGGTCTCGCTGTACCTCGGGCGAGGGGAATTATGAGCCGGCTGTGACTCAGGCTGCTTTCTCCTGTGTCAGTGGCAAGCATGGTCGAGCTGCGGCGTCTTCGAGTGGGAGAGAAACTTCGACCTCGATTTTATTTCCCCGCCCCCCGCAAGGGTTGACGAGCAAGTTGTTGTCCGACTCCGCGTCTGCAGCCAAAAGAAGCAGGAATAAAGATGAAAAAAGCGCTGACCGACAGCGAGAGAAGAACCTGGGGCCCCGGCTAGGACTGGCAGGACAACACGGCGCGCCCGACGACGACGATGGAGACATGGAACTCGTAGCTGCAACTATCGCGGCGCTTTCCCTCAAAAAACCCACCCCTCCGACCTCCGACACGCCTTCGTCCTTCGAACCGTACGAAACCGACAGCCTGCTGGACAGAGGTGGTGCCACAATTCACTCGTCCGCTAGCACCCCTGGAAGTACGTCAGCCACTTCATCTGGCGCTGGCCGAGCAGGCGGACGCGCTCATCATTTTCCTTTTCTCCCCACATCCGCGCCACAGGAGCAGTTCCTCGCCCCATCGACGCTAGTGTCCCGGCAGGATGAGCAGGAACAGTACGGGCACTTGTTGTCAGCTTTGCGGCACACTGCGTTACGAAACGAGACGATCGTGGAACTCAGGGCCGCGGGCGCCGGCTCGAGTAGTATAGATGAGGCAAGGCGAAGAATCAGTAGAACCAGTGCCCGCACTTCTGTTTCGCCCAGTCAGACGGACGTAGAGGACGGCTTGCAGCTACCTCGCTCCAGTGCGGATCACTGGCAGCGGCCTGCTCGGCTCCAGGCTTCTCGATCGGAGCAGCCGGGAACAAAAGAAAAGGAGAAGCGACAGCGTGCAAGCCCCGGGGGATCTGCCCGGCCCGGGCACTCGACCGGCTTGTTGGATCAGAGAGACTGGGAAATGACGGAGAAATCGTCCTCCAGTGCGCAGGATGAACAGGGACACAACCAGATGGACCACCATCAGCAGTTTTTACTGTCTACAGCAGTTGTTGCTGCCTTCGGTGGGCGACCGGGCTTGCTTGCCTCTTCCAGGTCCGCGGCCGGAGAAAGTTCGCTGCCGCAACAAGAGGAGCGTGACGGACACGAGGCCACGAGTTTTATGGCGAGGCAGCTACACGTCCGTCCGCCTCCGCGATCCTGGTCGCGCCAGCACCAGCAGGAAGAAGCGGGAGCGAGTACCGCTAGCACTCGTCCAGGGCGGTGGTACGAGCAGCAGCGCACGGGGGCTAGGGGCAGTGGCGTATTTGATGGCAGGGGTGCAGCGCTTGGGCCTGAATACCGCACGAGGACCCCCTCGCCAGCGGGCGCCTTTTCGGTACGTAGCTGGAGTTCGAACAGCAGCCAGTCGCTCGGGGAAGAGGGTAGCAGCTGCTACGTACATTATATATGCCTATAGAAAGACAAAAATATTGTTTAACGCTAAAAAATTTTTCTTGATCGACGTGCATTAGTTCAAGAACTAGGAGTAAAATAGAAAGATTATTTCTTCTATAATTTTTTTCCACAACTTTGATTTTTTTTCCCCGCAGGAAGTCCGGAAGCGGAACCCCAGGAGGACAGTACTAGCACGCGAGTGGACACCTTCGATTCCCTTCCCGACTGCGATGTTGACGGGGTGGAGGGCCCAGCGCAGCAGAGGCTGCCGCTGCCTGGGGACGACAGCAACGATACTGCGAACCCTTCAGCAGCAGGCGGCTTTCCCGTCGGAGCGACTACACCGGGAGCAGCTGCACCTTTGACGACGCCAGGAGTGCCAGCACCTCCACAGGCACCCTGTCCGGAGGACGACCAGGCGATGTTCTGACAAGTAGACGTCTTTCTTGATCCGAACTTACGCGGGCTGTGCGGCTGATGATTTGCCTTTTTCAGCGGCCCATGAAAAATGTGCGACAGTCGGTGACCCGGAGATGAAGAGCAGCAAAATGCTTCTGCTCTCTAGCTCGATGACCACAGATCTAGCTTGACCACAACGAGCTTCTATACTTTGGCTTGGAAAAATTTTGGAAAAAAATGAGTACCAAGGAGCATCAATATAAGTAAGTAAATATGAGTCGCGAGGACAGTGCAGAATTGCCTTCACTCATTTGGTCTGGCTTGAACAGTTTTTGCTTGATTTTGGAAGATCTATATCCACAAAACAGTGGCTTCGCCGATTTTCATTTGATCGAACAACTTTCGCAGACAGCTATACCTTCACATTTTTTTGCGGGCCGATATGTTGATGGCTTGTTTCGTCGCGCACCTACTAGGCCCGCACGGCATTCATTCTAACAACAAGATCTGCAGAGGACGTCGTGTGTTTTTTTATGCCTGTGAATTATATCCTCGAATGTTGTCCGTTTTATTTCATAGGCTGAGATTCTGATCGGAAAGCCAAAGCAAGGCTCCCCTTATTTGTCTTCTACAATTCTTTCATAAGTAGAATTTTTCATTTCTCCAACTCAGCGAAAGGACATAAAAGCAGCAGGCACAGCTAGGAAACTGCGCAACTTTTGTTCTCTTTCCTCGCATTACAGGTTTGAAGAGATGACATATAGATACAAAAAGGGCCTTTACAAATTGCATAACTAAGAGGACATAAAAGACACGTAGCAGAAGGTAAATTTACACTCAGTTTTTATTTTTATCGACTATGGAAAGGGGTCCTGTTGCCAGCGGTCTCAGGAACGTTGTGTAATATCCGCCCCAGTTCCATAGTCACAGGAAGCTACAGAAGAAATCAAACCTTACGAAGCAAGCAAAACCGATGTTAAATCTGACAGTTTGATCTTATCTAAAATGCAAAATTTTTCTACACTTTACAATCAGAGCCAGCTGACAAAAAACGCATTACAAATTTATCGTATGACAAATTCATGTGAAAGCTCCGTAGTATCTTTATATTTGCGCTACTACTTGTATATGCACAAGGGAGGTCGGTTCTTTCACATAAGTTTTCCGATCCTGGCAAGAAAAATAGATACGATCAAACAGAGGGAAAGCTGCAAGGGAAAAAGGAGGCTGCGCTATATGAATTACGCTCTTGGACCTTCACGAAAACGAACAGGGCTCCGAATTCGCCGCACATTATTGGGCTCAGCTTTTTGTTGGGTTTAGGACGGTGCTCAAGGCGAGGAGAAGGAGTTTTTTCGTGGATACCCTAAAAACAACAGCTTGAATTTGGAAAACCGAACGACGATGGACTAACAACGCTGGGATGTAAGTGCTCCGAGTACAACTTCAAATTACAAAGTCGATGTTCTCCGTCGTAGTTATGTGCGAACGCAAGATCTAGATCTTGCGTCTTGCTGCTTGGGGTTTCCAGTCATCAGCAGCAACCTCAGTATATATGAAGATCTTCTGGAGAGGACGTCAACATGTCCCTTCAGCACTGCGATCGTTCGAAGGCGCGTTTCATTTTATAGAAGTAAGTAAATGCGTATGCGATTGCGAAGAAAAGATCTCTACTACACTGATGGAGCAGGAGCTATCATCTCTTCTCCTTTCTCTTTCGTTGAACACGGTCTTTGTAGCTCGTCCAAGTTCGCCGTTTATAATTTCTGGCGCGACAGAGAAGATCTCGGCGGGGGAAGTAAGAACAAGAAGGATGATCTTCAGCGCGGTTGAACAACACACAACTACCTTTTAGGTATCATATGCTTATTTCGGGACCGATCATCAGTATCAGACTGCAACTACTTACACACCAGAGTCTGAGCAGTCACACGGCAGCTCGACACCTGATTCCAGTGAAAATTCTTGTCGAAATACCATGCAAAACTGGTTGCGTTTGTTAACGCCTCGAGTAGAAACAAACCTTTATTGATTCCAGTGTATTCTATTTAGTACCAAGCTCATGTGATGATTGAAAGCAAGACGCCATAAAGCAAAACCAATGGAAGAAGAAAACATGTCGAAAATATTAGATGTCGATATCAAGATGAACAACCCGAAGCAGGCCCCCGCACCGAAACATTGTTGCGGGACGCAGGAGCAGAATCCGCATCTGAACACGAAGAAGAAAGTTTCCAAGAAGGCACGTAGAAGCAAAAAGGTCGCCTCCAAAAGGAGCACGGAGAGCAGTGTAGTTCTTTCTATCAAAGAGAAGAAAGGTGCGAAAGGAAAAATAAACTTGCAAAATGACGGGAAACGTCGGGGAGCCTGGAGGGTCGTGGAGAAACATCTTCTACTCGGGTCCTCGGAGAGTACCGCTGATCATTCCCCTGGGCGGGGCGACCTGTTTTACAGCGACCCCACACGGACCACCGGCGCAAAGAACCCAGGCGACTTATCAAAGTGAAAAAAGTTGTCCCCACGACGACCCCATAGAATAATTCAAAAGACCACGGCTTGTGCTGCTGGATCTGTGTACACAAATGAACTACAACTATGTGTTTTTGCAGGACGAAGGGCTTGATGTCGGCATATACTTAATTCTGAGCCCGTTTGGGTTTGGGAGGTACTATGCATCCGGCTGGCAGATCTTCAGCATAAGAGACAAGTCTGCCGGTGGTGAAATAAACGCATGACAGAGGACTCGCTGTGCATCAATGCGCTACATGAGAAGTGCCGTTTGCCTTACTAAATACGCAAAACAAAGCAGCATCACAAAGCTCGCTTCCGAGTATGGTGTGGGAGGGATTTTTCCGCACAATACGGCTTTCCAGAAATCTATCAAATGTAAAAATGTCTGGGTCTGGAAGATTGGAACTTGTGATGCTGCATTTGGATTCCAGAAAAATCTGTATTGCATGAGTACCAAAAGGAATGTAATTGTTGCTACGCGGAGACGGCATCTGTCATGCGGAATAGGCATCAAGAAGCTCTCAAAAAATCTGTGATGCTAGAGCATGCATCACAGACATCAGGGCTCATGCAAAACGTGCATGACAAGTGTCAGAATCTTCCAGACCCAGACATTTTTCCAGTTGATAAAATCATCGGCGTGCGGCGGCCACGGGGGATGACGGCGAATTTGGTTTGCGAGCACCAGGTGTGCAATGCAAAGACGTTTGGGTTCTTTGGATGAGTGCAGGAGTTTGTCATGCATCTTTTGGAACACGCAGAGAGACACTCTGGAATGCACACACAAGAATTTACAAGTTTTGCTCAGGAGGTCTCGTCATGCCTGTCCCACATGAGGAACTGACTACTTGTGTACTAGACCTAAAATGGATATAGTACTTTTGGTGCTCGTCATGCAACACAAGTTCTCGTGTGATCGAGAGTCGGCACGACAACGTTCAATCAACGGCTATTTGCAATGCATATCAGGAGGACGCGAGGCAGCTGTACGAGGAGATTTTTGTGCGGGAGATCTACACTATCCTGTGCAAAAGTATCGTACTCGTAGTAATCGCAGTTATGCATTACAAATTTCTTTCTCAAGTCAAATCCGCAATACAAATTTTATTTCTCATGCTGAGGAAATTTGTCATGTGATTTATACTAGTACGATGCTTTTGCAGTTCATATACACCAACCCGGAGCAACAGACCGCGCGGTACCCCCAGTTCTTGCTGGGAAAGCAGAAGCCGCCCAAATACGACCCATGCCGGTCTTCCTGCAAAAGGGTGGACTGGTACCAGGAACAAATCACCCCGGACGTCTGTTTTGACAACACCCTGCCGCGCTCCCAGGAGGATGCGTGGTGGGCCGAGCGGTTTGAGCAAAAGTTTGACGAACCGCTCCGTTTGAGCAAGAATCTCCTACGACCTCATCCGGAGGTCGGGACGGTAGTCGACGTGGGCGCGCACATTGGTTTGTTCACCGTCTGGGCTGCTACGTATCTGCGGGCGAACAAAGTGATCGCCATCGAGCCCGTGCCGATCAACGTGCAGGCGCTGGAGGAGAACGTCAAGCGTCTGGAGCCGCAACTTGCGGAGAAGGTGCGGCTATGAACTGCAAAAGTGTCGTACTCGTACTTCTAATTGCGTTTATGCATTACATAAGGCAAATCCGCATTACAAACATAATTTGTAATGTTAAGTCAATTTATAATGCAATGTATACTAGTACGATCACGATGCTTTTGCTTTTGCAATGCATAGCGGGTGCTCCCGTTTCAGGCGGTGGGTGGGAAAAAAACGGAGAAACTCACACTGTACTGGCCGGAGGAGAAACCCTCGGAGGCCACGCGACACCCAAGGGAACAGGCGGAGATCGCCTTATCAAATGCAAAAATGTCTGGGTCTGGAAGGTTGGAACTTGTGATGCGGATGATGGAATTGGCAAAAATTTGTATTGCGTGATGGTCAAAAGCTGCTTATTTCGTGCTACGCAAATTGGGAATTTCTTTTTCTCATGCAGGATAGGCATCAGAAGGCCTGCGCAAAACCTGTAATGCTTTTGCGTGCATTACAGACCATTTGCATAATCCAAAGGATGCATGACAAGAAACAAGGGTCTTCTTCCAGAGCCAGACATTTTTGCATGTGATACGCCTCTGAGACGGAACTGGAGCGGCAGCGGTACTACGGAGAGGAGACGGAAAGAACGTCATTCGGGGTGGTCGCCCAGGAAAAAGAAGATGATCTTGTGGCTGGTATAGTACGTCATGATTATGTGTGATTTCGATTTGAGGATACAACACAGACGAGATGATGGTATATCCTTTTTGTTTCGCCGCGCTAGCGGAATTCTTCTTCTTCGCCATGTCGAAATATATACGAACAGGGATGTCGATCATACCACATGATGAGTATGAGAGTGCACCACATAGCTGCCCCTCGTTCTCATTTCTCATCGTGCAAACCACCAGCAGCTCCAGACTGTCCCTCCTGTCACTATTATGCATGACGAGCTCTGGTAGCCCAAATAGCACGACACTGCAGTGTAAATTTGTCATGCAGAGCCGGCATTCTCTTTCTTGTTGATGCTTGTATTGCCGTTCATGCGTACACAAATGAGGGGGAGGGGGAGTTGTGCACTGTCATAGTGAGGAAAAGGACGAGGCGGACCTAGTTATCCCGTGTAAAACCGACCCCACCTCGACCTCCCCAGAATTTATCCAGAGTTGTAATGCCAATCTGCATGCTCAAAAGGTTTCTCATGCGGAGACCCATGTGAAGTGCTATTTTCTAGTTGTCTTTTGAGATTTGTGATGCTAATAATGCACTAGATCCACTGTGATTCTGCTGCACTAGCTGAGCAGAACGCGACTAGATTGCGTGCCCAATAAATTTGTCGTGCGCAGCAACGACCAATGCTTGGTGATATGTCTAGCACCAGATTTTCCATCTTGACTCTGAGGTGGGGACGACGTGTTCTTTGCTGACAATACTGAAGATCCCGGGGAAGAAAATGGACAGCCTGTGCACGATCTCCACGACGCTGAGTCATTTGCTGGAGGAACAGAAGATCACAGATGTCATTATGACCTGCTCAAACGTTACAATCTCAAGCGTTACAATAGAATCTGAGATTTGTCTTGCATGATGAACATGACAGACTCGGACAGCATTCCACTTTCTGCAATACAAACCTCGCCAGATTGTAGTGCGGATTGGGACTCCAGAACTTGTCATGCGCAATCCTATGAGAGTTGGCTGGATCATGCAATCTTGCATCACAGATTTCGATATTCTATTGTAACGTTTGAGATTGTAACACCTGAGCGGGTTATAGTCATCGATCTGCTGAAAATCGATGTAGAGGGCGACGTATGAAATGCAAAAATGTCTGGGTCTGGAAGAATGCAACTTGTGATGCTGTATTTGGATTCCAAAAAAATCTGTATTGCATGAGTAGCAAATAACGGAATGCAATTTTTGCTACGCTGAGAAGGCATTTGTCATGCGGAATAGGCATCAAAAAGCCCTCAAAAAATCTGTACTGCTAGGGTATGCATCACAGACATCATGGCTCATGCAAAATGTGCATGACAAGTGTCAGAATCTTCCAGACCCAGACATTTTTCCAGTTGATACGACGAGCTCGCGGTGCTGCAGGGGGCACCCTTGAAGCGGGTAAACAATGTGGTGATGGAAGTGTTTGATACCGAGTTTACGGGGGAGATCCGTCACTGCTCCCCGGACACGCGAATGCCGAGTATGGCGTTCTCAAACGTTACATTCTCAACCGTTACATGAATCTGTAATGCAAGAACGGCAAAAGTGAAAGCAAAGGGGGAAGATTGCGCCTCTTGCATTACAGATTTGGCACAGATTTAGATGCTGTTTAGCCCTTCGGAGATTTGTCATGCGAAGCAGCTTAATCGTGGCGATCTTGGTGCTAAATTTGCATGACAAATCATGTAACAGTTGAGAATGTAACAATTGAGAACCCCATACCGAGGATCGTTGCCTTGCTCAACCGCAACGGGTTCCGCGTCCGCTGGTGGCGGTACAAGGTCGGTTCGGTGCGGGAAGGGTACCTCTTGGTGGTGCCGAAAACCGCCGGACTCTGGATCCTGCAAGCCAGTCGAAGTCGTCCTGTGTGATTGGAGGAGGACCGTCCATCAAATATACCGTATTTTTGAGAAGCAGCAGTATGGGATGGACTCTACCATTCAACTTCAAAAACATTCAAAAAACTTGGTTTTAATAGAGATTAGGTTTGTTTTGCGGCGCATTCGTCCCGGATTCCGCGACCTGAACTTGATCCTCCACCGTCATCGTTTTGGAAGCCGTTATATATTCATGCTAAATAGCTAGCTTTAAATGAAGATCCCAATTTGAGCTAGATAATGAGGGTGAAACGCAACGCAATTTATCAGGTATTATGATTGAAATTCTTATATAAGTGCAGGAGTTCGTCCGCCAATTGGATCCACTTATCACCGCCACGCACTGCTCTTGGGGCCCCGTGAGAGATTTGCTGGTATAGAGGTCGCGATACCGTCGCGCGTCGGCACTTTCTTGAAGAGGAGTATCCGACTATTTTTGGTTTTTGACTCATTTTTGTCCACCATAGCATCGAGAAGTAGCGAAATCTGACCAAAACCATTCAAATGAGGTATTTTTAAGGTCCCGGATGAGGGTATTTTATACCTCATCCGGAACACGGAAACAGTTCGTGGAGAGGTGAATTCTATACCTCATCAATAGACCTCATCCAATGAGGTACCCGGATACGCAATCACGACGGTATGCTGAATTTCTACTAAAAATCTGCCATACCATGCGGATTGGGAAAAGCGCAATACTTTTCGCGAGCATTCCCAGAATTCCATCGCTTCCGCCATTTTCTAGGTATTCTTCCGCCGCTTTGTCCCACAAATTGCCACGGGGCCCCAGAAGTCCAAGAGGCGGGTCATCAGGCAGGTCACAGGTTGGGTCCGTCAAAAAGGTGGCTGCGGTGGTCTTTGCTACTGTCCTTTATTTCGATGTCTTTTAAAGGGAAAACTAGCTAGCTCAAATTGGGATCTTCATTTAAAGCTGGGTACTTCATCATCGATAACAAACCAAGCTCACCTCCCGGCGATGTCGCCGACAACACGACGACCCAGACGTCCAAAACTGCATGGATAACTGCCCTATTTTGCTTCAGAGCCAAGTTTTTTGAATGTTTTTGAAGTTGAATGGTCGAGTCCATCCCATAAGCAGCGATTTACTTTCCACAGGATGAAGCCGAACTGATTTTGATTTTTCTACAGGTGGTGCGATGCAATGGAAATCTTCACCTTGTCCTAAAGTCGCTTCTGGAACGCACGTTTTCTCAGGAGCACAGAACGAAATAAAACTTCGTGATTATGCTTCCGCCCAGGGTGTGAACATTTCCCTTTCGAGTCGACACAACTTCTAATGCTGCTGTATGAAGCACATGTTGCCACAAAAATAATGATACGCACACAATTCAGTAAGCATCAGCTATTCTTCAGGAGCTTTTCTTTGACAGATAGATACAAACCGAAGGAAGTCCGTTATCTGATTTCACTTTGGAACATTTGGGTATCAGTGATTAGAAACCGCGACTATAAAAATAAAACCACGCTCCCTCCGGGCATGGACTTTGTTACAAACAGAATGTGCTGTTCGCTGTGTTGTGGCTGTCTTGCTTTCAGCACGACACGTGTGCAGTTGAAACGACCCACGATCTTCAATCGATCCTATATTCGGCAGTAATTTTTCCTTAAGAAACAGCTGCACACTGATCCGTAGCGATTTGATTTCTGTGTTGAAAGTTCCTTGTGAGATATGAGTGTGACCGCGATCTTCACCAGCTGCCTTGGGCCTGATCCTGACGATGAGCAGCCCGACGCTGTGCAGCTTGCGGACGAGGACCCCTTCGAGGTGGTCGACACAAGCGGCGAAAAGGTGCAGTACCCCGCCCCGCCACGAAAATACTACACCAAAAGCCGGCTCGCGCGGGTTTTCTGGTGCCTCTCCTGGTGGGCGTTACGGGTCTTAGTCTGCTTTTTTCACGGGACCGTTGTCGTGTTCGTTTTTTTGCAGAACCAAGAGCATGATCAGCGCGTGGAGCAGGCGGAGAGCACCAGGGAAGTAGAACTTCGGCGGAGGTCGTGGCGGGTACTAAATCCACCGCCAGGACGAGAAGAAAATAATAAGCCCAGGAAGAGGAACAAAAATTCGCAGCAACTTGCGAGGGCTGCTACAACTCCCACTATATACGACTACCTTCCGAGCAATGTACAACTTCCAGATGAAAGTTTTCCCTTCGACGAAGCTCTTGCACACAAGAACTACAGCCTTCGGAGGTCCGATCCTGTGTCGTCGCGCGATAAAATTTTGCGGCCCATCGTCACCGTCCAGGAGCCGCTTCTAGGGTTCGACGATGCTCTGGTCAAAGCCCTTGTCTCCACCAAATACGTGAACGAGCAGGCGGATTGCGACGCCGGGGAAGCCGCCGGGCCGCCGAAGGAGACCAACCGGCTCGAGCAGCTCCAGGCCTTCGTGTTGCGTCATTCGCTATGAATTCCAAAGGTAATTTATCGTACTGGTAGTAAATACATAAACAGAATAAAAGAAATCGGCTCAGCATAATAAATGGAGTTTATCATGCGGATTTAGCTTGGGAAGACAAAGACTTTTCATGCATAACTGCAATTTACAACTACGAGTCGAGTGCGATACAACTTTTGCACAGGATATTCGCTAGCACTGCAGGAAATACTCCCTCGGGTAGTAGAAGGAAAAGAGGATCAAGCGGCAGAAACGAAGCTTCCTACTGTACTGCCTGCCGTGGTCCCTGGCGCGACGACGGTCGTGCCGGCAATTACCCCTCTGTCCGCCCCCGACAAACGGCGGCTTCAGCTGGGACCACTCAGCTTGCTGGACGGCGAACCTCTTTGGGTGAAGGCCGCTCGGGAGGTATCCTGAGTAAAAACGTACCCACACCAGAGTCAGGATGGGGATTTTGCAACACAAACCTAGGAGTTTTGTGAGTCACGCATGACAAGTTGGACTCTGCAGTGTAGTGCAGGTTAGCAAGTGCAGCCGCATCACAGATTCATCTGCTCATCCTGTTCACAGCATCACAAATTACAAAACACGATTGGAAATGGCTCTCATGGGGAGGCGCGTTAGAAGTCTTCCTGTCTTTGCAAATCTGCATTACAACTCTGGTGTGGGTACGTTTTTCCTCAGGATAGGAGGCGGCAGCCGGGCAAAAAAGGGCTGCGCGGGCCGCGGAAGATACGAGGCAGGCGGAATTGGCAAGGCTGCGCAAGGCCCTGAGTGTGCAGAGAGGTAGCAGTGGAAAGATACGACTGCGTCTCGTATCCAAGAAGGAATTTGATGGGGCTGACCAAGCAAAGGTTTCCGGACTATCGGAGGAAGACGCGATAAATAGGAGTGCGAAGACTTCTGCCACTCACCGCCACGGAGAAGTGGAAGATCCTTCAAGAACATCAGCGGTCTTGATGTCACCAGCCTCCGTTACAACTGTTGTAGAAGAGCACCACATCTGGCTGCGCAGCGACACGGCGCTTTCCGGGTACGGGCAAATTCTGGAGTACTACCATTTTCTCATCGACTTTCTGCCCCAGATGCTGTACCAAACGCGCGGACTTTGTGAGGAAGTAAAATCAAGAACGACCTGGGTTGGAGCATCGTCAGCATCTTCATCATCATCATCATCATCATTGCCTCCCAGCACAATTCAATCTCCAACCCCATGCATCATCTACCTTCACGTGCCCTGTGCCACGTTTCGCTGGGGCGTCTACCGGCCGTTGACCTACCACCTGGCGGGGTGGCGGGAGAAAAACTACTACGACCTGAAGTCGCACTGGGAAGCCGCTTTGGGCGCCGGGAGGAAGAACCTGGTGCTCGTGTATGAACCGCGACACGGGGCGTTGTTTGGCACCCATCTCGCGGGCAGCTTCCTCTCGCGCGGTGAGCGCACGATTCGGATGGGGCAGATCCGAGAGTTCGTGAACTTTGTTGAGAGGAATGTTGAAGATAATAAAGAACACGGCTACGACGGTGCTACAAGTGTTGTAACAGGAAGCGCCAGTCCCAGTCGCTCCTCCGGCACATTGTCCCGAATAGACGCCGGCAAAGTAGAAAGCAGCTGGAACTCGAACTACAGTAATCATCCCAACATTGTGTCCTGGTTGGAGTCGGAATTTGTGACGAGGAACGATTCGAAAAGAATCGTGCGCGAGTACGGCAGCCAGAACAGGTCCCTGACCTTGAAGAGGAATAGTGAACATGAATTTGAAGACGAACAGCAGCGTGTGGCCCATTTCATCCTAGATGCGGACGTCACTACGCCGGTTGTACGGACGGCGAGCGAAGCCAATAAAGCAAGACCAAAGCGGGGTGCTGAAGATAACGCTGAACGACCTGGCGGGTCTGGGTCTGAGAGTAGAACTCCTGAAGCAGGAGCTTCTATACAACCGACAACCACAACAAGAGCTGCTCCGGTACAACTGAAAAATAGATCGTCGTCTTTGGGCGAAGATCAAAATAAGTCGCACGTTAGGCTGAAAACAACTCTGCGGGTGATGGAGGGCTTTGATCTGGTAGGAAGGAAAGAAGAAATCTCGCAGCTACCGCAGCGCGTGTACAAATACGCACGTGAATACCTGTGGCGATTGGCCGGAGTTTGGCCTGAAGAAGACGAGAACGGGGCCCCGCGTGATCACATTAGGCCTGTTTCATCTGCCTACGAAGACAATATTAAAGAAGGAACGCAAGTGCAGGCGACGAACAGTCCGGCATCTACTACTTCTGCCGATGATGCCGGCGGACAGCGCGAGGACCCGGAAGAGCACAATAACAATGTAGCAGGACGAGAACAACTACACAAAACGAGAAACCGTGCGTCGATCAACCACAACATTCTGATCATGCTCCGCAAGCAAACGCAGCGGCGGAAGAACCTGAGCGCAAAGTGGGAAACGGAGGCAAAAAGGTTGGAGGCATTGTTGGCACAATTTGCTGCAACTAGAAGTACTGCGGACAGAACTAGGAGTTCTAGTACTACAGCTGCAACATCGCCTTCGTTCACCGTGCGAATGCTGGACCCTGCGGTAGATTTGGGTCCCAAAAACTCCGCAGCACTCGAGGAAGAAACGCCGGTTCTTGTGGATTCCATCCGCGTTTTTTACAACGCCACGGTGCTGATCGGGACGCACGGAGCGGCGCTGTCAAACGCCTTGTTCATGAAAAGCGGCTCGCTTCTCGTCGAGGTCGGGCCTCGGAACGAGGGGTTTGCCACGCCCTTTGAAAACTTAGCGAACCGGACCGGGATCGACTACATATGGACCGGGAAGGAAATCGAGAACTGCACGGAAAGGATTGTTTTTCCCGGAATCAAAAAGTTTTTCGGTCTGATGTGACGTTAGAATCGAGTGAAAGACAAAAATTCATGGAATTTGGTGAATATTTCTTGGCTAGAGGGAAGAGGTGAGGCTGAGGATCAAGGCAGTATAGGAGGACGAACAAGTTGACCAAGACTTGAAGCAGGTTTCGTTTCGGCTTCTGAGGAATTGAAAAAGAAGTAGTACGTAGCGCGGGGAAAAATAAAAAAAGGTTCCTCCTGCGATGTTGATTCAAGGTCGATTTTTTTCTCAGGTTCCTTGAAGTACTCAGAGATGCGAGTGGAAATGGACAGTGTTCGTGTTGCCGTGCGCGGCTGGCCGTTGTGTTACTATTTCGACGCTGCTCGTCGTGTTTGCTTGGTAGGTGTTTCCCCCCCCCTCGTACCCCAAAAACGGAAAAGTTTTCAATACATACAACCCAAACCGGATCGACATCAAACACGGTCTTGTTTCAGAAGCCATCAACCGTTGATATGATTTTTCTTTTGAAATAAACCTAGGGAATACAGCGCACGTCAGTCACTACAAGAGGCCAGCAGAGCAGGTTCTTCTGGGCTGCGAGGGTACCAAGAAAAAACCACAAAGATGCGTGTCAACAACATTGTTTTATTCGCCGCGGGTTTACTGCGGGTTTCCCTTGCTCCGGGATTTCTGTCCTTCGCGTCCGCCACCACCCATGCGCGCGCGCACGAGGGAGAGATCAACTGGGGTGCGACCTACAACACGCCGGAAAACGCATACTTTTTGTGGCTCGAGACCGCGACGACGAATCCTTTCCTGGTGGTCACTTCCACAGCCACCGCCGACATCGCCGAAACCGTGATCGTATGAACTGCAAACGTATCGTACTTTTAGTAAAAATTGCATTACAAATTAGCTCAGCACTTTTACAAATTAAGTTTGTAATGCGGATTTACCTTTAAGAAAAGATTCGTAATGCATAAACGCAATTAGTACTACGAGTGCGATCCTTTTGCAGTGCATAGATGGACAACGATCACCACGCCGTACAGGACAACGCTCGCGAGCTGCTGCACGAGGCGGAGGACGGGGATGGGTGTGTGAAAAACGTCACCTCCCTGCTCACCGCGCACGACACCACCCCGGCCACCGGCGCAGTTCCCGCGTCGGAATTGACGTTCGCGCCGAACTCCACCTGCGCCTACCGGTTACTCGCGTCCGGGGCAAGCACGACGCTGCCCATGAAGTTGTTCAAGCTGGACCTGACCGGCGCGAACCACATTTTGCTGTTTTCGAACTCGTCCAGTATCTTCACGCACCTGCAGCTGCTAGACGAAGAAGGCCACGTGATCAAGGCTGCTATCAAATGCAAATATGTCTGGGTCTGGAAGATGTCATGCTGTTTTTGCATGACACAGCAGGTCTGGCATGGAAGCGCCAGCATCACAGGTTTCGAGAAGGTTTCGCAATGCCTAATCCGCATGACAAATCCCCCCTTTGGTGACAGGAAGTAGGCGTCTTTTTCTGCCTATGCATGAGAAATTTGTGTGTGTTGTGAAATGCGCATCACAACTTCACATGCTTCCAGATCCAGACATTTTTGCAATGCATAGCTGCGCACAAACTGCACGAAGCGCACGCCGCCCCGGCTGCCGCGGCGCACGACGACCACGACCACAAGCCGTGGGGGGAGGTGCTGCTGGCCTGCTTGTATCAGATGCAAATATGTCTGGGTCTGGAAAGGTTGAACTTGTATTGCGTGTCCAGGACTCCAGAAAAATGTGTATTGCATAAAAGCAACAAAAGCGCCACAGTTTCGTCATGAAAAAGCGCAGTTTGTAATGTGCACTGAGAATGAGAAAGCATTTTTACAAATTTGTCATGCAGTACTGCACTCAAAGGCGTTCTCACTCATGACCTATCAGCATTACAGATTTCCAGACCCAGACATTTTTGCATTTGATAGCTTGACGGTGAACCTGATTGCCTTCACGGGCGTCTTAGTGGTCGCCGCCACCATGGTCTGCAAAAAGGGAGAAGAGAACATGACCGACTTTGCCAAGGCGCACGCGGAAAAAACCCGCCAGGTGCATATAATATGCTGCATTTGAGTGGTCCAAAGTTACTTTCAGGAAGATTGTTTTGAAAAATCTTTTTTCTACTAGAAAAATCTTTTTTCCACTACTGCTCTTGGATTATTACTTCCGTGTGTTGACTTAAAATCAGGCTTCGTGGATTGCGGGCTCTTCGGCCTTCGCTGCGTATCAAAGGAAAAAGTGTGTATAGTGTAACTTCTTTGCAGGAACTGCATCACAGATTTGGTGTGCATGACAGAGCAAACCTGTCATGCGTAGCCAGTACGCGGAAACACGTATGAAAATTGCCTCTGAAGATGCACATCCGGCATGACAAGTGTAACTGTATTGCAACGTCTGCAACACAAAGTTACACTTACACAGTTTTTTTCTTGCATACTGCGGGTGCGTTGCTCGCGGCCGCGGCGTATTTCATGTGGTTCGAGGCCACGCACCTGATCACCGATGGCATGACCGACGCGGAAGAAAGTACCATCGTGTTCCTGTATGGTAGAGAAGAAAGAACAAGTTCTTCTGCTGCGTCAACTTGGTGAATTTGATGTACATATTAGCGATGTGCATCTACTCCCGAGAATGTTGGCTCATCTCGACACTCTAAGTGCCACTACACATGATCAACATCAAGTTAAAATATGCACTTGTCGAACGATAGCAGTACTTGGAATTCTGCTTGTACGCAGCTCAGAATCTTTCTTCCCTCGCATACCGTTTGGGGAACCGCGATTCTGTTCGGTTTCCTCGTGCCGCCCGCGATCAGCGTTTTGTTTCAGTTCATCCTGTATGCATTGCAAAACCATCGTACTAGTATGAATTTCATTACAAATTTGCTCCTCAGCATGAAAAATTACATTTGTCATGCAGTTCTACCTTGGAATGGAAATGAGATTTGTCATGCCTACACTGCAATTACAACGAGTACGATGCTTTTGCACTGGATATCCTGCCGCAGAAAGACGAGGGTGACTCGGTGGTCGGAACCCCCACGAACAAGGTCGCTACTGCGGGGGAGCTGGAGGGGGTTGCCGACGGTGCGGTGGCCGCGAAGAAGACCGACGTTGTCATCGAAGAGAACATATCCCCTGCAAATATGTCTGGGTCTGGAAGATTGCTAGACTCGTCATGCTAGTCCGGCATGACTCGAAACTCTGTGATGCAAATGGGCATCAAGAAGGGTCCTCTTGCTTGTCATGCAAGAACGCAGCGCGTCATGCATGCGGAATACGCAACATAGTTGTAGGATGCGAAAAAAATTGTCATGCGAGGCTGCGTATGGCAGGGCGCCTATAGTTGACTTCTAGCATTGCAACCTTCCAGACCCAGGCATGTTTGAAGTGCATAGCACATCAAGGACGAGCCGCTGCTGAAGAAGCTCTCCTCGACTTTGCTCGTGTCCGTGTTGTTGGGTGATTTTTTCCACAACTTTGCGGACGGCGTGTTCATCGGTGCTGCCTTTCTCACCTGCAGCCACAGCCGTGGCTGGATCGTCGCGCTCGGGGCGGTGTTGCACGAGATTGCGCAGGAAATTGCGGACTACCTGATGCTATGAACTGCAAAAGTATCGTACTAGTAGAAATCGCGTGACAAATTCACTCAGCATGAGAAATGGAGTTTGTCATGCTGTTTTGCCTTGGGATCGAGATTTGTAATGCATGACGGCGATTACTAGGAGTACGATACTTTTGCACAGGATAGATGCTGACCGGCCCGGGCAAGCTGACGCCGGTCCAGGCGCTGGGGCTGAACTTCACCTCCGGTTTGAGTGTGATGCTGGGCGGCCTGCTATCCTGTGGAAAAACGTCCCTACCCCAGAGTCGTCAAGATGGCAATTCTCCAGCACAGATCCAGAGGATTTGGGAGTCACGCATGACAAGTTTTTTCCTGTACTGTAATGCGGGTTAGCAAGGGAAGCCGCATCACAAAGCCATCCTGGCATCCTGTTTCGAGCATCACAAATTCCATTACTTACATGATTAGAAATGGTGCCTCTCATGGGGATGCGCATTACAAGTTTTCCTGTCGTTGCAAATCTGTATGACAGCCTTGCGGTTGGGGCGCTTTTACTTTGGATACCTGCTGGCCCTCGCGAGTGACTACGACGAGCTGACCGTGGGACTCATCGTCGCTTTCGGCGGTGGCACCTATCAAATGTAAAAATGTCTGGGCCTGGGAACTTGTGATGCTGGGTAGCCTCTCATGATGAGGCTACAAATGCTGGCTCAGCATGACAAGTTTCTGAGCTCCTAGGTGTTGCCTATTCTGCATGACAAACTGCGCTTGTGCATCACAGAAAAACGCAGATCTTGGGTAACGTGCATGACAGAGTTAGGAGTCATGCCAGACAAGCATGACAAACATGAATTCTTCCAGACCCAGACACTTTTACAGTTGATAGCACCTACGCCTATTTGGCCTGCGTGGAGTGCATGGGCCGCGCCATGCCCCCGGCTGGTTCGGTGGACAGCGGGAAGAAGCAACACGTCAGCGCAAAGCAGCAGCTGGCCGGCTTGGGGCTGTTCGTCCTGGGGGCCGTTTGCATCGGCTTGGCGCTGTTTGAGCACGAGCACTGCGGTGCCCACGACCACGGTGCGGAAGCCGGGGCGGCTGGCGGAGCGCACGCCGGCCACGGCCACTAGACGAGTTTGATAAACGATCCGGATGGTGCTGCATATCCGGACGCCGCACCACGGCCACGGCCACTAGACGATCCGGATGGTGCTGCATATCCGGGTTTGAATTGAACTTGTCTTCGTCTCCGGCATATAGTTGTACCAAGTACAGCGGAGACCATGTTTAATGTTTTACCGTTTCGCTCTGCTTCTGGTTCTGCTATGTTGATCTTGTACTTGTTTCGAAGTTTGTTCAACAGCAGTACGTACTGTTAGTACCAAATGTAAATCGGTGCGGTCGGCGTCTCGTCGTGGAGGAAGTCTTTCATCTTCACCTGCGGCACCAGACGCGCCTTGGGTAAATCATTCATTCATTCATTTCTTCTGCTCTACTCCGATATGGAGTTTACTTTCAAATGTAAGATTTATCCCAGAGTGGTCCTGTAGTACCGAGCGTATGTTCTAAACGCTCCTAGATAGTTTCGAACTTTGTTTTTCTTCACATGAAGTGGATTTGGTCCGAGTGGTCACTGAAGTTAGGTTCACTGGCTTTTTCACCAACATACTTATCGTTCTGTAGAGAATTATCTGAGCGTCGATAAAAATACTGTTTCGTTCTCTAGAAGATTTTTGTACTTATTTTACCGGGCGAAAGGAAAACGAAAATTAGTCTCTGTGTCGTGTCTATACTCAAAAAAAGTTAGAGCTTTAGTGGTCAGTTCGTTTTTAGAGAAATGGAAAATGAATGTTTAGTCTTGATTTAGTCCTTTCGAGTGGGTCTGTAGAATACTGTGTTGGTTTACAAATCGAAGTATTACATGCGGCTGGTACGTTAATTGAGTTTCTCCATACTTTCTCGCAGTAGCGGTGGGCACAGCAACGGAGGAGGCCCTTGACTAATGTCGTCGCGTTGGTCCAGGTAGCTCTCTTTCAAAAACATTGAAACCGAATTGAATTTGCTACTGCATCTGAGAATGGTTAGGCGGAGTTTTGTGACATCGGGCGGAGTTTTGTGACATCGTTCAGCAGGTCTGCACCTGGGAGGATTTTGTAGTTCACCCAGACCTCGACGACCTCCCGGAGCTCTACCGAGACGCCTCGCTGCCGAGGCCCAAGAAGTGGCGCATTTCAGAAATAGAGTGCGCGTGCTCGGAGTGCCGCCCGGGGAACAAGGGACCGCTGAAGCGCTTCGGCTCTCTCCGCGCGGCATTTGTACACATGCGCTGTCGGCAACAAGCCGCCGCGGAGGAAGAATTTGGCGAGGCGTTCGCGCCACCACCAAAACCACAGCCGGAGCAGAGAGCGCTGCCGAAGCGGCTCCGGAACGAAGAGCCGCAGCGAGTAAAGCAGGCGCTCGAGCTGCGCGGGAGCAGCAAGGAGCTTCCGGTGGGGATTACCTTCAACACGGCGATCAAGAAGCTCGTAGCTACTGTGCGCATTACCGACGACGCCGGGGAGGTCTTCCCGCTGACCCGCGTCATCGACCCGGAACTTCACGCGACAGCAGACGAAGCGGTTGAAGCGGCCGAAGAGGTCCGCGCCGCACTGCGGGCCGACCCCTGGGAGGACGTTGCCAGGATCCGGGCGCAGAGACGCGCGCGAGAGGCCCGCGAGGGGCCGCAGCAGTAACACGAAACTGCGATCACGACGGCCCTCTCGGCCCCGCGCCTGGCCGAGCGCACAACGCACAGCTATGTATTGGGTCGGGATCAGAAGAAGCAGTTCACTCCGGTAGCGACCCCGGAGTCAGGGCGCTGAAACGTTGAGCCTCGCGCAGTTAGTCCCTGCGCGCGCGAGGACTGAAAGAATGAGTCTCCTCTCACTTTGACTCCTCTGTTGAACCAATAGGGTTGTAGTCTCGGGAGATCTTCCGTGGTGCATAGCGTTGCGTCGTTCCCTGCCCCGGTCTAGTGAGCCACATGCGAAGAGGCCACCGCCAACCACCACCCCTCGAAGTGAAGTGAATAAATTGTAATTGTAATTGTAAAAGCGCGACAAAAAATAATCAAGAAAAGCTGCTTTGGAGCTGGGGTGTGGCCAATCACATCTGTGGGTTTGTCCTGTTTTTAGAGAAAATGTTTTTTGTTTCTCATCCGGTCGTGCGAAGAGAGAAAAGTGATTGCGCGGAGGGCTGTGGTTGCAGAGAGGTAGTTTGGGGGGGGAACTTTAGCTGTGATGAATGTGAGCGGATATTTGGAACGCCTAGGCCTGCTGGTTGTATTTGGCTCAATCTACGTCTCTGATTTCTTTTCTGCGGCTGCTATTGTGTGATTATAGGAAAACCGAATTTCGAAGTTTTCCCCACTCTGTATCATTTCCGACGGTACTCAGCAAGCATTGGGAATTTTCCACCCACACAGCATTCATCTCCAAAAACATGAGGTCGACATCTTTCGCAACGCGGCTCGGAGCAGGCCTCCTGCTGGCCTGCACGCCGGGCCAGGCCACGACGCACGCGCATGGACACGAGGGGCAGATCAACTGGGGCGCCACCTACAACACCCCCGAAAGCGCGTACTTTTTGTGGCTCGAGGCCGCGACCACGGATCCTTTCCTCGTGGTCACTTCCACGGCCACCGCCGCCATCGCCGAGGCAGTGATTGACAATGATCACCACGCCGTGCAGGATACCGCGAAGGAACTGTTGCACGAAGCGGAGGACGGGGATGGGTGTGTGAAAAACGTCACCTCGTTGCTCAACCCGTACGACACCTTCCCGCCGGCGTCCGTCGCCGCTTCGGAGTTGACGTTCACCCCGAATAATACCTGCGCGTACCGGTTGATTGCGTCTTCCGCTTCGACGACGGTCCCGATGAAGCTCTTCAAGCTGGATCTGTCGTCCGCGAGCCACATCCTGCTCTTCTCTAATTCCTCCACGGTGTTCTCGCACTTGAAAGTCACCGACGGGGAAGGGCACGTGATTGCCGCGGCGCACAAGCTGCACGAAGCGCACGCAGCCACGACCACAGCCGCGGCTGCCCACGACGACCACGACCACAAACCCTGGGGCGAGATGCTGTTAGCGTGCCTGATGGTCAACTTGATCGCCTTCACGGGCGTCCTTTTCGTCGCCGGAACGCTGCTTTGCGGGAAGAAGGAAGAGGGAGACGACTTCAACACGGCGCATGCGAAAAAGACGCATGAAAACAGCTGGATCGCGGGCTCTTCCGCGTTCGCGGCCGGGGCGCTGCTGGCCGCCGCGGCATACTTCATGTGGTTTGAGGCCACGCATCTGATCCAGGACGGCATGAAGAGCGCGGAGGAGAGCACCGTTGTCTTCCTGTGGGGCACCGCACTGCTGGTCGGCTTCCTCTTGCCCCCGCTGGCTTCCTCTTTGTTCCAGTTGTGCCTGGGGCAAGGTGCAGCAGCTGCACCAGCAGGTGCAGCTATTGAGGACGGAACACCGGTGCATAACAAAGTGGCCGCGGCTGAGCTGGTATCAAATGCAAATATGTCTGGGTCTGCAAGATTCCGAGACTTACCATGCAGATTTTCCATGATCCATGTCGTTTGAATGCAGGACCTAACATGACAGGTTCTGTGAGATTCCTATCATGCTTAATCTGCATGAGAAACTTCGTTTCAACTTGGTCAAAAGTGGACAACTTTTGGCATTCATGCAACACAGATTTTTGCACGATCCACAATTAGCATTACTAGTTGCATCCTTCCAGACCCAGACATTTTTGCAATGCATAGCTGGGCGGCGTTGCGTCGCAGGATGTGGTCGTGGAGGAGGAGCCGATGTTGAAGAAGCTGTCCGGCACTTTACTAGTGTCCGTCTTGCTCGGTGACTTTTTCCACAATTTCGCGGACGGCATTTTCATCGGCGCCGCGTTTCTCACCTGCAGCCACACGCGCGGGTGGATCGTCGCGCTCGGGGCCGTGTTGCACGAGATTGCGCAGGAAATCGCGGACTACCTGATGCTATCAACTGCAAAAATGTCTGGGTCTGGAAGGATGCGAACTTGTGATGTGTGTTGCGGATCATACAAAAATCTGTGTTGCATGACTTGCAAAAGGGTCCCATTTGTTCTGGCCATGCTGAGAGGGCATTTCTCATGTAGGCATCACCAAGGGGCTGCAGAACCTGTGATGCTAGGCCCTGCACTACAGACTTGGCGGAGCTTGGAAAAACTGCATGACAAATCTCGGAATCTTCCAGACCCAGACATGTTTGCATTTGATAGATGCTCACCGGCCCGGGCGGGTTGTCGCCGGTGAAAGCGCTGGGATTGAACTTCTGCTCTGGCTTGAGCGTCATGCTGGGCGGCGTACTGGCGTTGGCGAGCGACTTATCGCAAGGAAAAACTGTTTCACTGTAAACTTGTGATGCATAGCACGGAACGCAAGTGTCGTGTGTTTGTGTTGCTACACCTGCAAGACATTGGAATTTTAGCTGTGTTTTCCCTTAGGAAGCACGCATGCCAAGTTTTCTTTGTCATGTGTAACAAACTTCTTGTGAAGATGCAGATCTACTTGCAAAATCATCACAGTGTTGAAGCAGTTTTTTCGTGGGATACGACTACGACAAGGTCACCATCGGGCTCATCGTTTCCTTCGGCGGTGGTACCTACGCGTATTTGGCGTGCGTGGAATGCATAAGCACTGCAAATATGTAGTCTGGGCTTTGGCATAAGTGAATCTGTGATGCGGACGTGCGGATGAAGAGATTCGGTAATTTGCCTGAAGTGCAGCCACGCATGACAGGTTACTAAAGTACCACTTACAGATCATTCTGCAGGAATGCAAAACACCCAAGAACTACACAGTCTGCACGTTCCCCGTCGACCCAGACTACATATTTGCAATGCATAGTGCATGGGCCGTGCGGTCCCGCCGACGGGTGGGGTGGGCGCACAGAAGGCGGCGGATCCGGTGCATGCTCTGAAGATGCTGGGCTTGTTCGTCCTTGGCGCTGTCCTGATCGGCCTCGCGCTACTGCAGCACGAACACTGCTCTGGCGGCGGACATGTGGGGCATGGGGGAACCGCTGCCGCAGGGGGCCACGCGGGACACGGGCACTGAGGCAGGGGATACGGGCAATTATGTGGTGACGCCGTGGTCGACGTCTTGCGGGAACAGATGATATCTTTTTATCAGTTACATGATTTTTACGAAGAAGCCGATAGCTGTAGAGATTGTGGTCTAGTAACAACAATATTTTCGTGGTCAACAAAATCATTCAACGTACTATCAAAAGTCCGTCAGCCTTGTACTAGTTTCTCTACTACTACTTTTCGCAGCACCTTTATCAGTGTGGTTTCGCTCTCTGATTTTTATGTCGCTGGAAATGAACGATTGGTTAGAAGTCCCTTATTGATCGTTTTGGGAAGTATGGAATGCGTTTCAGTTTCAGCAGCTTTTTGGGGTTCCGTAGTATCTGTTGCAGCTTTTTTTCTCCACTATTCTAGCAGTACACCAAGTGGTTGTAAAATGTAACATAGAGTGGTTTAGTTTTTACTGCATAAGTATGCGAACAAATGTACCTACGAGGTTAAGCAATCGAAGTGGTAGACGTAGAGCCATGTCAGAAGATCAAAATGAGAGAAACTGTTTGAAGTTCAACAAAAAGGAAAGTGTCGTGAGTGGGCCACTCTTGCACGTGGAAGCAAGTACTGTTGTAAGATTAAAAGGTAACTCTACGTGGTCCATGGTCTTTGCTTACTTATTTTCAAGAAAGCTATTCCTTTTCATCTTGTGCAGTACTGGCAAAAGAAGAATTTCCTAAGAGATTCGTTTCTAGACAAAATAATTCCACTTGAATGCCGCACTTTTTATGTGGTTTACGGTTGATATGTTAGACGAGACACAGCAGCAAGTGCATGAGAATGCCTTGTCAAGAAGTGGTGGTGGTCGGATCCGAGCAGCGTTGCGATATTGTTGTTGTTCCTTTTTTCTTTTTTTTTAACAAGCAGATTCTGAATGGTTTTTCGTTTTCACCCAGGTCGTGCGTGTTTGCAGATTTATTTTCAGAGCTTGGTATGAAAGCTCGGTCTTTTTTTCAATGCAGAAAATTCAATTGTATTGTCAAATCGTATGATGGCATCTTCTGAAATAGATTAGGCACGGAACTATTTCTCGCGCGGGAAGATCAGAAGGCGCTTTGGATCTGTATTGAAGTTTGCATTTTTGAATCTGCCAAACCGAATATATAAAGCATTATAATTTTGTTGATCCACTTCGTATTTTGAACATGTCTTCAACGTCGATCTCTTTCTCATGCAGCTCCGGTACTACCTTTTTTGAAGAAGATCCTCAGGTTCAAGTTTTGTCCCACGACGACCTAGACAACCCGAGTAGTTGTAGCCGGGGAACAGGCAGGAGCAGTCGCAGTTCGCAACTCCGCCTTTTTAGTGCAAGAACATCTTCAAGTTTATCCTCCTCGTCATCAAGTCCCCCGCAGCACGCAGGACGAAAAAACCGCTGCAGCGCAATCCCGGGTACTCGTTCGAGAAGTAGGTCTTCTCTTTGCCGTCGTGGGATCAGGACCACGACCCGCCGGGCAATTATCGCTGCAGAAGATTTTCTACCCGCTCGAGCCGTATGTTCCACTTCAGCCCGCAGTTCGTCCTCCTCCAGTGGGTTTGTTTCTACCAGCACCAAAAGGAACTCCTTTGTTGCGACGAAGAGAAGAAGAACTAGAACACCACCGCCACCACCAGCATTTTTCTTGCAAGAACTACCCCAGAGAAGAAGTAGTTTTACTTGTGCTCCCGTAGATAAGAATTCGGCGTCGACAGCGATGCAGCAAATGAATTATGTCGAGGTGGAAGATGAAACCAGCAGTAATGATGGCAACTTGAACTACTTTACCAACACCATCCCTTACCGCCGAGAAATGACCGCGCGACACGGCGGCTCTGCGAGGAGAACACTACGGAATAATAAACTCGCCAGCGTGCTCACGACGCTCGTGCTTTCGTCCACTTTGCTGGTTGAGGAGCAAATAACCCTGGTCCAGAGTCGGCGCGCGCCGGTGGGGACAAACTCGAAGGGCGGGGCGTGTTTTGGAGCCTACGTCTGCCCGGCGCTGCGACTAGCGGAAGATCGCCCGGTCGTGTTGCACCTGCCAGCCTCCAAGGCACAATGGAAGGCTGTCGTGGAGTCTGGCTCTCAGGGGTTGACAAGTACTCACTTACTCGATCGTTTTGAAGATTGCTTTGTGTGATGACAACGAGGCCCATAGACGACCGTTCTAGTGTTAGTGATGTAGCGGTGATCGTGATGTTATAAACAAGACCGATGTAGAAAGAAGAAAACTAGATTTTTGACTGCAAAGCCTTCCAATGTACTAGATTTGCGAGCGCCTTTAGTCGGATAGCACCTACTAGCGCTTCTGCCGTTTTCGTAGTTTTAAATTGTGCTTGCACAACAACATCGACAACGCAGGAACCTCTTCTTCCTACCTGAGCCAGCCGAGTCAACAGCCAAAGTCGCTGAGTCGCACCGAGTCGCTGCCGGCTTCCTCTATCCTGTCGGGGTCCACCAATTCCGGGAGCCACCAAAGTCTGTCCTCCCTTGATTCCACAAATAACGGCGGGGGCACGACGACCTTGGTCACCGAGGAAAGGCTGAAACAGATCAGCAAGGAGTTGGATGACAGCGAGTCCGCACCGATGCCGGAGCTCCGGCCCGGCCAGTACCTGCGCGCACGCATGCTGCAGCGGGTGCCCGGAGTGCGGGAGGCGGAGGTGCCGCAAGCCCTGCCGACGCTGCGATCCAAATTGCTCACCGTGGAAGACTCGCAAGTGTACGGGATGGGTGGAGGTTCGGGCGACTTCCTGGGGGGAGGGGGTTCCGACCTAGATATCGACGACCTCAACTCCTGGTCGCGCCAAACCACACCCGGGTCAGACGCCAGCAAGAGCAGACCCAAGGGCGCAGCGAAGGTACATCAAAACTTTAAAAGCGCAAAATCATGAGAAGTGCCGGTCGCATCTTCACTAAATTTTCATCTAGGAAGATATGGATCGTTAACGCCAGCGATAGGACCAACAAAGAATCAGTTGAAAATCACTTTTCATCGCGCTTATCAACAAAAATCTGTATTTCTTTATCCCAGGTCGGCTCTACCGCGAGCACTGGTTCCGCCGCCCGGAACCGCCCGCGCTGGAAGTTTTTCGTCTCGGAGAGACTTGTCAACGGTGAGCGGGATAACACCGCCGGGCTCGGGGGGCGGCGCGGGGTGATGTCCTGCCTCGCCCCGGACGTGATTCTCCTGTACCCTAGCTTCTACGGACTAATCGAGCAGGTGCGCGTGGCTATCAAAGAGGAGCGGTTGAACAATTGCGGCAGCTTTATCCAGGACGACGATGACCTGAATACCACCCTCAAGGATGGCTGCAACGTCGGCGTTTTGAAGGGACTCGGGAAGAGTTTCCGCCGGATGTTCACCTCGAATGGAAGCAGCGCCAACCCTGGAGTTGGAGTATGTATTGCAAGATTATCGTACTAGCAGAAAAAATAGCATTGCAAATTTTTCCAGAAGGAAAAATGGAAGTTGTAATGCTGAATGAGCTGAGGAACCAGATTTGTCATGCGTGACTGCAATTACTACGAGTGCGATTCTTTTGCAATGCATATGGAGATTCCGTCAGCAACTGCGAGACGCGGTGCTCGTCCGGCTACGCTTCCTCGTCCGGCAGCCCGAATTCTATCCGCCCCGCCATGAGTCCCTACGCGCGTTCGCTGGGCTCGGGCCCGGGGCCGCTGAGCCTAGATCAGGGCTCTGGGTTCTCGTCGCCGACGTCGATGGTGGGTGGCAGGAGCGATTCCTTCGCGACGAGCACCGACTACATGGGCGCCTCGAGGTATGACAGTGCACAACTCCCCCTCCCCCTCATTTGTCATGCAAAATACCCAATCCACCCTTTGCCTCTTGGCACTGTTTGCATGAGAAGTTCTGGTCGCCCAAATAGCACTACACTCCACTGCAAATTTGTCATGCAAAACCGGCACTCTTGCTGATGCTTGTATTGCCGTTCATGCTACACAAATGTGGGGGAGGGGGAGTTGTGCACTGGCATATGAGGTCCGATGTGATCAAGTGCATCCGCGACCCGGAGCTGACACGAAGTATGCGGGACCAAGGCAGTCTGCCCGAGCACATGTTGGACACCACGCACCGAGGCTTGATGGACGTCCTTCCACCGGAAGCCGCGGAGGAGTTCGCGAAGACGGGGAACTGGGTCTTCGTGCAGGAAAGTGGTATATCTATAAATGAATAACGGTTTTTAATACCTCGTGAACGAGGGGGTCCTTCCAGCATACTTAATTTCTATTCCCGGTGGTCGTGTTACTGTTAAACGTAGTTAAGGATGTTGAAATGATACGTGACAAACTTTTTTTTCGTGAAACACACTAGACCTCGGCCTTTCCCTCGCCACCAGCGGGTCCTCCACGCCCGGGGGAGCGTTGACCGCAGGCGGCAGCGCGATTGGGACCCCGACCGACGACTGGTCGCGCGGCAGCACGCCGGTGCAAATGGCCATCATATGAACTGCAAAAGTATCGTACTAGTCGAAACGCATTACAAATTTCCTCAGCATGAGAAATAAAATTTGTAATGCGGATTTGCCTCAAGAAAAAGATTTGTCATGCAAGACTTGCATTTATACGAGTACGATACTTTTGCACGGGATACATCACGGGGTTACTCGACGACCCCGCCACGGTCCCCGTATCCTGAGAAAAAACGCCCCCACCCCATAGTCAAGATGGGGATCTCGCAACACAAATCGAGAAGTTTTGGGAATCAAGCATGACAAGTTCCTCTCTGTAGTGTCGTGCAGTTTAGCAAGTACAGCCGCAACACAAATCCATCTAGTCATCCTGTTTACAGCATTACAAAGTCCAAAACACGATTGGAAATGCATCTCATGGGGATGCGCATTACAAATCTTCCTCTGACTGCAAATCTGCATGACAAGTATGGGGTGGGGACGTTTTTACTCAGCATAACCCGGTGCGGCACCCCATCCTCTCGCCGGCGACCGGTTTTTGATGGACCTCTACAGCAGCATGACCACCACCGACGCCGATAGCGACGACCAGATGGTGTTTTTCCACAATCTCCCCTCCTCCGCCTCCCGCCAGAGCATGCAGTGGGCCTGGGACCAGTGGAAGCAGTTCATTTACGGGACGATGACTCAATCCTCACTGGCGGGACTAGCAGGAGGCGCAGCTGCACACCATAGTACTAACGCGTTGCAGCCGGTCAGCACGCTCTACCAGCGACAAACCACCGACCCGGTTTCGCTCTTTGCGCACGACTACGTCTTCGAGTTAGAGAACGAGTACGGGCACTGTCGCGGACTCTACACCTGCGACGCCTCGCGCCGGGATCTGGAGCGGATCTACGGGCTGGCGCACCCCAACGCGGGGGTCGGGACGTACCTGGACAATCGGATCCGGTTTCAGCTGCAGATTCCCGAACAGATCGCGGTGGGCGCAAAGAAAGAGGCCGGACGGCTGGCCAGCGACGCGCAACTGCGGGCGAAGCCGGGGTTTCCGCTCAAGGCCGGCGAGTACATCGAATTGGAGGTGAATCGTCCGGCGATGTCGACCAGTGTCGCGCACGGCACGAACGCGCTGGACGAAGATAACTGGACGCTGATAGATATCCTGTGTAAAAACGTCCCCACCCCAGAGTTGTCATGCAAACCTGCATGCTCCAAATGTTTGTCATGCGGAGCACCATCCGAAGCATTTTCTGGTTGTGTTTTGGAATTTGTAATGCGCCAATGAGCATGGTATACTAGATCTGTGACGCTGCTGAACTACCTCAAACAGCGCTACCCTGCGATCCCAAATTTGTCATGCAAAACAGCCAAAACTCGCGGACTTGTCTAGCCGATTCCCCATGTTGACTATGGGGTGGGGATGTTTCTACATAGGATAATAGAATCCGTGCTGGACTACAAACTGCCCCCGGAGGCGAAGATTTCCGCGGTGGCAGAGGCAGAAGAGTCGAGACTGCAGAAATCCTCAAGATTTGCATCCAGAAGCCCGACGGGTGACGAGTTATCCTCCGCGCAATCGCGCACGATCGACCCCCGCACGTTTCTCGACGCGACGGAGTGGAAACGGGGAATCGCGAAGAGGTCGGATTACACGTCGGGTAGTACAAGTAGCGACCAAAGCGGCTCCTCGCCTGTTGTAGTCGGAGGAGGTAGAAATACACTGGTTGGACAGCAGTCCTCTTTCCAATTTAGAAATGAAGGTCAAGCTTCGCCTGGAAGTGAAACTCCAAGACGACGGGAGCGCACCGTGGGGAGCTACGAGCGGCGTGGTCTAATATCCGAGGATAGCAAAAATCTGGATTCCTTGACGGCGAAATTTAGCAACCTCGCAGTTTCAACAGACCAGACAAACCATCCATCGTTAAATAAAATCGCCCCCGCGGTTACCGCCCTTCCCGAACTTGCGGTCGATATTCAGCGCTCTATTGTTTTGAGCGAGGTGGCGCTGCAAAGACTGCCTGGTAGTAGTTCCTCTGTTGGGGTAGACCACATGGCATCAAGATCGGCAACGGGACCCCCGATCGGAATTGGGCGGTCGGTTAACCTCGTTTCCCCTTGGGAATCCGGCCGTCCGCTGCAGTGGGGGAGCCACAGCATGGTCGGCCCCGAGAGCCAGATCCCGGACGCGCCCAAAAACCCGATCACGCGGCTGCACAGCGCGTTAGCGCGGGCGTTTCGGTACGACCGAAAACTGCACCTAAAACAGAGCTCGACGAAATTGCTGTACTGCACAAACTCCGATGTGGTCATGCTCTCCGCGGCGACGATTGGCGGCATGACCGGCTTCCTGCCCTTCCAGAAGCCCGCGTACTCGAAAGTTGCCGCACCCAGTGGGAGTAGTCCGCTGAGCGCGCACTCGGTGTCGGAAAGAAGCGCCACGTCGAGTGGGGGCACTCCGACCTCTACTACTTCCTCGCAAAACCTGGGCGCGGCCCTGGATTTGAGCACCGACAGCCTGCGGCGAAGGGGGGCAGCGATGACGAAGAACAAAAATGCGGCTGCGTTAATAACATCGAAAAGCCGCACGAGCAGTACGTTGTCTAGTAGCAAAAACTCACCGGCGGATGAATCCCCGGTTGACGACGAGGAGGACGGGTTGATGTCCAATCCAAACTACCGTGGACTCGGCGACACCTTTCGGCGCGGCAGGTACTACGACACCATTGTGGAGGCGCGGAAGTCACGTGCGCGGTCCGTGCCGCCGCGCGCCCTGCAGGAGAAGTCCCAGCGCTTTCGCGTGGACCAGAAGTTGCGCAGCACCGCACCCCTGATCCAGTGCCGGCGGGAGCAACCTGCGAATTTTTGCGCCGGCCGGTACCGCTGCGGGCTCGAGCCGGTGCCCGTGCACGCAAACGCCGACGACGAAGGGACGACGAATCCGGGCGACGGTGCGGCCTGGGACAGTCCAAAGCGCTCCCTGGTCCGGGTACCACGGGACCTCGAGGGGCAGCTACTCAACACGTTTGACATCGTATCGCAAGAAAAAAGTGTTACAGTTACACATTGTGTTGCAGGCCAAGCAAGACAGACAAGCTCTGTCATGCCGGATATGCATAGGGGCCTCGTTTCACAGGCGTTTCCCCGTAGGATTTCTGCATTACGAGTTTTCTCTCCCATGCAGAGAAATTTGTGTTGCTGAATTGACTACAAATGTGTAACTGTAACACTTTTTTCTGTGTGATACATCGTGATCCCGGAGTACCACCAAATGGCGGACTTGAAAGAGCAAGGTAAAAATTATGTGGACCCGAATGATTTCAATATGCAACATGAACATAAGCAGTTGGTTCATCTTTTGCGACGACGTTTTTACGCACCTCCTTTTTGAATTCAAAATCGCCCGATATTTATTCTATTTGAATCTTCAGGTATTCATCAGCATCACACCGATAGCCTGCCCCGTGAGGTGGCGTATCAGGAGGGAGCCAGGCTGAAGGTCGGGGACTTTCTGACCGTCGAAGTTGAGGACAGCTACGGCAAGGCGCTGGCATATCCTATGTAAAAACGTCCCCACTCCATAGTCAAGATGGGGAATCGGCTAGACAAATCCACGAGTTTTGGCTGTTTTGCATGACAAGTTTGGACACGTAGAGTAGTCCTGTTTGAGTTAGCCCTGTAGCATCACAGATCTCGCACATCATGCTGATTGGAGCATGGCAAATTCCAGAGCGCAGCTGTAAAATGCTTCTCATGGGGCTCCGCATGAGAAAGATTTTCAGCATGCAGAGTTGCATTACAACTACAGTATAAGGTGGGGAGGTTTTTCAATACCATATGGCATCTTCCCAGACTCTAGAGACGACTGGCGGGGCCGACCGCGCCGTGGCCGCGGCCACCGGACAGTATCCTGTGCAAAAGTATCGTACTCGTATAAATGCAAGTCTTGCATTACAAATCTTGTTCCCAAGGCAAATCAGCATGACAAATTATATTTCACATGCTGAGTAAATTTGTAATGCATTTATACGAGTACGATAGGATGCTTTTGCATTTCATAGACAGGAAAATAAAGCAAAAGCGGCACATCAGAACGACGCGCGGTACTGGCGCCGCGTGAAGCTGGAAAAGCTAGCACAGTCGCGCCAGCACCGGAATGTGCGGGCGATGAGCATCGGCGTCTTTCCGTCGGCAACCAAAATGCAGGTGACGGAGAGCTTTGCCCACCGGACTCTGCAGGAGGACCAACTGCGGGATTTGCTGTCGAAAGGTACTGGCGTGCTGGCCTCGCCGAGACAGCGGAACGGGCTGAAGTCGGAAGACAGCCGGGTGCGATCCATGGGCAGTAAAGATACGAAGCTCGGTACTGAACATGGACTTGGTTTTATTATAGCGCGGGATAATTCGCCGTGCTGGTACAACGTAGCGGTACAACACAAAGGATCTCAGCCGAGCACTTCTGCTAGTAGAAGATATTCACCTGTTCATTTTGAAAATCAAAAATCACAACGACCAATACACCTCAGGTCGCTCGTGGCTGAAGTGCGACTCCTCGATGGAGGTAAAACTCGGTGGGAAGGCCTTGAAGCTGCTGTTCGAGCGCAACTTTGGGCCTCGCCTGGCCAGCTACCCGGTGGACGTGGACCACACGGACTCGCAGGAGGTTACCTGCTACAAAATCATCGACCGGCGGATATTTCCCACGCCGGAGGCGTATAAGAACTTCGGGGTCACCACGGTAGCGGAGGAGAAAGAAAAGCAACCACCCCGGAGAAGGACCGATTCTTCGGACCCAGACGACCCCATGAGCGGGGGCGGCGGACCAGGAGGGCCAGGGTCGGCAAACGGCTCCTTCGGAGGTGGATCGGGGTCCTTCGGTGGAGGTTCTTCTGGTGGTGGGAACAGTGGCTCGTTCGGGAGAAGGAATTCCAACGACAGCAATAATGGCGGTGGTCACAACTCCGATATGCAGGAAAAAAACATTGTTAGCTGTAAGTTTGTGATGCGCAACACGTAGGATGATTGCGTCTGTCATGCTGGATATGCATTGCAGGGTCCGTTCACGCGCGTTTTGGCCTGCTATCTGCGCATGACAGGTTTCTGCTCTCATGCCAGCCAGGCTTGTAATGCTGATCCGCCAAAAAAGTTACACCTACAATCTTTTTTTGTTGGATATCCGGCGGAGCTTTTTCCAGATCCCTCCCGAGCAAGAGCAGGTCTGGCTTCGGTTCATTTCCGAGAGCAGGAGCAGCTGGTCATCCTGGTGCGTCGCCGCGCGTGATTGGCAGTTCCTTTTCGGAAGAGAGTTTAGCCTCTACCGCAGCATCAACCACGGCATCAGTTTCGGTCTCCGCAGCCGGGTCAAGGTTGGGCAGCAAGACGAATTACGCAGGAGGTGGCTCCGCCTTCTTTCCGGCATCACAGGAAGTAGATTTGGTCGCAGGTGGAGGGACTACGTCGAGCACTAAGAAGTCCGTGCGCTGGGACGATATAAAAAAGCCGCCACGAGCAGGTGCACAACAAGGGGCGGGGCTTGATTTGAATCCTCCTTCCATGTTAAGTACGAGAGGACTACTCTACCCGCAAGACCACGACGACTTTCTCGACCAGATCAGCACGTCCGACGAGGATAACGACAATTTTGACAACAAGTCGCGAAGCCGGCAGAACTCCTTGTCCAACATGTGCTCGGCGGGTCCCTGCAAAATTATCCAGCGACGGAGGTTGCAGAGCGAACTGCAATATGCATTGCAAAAGTATCGCACCACCATCATAAATTGCAAAGTACAAATCGGCTCAGCATTACAAATTCAATTTGTAGTGCGGATTTTTTTACCGTGACAACCTGATTTGTAATGCGCAGCTGCGATTGCATTAGCACGAGTGCGATACTTTTGCAATGGATATGCAAAGGCGACTCGATGACCCACCGCTATTTGGGTACACGGACGAAGACCGGCAAAAGGACCAGGAGGCCTTGCTGAGGCTCGGGCTAACCGCATGAGCCACACAGATATAGAACAAAGGATGAAGCAGGGGATCAGCAATTTATTCCCCAGCGCGCCGGCCGCCGCACCTTGGTGCAATTTGTCGCTATGTTGAAGGCAACTCTCTAGTAGTACCGACTTTAAGTAAGTGCCTGGGTTGATGCAAACCAGGTTTTCGCTAGGCCGAGTAAAAAGATTTTGAAGAATTTTAAGAAAATGCAAAAGGACTTCTAAATAGTATTACTCTATTTGTTGAAACAAGAGCTTTTGATGTGTGTGACAGTCCCTGAAAGGAAAACGAAAATCAAAGTTTTCAGAAGAAACTACAGTGTATACCGTAACTAACCAAGCAATCTTCCAATCAAGCAAAAGTACCAATTCTAACACTACCGAAGAAGAAAGTGCACATCACACCACAACTTCCTACAACAAGCGCAAAAAACTCCATCTACTTACTTGCACAAGCTAAATCCAAATCTCCACCCCGTAGAAGTACTTCTATTCCGGTTTTTTCACAAGATGAAAGTGTTGCCGAATAAATCTAGATGTAATTGAATTTTATTGCCTTTTTCCCCTCATTCGGAGAAAATGTGAAGTTCCGCGGCTGCTGCAGTCGTTGAGTAAACTTCTTTCTTTTACCACATAATCTTAGGGTCAAGGCTAGGACAGAGAAAACTCGCTACAAGCGTCCGTGCCCATTCCCGTACACGAAGTAGACCCCGGAAAGCCAATTTTTATATGGTCGGCAGCTCCACCTCCTCGCGAGTCTTGATTCGCGCTATTAAGTAGAAACTGGCTTGATAAGAATTTTATTTTTATCCACCGTATCGAATGTTGATACGTTTTTCCTTACTAGCCAGGGGGAAGGAATCTCTATCCCGAAGCGAAATCGAGAGCACTGGGAGGGGGGAAGCAGAACTAGAAGGAAAGGACGGGGGGGAAGGGTGCGGGTGTGTCAGCTAGTCAGTTTCAGGTAGCCACTGGGGTCCTGGTTGTTTCGATGAGATTCGAGACGCGGCCGCTCTGCTCTTGGCCAAATTATATATTTGCGGAGCTCTTGCGGATAATTCTGGCTATGGAGCGGCATTTAACTTGGCAAGCCGCTGGCTGCCGATCTTATTTTTCCGCAGGTGTGGGCCGTTTTGTGGATCTTTGCTTGTGCGTTTATTTTGAGAACTATGCGCGTTTGAAGATCATGGCGCGCTTCATATTTTCCGCGGCGGGACTTTCTCGGAAGCTTGGCCGGAGCTTTTGCGTAGAAAGATCGGGAGGGCGTTCGCGCCGCCTCCTTCTCTATGTGCGAACAGATTCCGGCGGCCATTTTCTCCCGTGTTTTCTTGTGTCTGTTGCGGGGCCTGTTTCTCTATCTGCGAACAGTTTGAAAACCACGCAGAAGCGACGAGGCAAACGGCGGAACACAACGAGGCGGGGAGGCCAGACCTTCGGGACAAGGAAGATAGAGACGGGAAAGAGTGGAAAGACGAAAAAGGCGGGAAAAACTGAACAGACTGCGAGAACTGGGAGGGCTAGGGAAGCCTGTAAGAAAGACTGGGGCGGCTGAGGGGGCTGAGAAGCTCAAAAGGCGAATGAGGTTCGAAAGGTTGGGCAAACTGGAGAAGCCGGGAAGGCTGAAAACCTGGGAAGGCGGGGAAACGAAAGCGAGCAAGCCTGGAAGCGAAGGCGCTGACTTGCTGAGAGGCCTCGGCGTCGCTTTTGCCTAGAGCTGGAGGGCGTTCGCGCCGCCTCCCTCTCTATGTGCGAACAGATTCCGGAAGCTGTTCCGCGTTTCTCTTTGTTGCGGCGGCTGTTTTTCTGTCATAGAACTGCTAAGGCAACCGAGAGGCCAGCAGCTCCATGGAAAAGTCCGGCGGCCGCAGAGCCCAAAGGAGGCGCGGCGGGGCCCCGTTGCTGCAGCTTCGCAGCTTCAGCAGGCAGATTGGCTGGCGCGCCTGAAACAGCTGTGGCAGCTCGATAAGTAAGCGGAGCAGGCAGGAAAAGCCCGGGGTAGCTACAAAACCGGCTGTAGGTAGTTAAAGGACCGGCTTTAGTTAACAAGGCGGGTGGAGCTAACGAGCCGGGTTTAGCTAACAAGCCGGCTTTGGGTAAAAAACCGGCTTTAGCTAAAAAATCGGCTTCAGCTAAAAAACCGGCTTCCGCTAAAAAAGAAACCGGCCGCGGCTAACAAACCGGCTTCAGCTAAAAAGCCGGCTTGGGCTTTAGCTAGAAAACCGGTCTTAGCTAAAAGAGCCGGGAACGAAGCTGGGAGGCCGACAGGCTGGGAGGTGGACAGGCTTGCTGGGAAGGTGGGGGGCTTGGGGGCTTGGAGGGCCAAAGGCTAAAAACGGAGAAGCGAAAACGAAAAAGCCAGGAGGCAGACAGGCTGGGAAGCGAGCAAGCTTGGAAGCGAAGGCGCTGACTTGCCGGGAGGCCTCGGCGTAGAATTTGCGTGCCTAGAGCGGGAGGGCGTTCGCGCCGCCTTTCTCTATGTGCGAACAGACTCGGGAAGCTGTTCCGCCTTTCTCTTTATTGCGGCGGCTGTTTTTCTGTCCTAGAACTGCTAGGGCAACCGAGAGGCCAGCAGCTCCATGGAAAAGCCCAGCGGCCGCAGAGCCCAAAGGAGGCGCGGCGGGGCCCCCGTGCTGCAGCTTCAGCAGCTAGACTGGCTGGCGCGCCTGAAACAACTGCGGCAGCTCTACAAAACCGGTTTTAGCTAAAGGAACGGCTCGAGCTAACAAGCCGGGTCTAGCTAACAAGCCGGGTTTAGCTAACAAGCCGGCTTCAGCTAAAAAATCGGCTTCAGCTAAAAAACCGGCTTCCGCTAAAGAAGAAACCGGCGTGCTCAGCTAAACGACCGGCGTCAGCTACAGTGTCGGCGTCAGCTACAGCGAAAAGAACCGGGAAGCCGGGAAGCCGGGAAGCCGGGAAGCCGGGAAGCCGGGAAGCCGGGAAACCGGGAAGCCGGGAAGCCGGGAAACCGGGAAGCCGGGAAACCGGGAAACCCTGGAGTGGTTTCGGGTAAGGGTATCGCTGGAGTGGTTTCGGGTAAGGGTACGCGGGGAGTGATAAAGTGCTTCACGATTTCAGTATTTTCGGGCAATTTCTACCTTTCCCGGGTCTATATATATTGAATGCACCAAATTTATTTCATAAGTATTTTTTTTGTCGGGAATACAGTGAACTTATTTTTAAATGAGCATAAAAATTTTTGCACGAGCTGTAGCTTCGTGAATGCAGCCCTGTTGCATGTCTGATTTGAAACAAATTTTGCTAAAAAATGAACCACTAGTTCTAGGACTTTCAATGATCTGATATAAGTATTGCTTTTACTTTTTGCATAAACTCGAAAACTAGTACCCTTTTTGTCTGACAAAACGAATTTGGTTGAGTTCTACTTAGATTTACCACTGATACGGTAGCTTCATCTCGTACCTTGTCAGGGTCGATGGATTATCCGAGTGGATGAAATGCATAAGTAATTGAGTGGTCTGAATCACTTTCAAATAATTTATTTTGTCTTATGTTGGGTCATCTCACCAGCATTTAAATCATGTTAGTTTGTGCACCTATCACCAGCACTGGGGCCCAATGTTTCGCCACCAGCACTGAACATCAATTTGTTCCGTCGTAAAAAATAAGCGCACGCCGTTTGTGTTTGTCGTGTTCGCAACACTTCTTGTAAAAAATGCAAATGGCTCAGCTGCATTGCGGCTTGATAAGACCTGTAGCGACGAAGAAGAAGTGGAGTCCTTTTCCAAACTTCGAAAGATTCGGATTTTCGCGTTTTCAGTATCATCGGAGTCGGATTGTTTTTGGCAAACTGGAAGATAATGCGAAGACGATCTGCTACGAGAGAAGTTGGTGGAGAGAGTCGTGAGCGAGATGGATGAGGTGCTGTTGTCGGGTGATTTATTTGTGAAGATGCTATTGAAGCAGGACCACTTTCACAACTACTTTCTTATCATTACTTTTGTTTCTGCTTTCAATCCGCCGCGAGAGTGGCCGGCGTTCTACATAGTGATAGCCCCAGCATTTACTATTCTGGTCGTACGTATCCTGATATGACCGCGGTGAGCAGGACGTCCGTTGTGCAGCCTGTTTGATAAAAAGGCACTGCAAGAACGACGAATCAAAACCAGCACAGCATCAGTATGAGTGAGAACAACGAGGAGCCCCCTGCACCGCCCGCGGAGGCAGAGGCGCCGCCCGCTCGGAGTGGAGGTGAGTCGGACAATGATTCCGCATCTTCGTCCGGTTCAAGCAGCGCTTCTTCCGGTATGAGAGTTCACAACTCCCCCCTCCGCCTCATTTGTCACGCAAAATACCCAATCCACCCTTTGCCTCTTGGCACTGTTTGCATTACGAGTTCTAGTAGCCCAAGTAGCACTACAATCCAGTGCAAATTTGTCATGCAAAACCGACACTCTTGCTCATGCGTGTATTGCCGTTCGTGCTATACAAGTGAGGGGGAGCAGGGGGGGTTGTGCACTGCCATATCCGGGTCATCGAAAAGTAGCAGCAGTAGCAATTCCAAATCCAGCACGGCAGGTTGGATAATTTTTTTTTTCTGGACAGCTTCGTTCGATTGACTCTGATTCACGTTTCTTTGTCAAGGTCTCCTTGCTATCGCAACTCGTAAAAATATGTTCTTGCCTGTACTTCTCACTTTCAACATTTATTACAAAAAACGAGAAGCTATCCTGCGAAAAAAAAACTACCTAGGTGAGGGCACGACCGGTAGCAGCGCCTCTTCGTCCTCGTCCGCTAAAGGGGGTATTTCTGCGGGAGAAGTTGACCCGAATGCTCCTTTCTTGAAAAAGCCTCCTCCCGAGTTTCTATCCGAGGAGGAAGACCCAACGCTGAAGAAAATGGTGGTGAATTTCTACAGTTTGATGACAAACATTCCACGTCCGGAGGAGCTGCTGGATTTATATAAGCGGGTCTACAGCCGCGACGACGGTGACACAGAACAGGATTTTGAGGACTACGTGAAGTTTCTGGTGCTGAAATTGGAGGAACCAGACTTGGCGCTGCCGAAGCCCAACGTGGAGGACTTGTGGAGACTGCATTTGAGCTCTGCGGAAGACTACGCCGCGTTTGTCACGGGTGTTGCAAAAGCGTATTTGGAAGGTATAGAGGGACCTGAGGGCTTTTTTTTTTCATGAGTTATTGAGTTTGCGTTTTATTCATCCTCATCGACGTCGAGAGCAGCACAGAAGGTCTTTTGATAGACTGTTGACACACAGATTTATTCTCGCGCCGATCAGTTCACTTTTCGGGCGGAATAAAAGGAAACATAAAAAGAATTAATGTCCAAATCGAATTCTCCTGATGAACTCCTAAACAGCCGAGCCGGCACCAGAAGCCACGGCACCAGCTGGGATAGAACAAGCGGCAACCAGACTGCTGGACGACGTACCTGAAGAAGCAGCTGCAGACGGCGGCCTTTCAGGAACAACGGGGAGCGCGTCGGCGTCGCTGCAAGCCCCGATGAAGTCGGAAGTTGCAGCTCCTGCGGAGGTATCAACTGCAAAAATGTCTGGGTCTGGAAACTTGTGATGCTAAAATGTGGATGGTGGAAACCGATCCGAATGCAACCTAGCATGACAACTTTCCAGAACGTTTTGTTCTCACAGGCAATCCGCATGACAGACTGCATGTTTGCATGTACAAAAGAGGTTGCGACCTTTGTTGGTTATGCAATACAGGTTTCCTAGGTATGGAAAGCTAGCATTACAAGTTCCAACCTTCCAGACCCAGACATATTTGCAATGCATAGGAGGAAGGCAACACGGCAGATACTGCGGCGAAGAGCGTCGCGTCTGCACCGGGCGAAGATGCAGCAGTGGCCGGAGAGGACGGAAATAAAGACGAGGATGTAAACGCTGGTGAGACGAATAAAATACATGAAAATAATGTCGAAAAAGCCGCTCCGGACGCGGTAGAAGGAGCCGCTGGTGAAGAAGAGAAGAAACCAGAAGAAGCCGCGGCCCCGGAGGAAGAGAAGAAACCAGAAGAAGAGAATACTGCTGCGGATAAAGAAAATGAACCCAACGACGGTGATGCGGATGCGAAAGGAGAAGAACCTACTACTGAGGGCGGGGCTGATACAGGGGACAAAGCCGCAGCGGACCACGATGGTACTAACGATAACAAACAAGACAAGTCGGACGTGTTGAGCGAAAAGAGCGCGCGCAGTGCGAAGTCCTTGCCGACGAAGATCGGAGGTGGCACCACTACCGCGGCAAGCGACGCAGCCGTAGAAGGCAACCTGGACACCACCGCAGCCGACAAGATGAAGAAAGTCAGTTCCCGCTCGGGCCCGCCGTCCGTGGAGGGACGCGCGGCGCCGACGCCGCTCGACTTGGTCGCGTTGAAGGAGGCGCTGCTGGCGAAAAACCCAGACCGGTTGACCGTGGACGAGCTGGTGATTCAGATGCGGTTGCGACTCGGCGAACTGTCCGAGGATCGGCAGGAACCGCCCGAAGAGGAGCTCTCGGTAGACGGCGAGATCCGCCGCGTATCCTGCGTAAAAACGTCCGCGCGCTACAGTCGATTTGGGAACAGCTGCAGCACAGGTTCAGAAGTTTTGGGAGTCACGCATGACAAGTTTATTTTCGCTGTAGTGTCGTGTAGTCCTAGTCTTGCAAGGGATCCCGCATAACGAATGCGTCTCCTTATCCTGTTTAAAGCATTACAAATTCTCCCAAAGCACGATTGGAAATTCCTCTCACACTCACGGGGATGCGCATTACAAATGTTTGCGTAACTCGTTTCTTGGGGACGTTTTTACAAAGGATACAGTGCTCGAACGACCTTGCGGTCAGCGGAACTGGAATTGCTAGAACTGGAAGAGTATGCAATTCTGCAAAAGTAGTACCGCTACCGTACTAATGTAGGAATTCCTGCATTGCAAACTGAACAAGGAAAAAGAGAATTTGTCATCTGTCATGAAGATAGACTGACTGTGCAAAAATTTGTACGAGTACCTATCCCTACGGTAGTACAACTTTTGCAATTTGCTTTTGCATAAACCGCTGTCCGGGCTGCGCGCCGAGGTGAGCGCCCAGCGGGATCTGGAGGAAAAGCGGTCGGATCTCCGGTCCGCAATGGCTGCGCTGATTACCGCGCAGCAGGAAGCGCTGCAGAGGGCCCGGAAGTTAGTTCATGAAGGTGCAATATGCATTGCAAAAATGTCTGGGTCTGGAAGATTGCGAGATTTGTCATGCAGGTTTTCCATGACCCATGAGGTTTGGTATGCATGACATAGCATGACACATTCTGCGGGACCTTTCTAATGCCTAAGCTGCATAAGAAACTGCCTCTCGATTAGGTCAAAAGTGCACAGCTTTTGGCAATCATGCAACACAGGTTTTCGCCTGGTTCAGATTTAGCATGACAAGTTGCATTCTTCCAGACCCAGACACTTTTGCATTTGATATACAACCGGTAGCAGTTGCAGTTCCTCGGCGTCGTCCGGATTCGGGTTGACGGGATCCCTATCAAATGCAAAAATGTCTGGGTCTGGAAGAATGCAAGCTTTGTGATGCATATTTCTCATGACCCAGGATGCCTGTAATGCATGACCCAGCATTGCAGACTTTTAGAGGGCTTCCTGATGCACCTTCCGCATGAGAAATGCCCTGTCCGTGTAGCACAAATTGCGCCCCTCTTGCTGGTCATGCATTACAAATTTTTTTAGAGTCCAAAAACAGCATGACAAGTTGCAACCTTCCAGACCCAGACATTTTTACAGTTGATAATCCCGAAAAAGCGCGTTTTCGGACCGGCTGGGCGCCAGCTCGTCGATCCGCAGCAGCGGGCGGAGCTCGTTTGCAGTGCCGCCCGCGAAAGAGAGGCGGAAATTCGCGCCGGAGGACGTTCGGAAACGGAAGAAAAGGCTGCAGAAAAAACTGTTCCAGGTTCTGGCAGATGCAGGCACCACGGAACAAAGGGAAACAATATTACGAACGCCAGCAGTAGAACTTCTAGGAGGTATTTGTGGACCACCAGAAGATCTTCCGGGAAGACCTCCTGCATCTACTTCCTCGAATGTAGTTCTGAAACAGCTCCCCTCCGTAAAGCAGGTGCAGTTTACGCTCCCCGTGAGCACGCGGCAGGCGCGCACGAAGGAACTGTATGCGGAACTGTTCAACGGGGCCTGTTTTTGGTTTCCCTTTTCCGATGCGGAAGCAACGAGAGAAAAAGCGCGGCAGCAGAGAATGAGGGAGGAAGAGGAGCGGGGGGTGTTTCTCGCGCTCTCTCCCAATAGAAGCAGCTTGAAAATGGCGTCTCAGGGAGGGTTTTCAGCATCATCTCCTAGTACCGCGGGTACTAATAGGGGTCAAGAACATCAGCGCCCGGCCGCAGTTGACTTCTCCGTTTCTCCGGCAGAGCGCGACGAGCTTGCGAGACGGTACTTGCTAAGCATCGAGCCCTTGAGCAAAACGCGGAAAATCGTCTACGTGCCGTTCCGCGACGTGATGCTGCCGAGCGTAGTGGCGCCATTTTCATCCTCTTCCAAATCCAGCAGCGTCGCGCAGGTGCAGAAAATGGCGGTGTTTTCGGATACGACGGTGGCGGACTTCAAAAACGGCCTGTTCTATGTCTACCGGGACATGTTTTTGGGGCGGCGGTTCGACCTTTTTTCCGCGTCGGACGAGCTGCCTTGGCAGGATAGCCGCACGGTGGCGTCCTACATCCCTTTGGCGCCGGAGTTGTTGCAGAGGAAAGAGGAGGGCGGGCAGGAAGGGTATACAGAAATGCTTGCTCCTTCGCTTTAATTCATCGAGCTTTTTTTTTTTGTTTGGCAAGCATTAGAGGCGAATTATTGCGGACTCTGTTGTGAAAATGCCTCTCTAACTTCTACACCGACCAGGTCTGACGTGACGATCGCAGGCAACGTGTTTTCTGGGACGGGTTCCAGTCCCGTTCGGGTTTTTTGGCTCGACTACAAGGACGTGTTTCCGGTCAACGTGGAACTCCCGTTTCCGCTACTCAAAACGACCGCTACAACAACCTCTTCCAGTACAACTACATCTTCGTTCTCCCTACCCCCAATAGGTGGGGCCACGCCTTCCAACCCATCTTCCCCAAAGACTACTTTCACACCCACGCCGACGGTCGCAGTCAACGAGCAGGTGTCGCGCATCGTGAACTCGCCAAATCGGTTCCAGACCAAGTTGGAAGCCGCGAAAAAGGCGAAACTGTTTGAGCCGTTCAGGGAAACGAATTTTGGTATTGGTGCGACGAACAGCAGCAGTTTATCGCCAAATAGACGAGGGACATCAAACAGTGGAACAGCTTCCACACAAGAAAAGTTGTACTCGGCCCGGATGTATGCATTGCAAAAGCATCGTACTCGTATAAATGCAAGACTTGCATGACAGATGTGATTTCTAGAGGTAATTCAGCATGACAAGTTCCGTTTTTCCTTCTGAAAAAATTTGTGATGCAATTCATACTAGAACTAGTACGATATTTTTGCAATGCATAGGATGCAGGTTGCGCACGACCAGACGGTGTCAGAGCTCCGGGAAATTTTGCGGAAACATTGCCTTTCCCGAGCAAGTATGAACCGCAAAAGCATCGTACTCGTATAAATGCATTACAAATTTCCTCAGCATGAGAAATTAAATTTGTAATGGGGATTTGCCTTAAGGAAAAGATTTGTAATGCATGATTGCAATTACTACGAACGGGTACGATACTTTTGCACAGGATAGCAAGTAGCAGCGGGTCGGTGGCGGAGGAGGTATAGATAGGGTTTATTTTTGTAGAGACCTGTGCATGTGCTGCACGATAAGTGTTGTGGGCAGCACGTCATGCTAATGTTCAACATTTCAATCCATAATTTATTTGCACTACACAACGTCAGTTCTTCTACACAATTTTGTCCTCTGATGAAACAAAGACGAATAGACACATACCATCACTCAACCCATAACAGGCCGCCGAGCGCACGGAGCTGCTGCTGATCGATGGGAAATGCATGGCGGAAGGCGACACTCGAACATTGCGCGACCTGTACGTGACGCCAAAAACCACAGTGCAACTCATCCGCATAGTGGAGCAGCGGAATAACATACCGCCGACACAGCAGGAGGCGATAGAGAACCGGTTGAAAGCCCGAATAGAAGCGATAGGCAGTAGTAGAACAAGTAGTAGAGCTTCACGACCCGAGGGGAGCTCGACGACGCAAGCCCAAACGGTGGTTCTGAGCATTTCCAGTTCGTTTTTTCCCAACAATCTCTCGGAACGCGTGGAGTGCAACGAGCTGTCCACGGTGTTCGAATTGTTGCTGCTTTTCGAGAACCGCCTACCCGGCACCGCGGCCGAGCGGCTCAACCTCCAGCACCCCGACGGCACAGACATCGTTCCGTCCGCCTATCTCGGCGACGTGTTTCCCAGAAACAAATCTGGCGGTGGTCCGCCGCCACGGGCCGTGCTGGGGCTCAGGTTCAGCTGAGCATACTTACAGACGCTGCAGTTCTGTCAATTTGTTATAATATTACCCATCTAGTATCATAACGCTTAAAAACTTTTTCCTAGGTTTAGTACGACCCTAGAACTAGTACACTTACAGCTACACTGCTGACGGTTTGTTTTCGCTTAACTTCACTTCGCAGACGCTTGCTCCGCAAGAGTAAGACGCACGGATCGATAGAAGTACTCAAGGTAAAATAGAAGGAAACATCATCGTACTCGTACACGACGGCTAAAGTTGTGGTCAGCGTTTGGCTGATTCAGAAGGCTTTTCTCGCGCAAGAGCCAAGCTTTGGAGTTGTAGTTGGTTGTTCGTCGAAAACAGCAAAGAGAGTCACTTAACTTTGCAAAGCGATGACTTGTCGGTCGGTGTTTTTTTCTGTATGGAACTAAGAAGTAGTTTTGTGGAACTAGTCCGTCGTCGTGTCTTTGTTTTTGCCTTCGGTTCTTTGTTTATTGATTCCTCTGGCCACCTTCGACACGCAGTGTCGTGCCTCGTTGAGAGGACGTGCAGAGTTGGGACTTCACTCTACTTAGTAGTAGTTGTCCTAATTCTATTGAGGAGCAGGAGCAGCTTCCGCTGCCTTTTTTGACGTCGAGCGAGTTTTTTTTTCAGGCTGAGTTGCTTTTTTTGTCGTACTCGCAAGAAAAAGTTTGTTGTAGCGGCTATGGTTGCACTTCGTGCTCGTTTCTGGGCTTACGTTAGAGGTAAGTACAGAAGTGTAAATCAAAAAGCACGCAGGCAGAAGATGTTGGCGTTTTCCTATGATTTCTTGTCTACAGATGTGCAGGCGCGCTTACTAGGTACCACCTCCATGATTCTCAAGTACATGAATTCTATGATTTACTTCAACCAGCACGATGGCTGCTCTGAATTTTTTATTTTGTGTAATTAAATAAAAACAAAAACGCAGACAAAAATTGTATTGGTATGGTTTCTCTTGCACGTCAAGCACACCGCTTTTGTTCTGCTCGAACGAGGCACCGAATCTTTGTTTAGTTTTGGGGGAGGAAGGGGAATTATGCGGTAATCCTTTGTACTAGAAGTGTCTCTACTTGTTCTCTCTCTACTTGCATGACTATACACCATAGTACAAGCGGCTTGATCGATATATATTTTTGGTGGGACGAGGCGGAGGCCGGAGCTAACATTAGAATGTGTGGTCTTGAAATTGTTTAGGTACACCCTTGGTTGAAAATTACTGTGGTACTTTGTACAGAGCACAAGTTAGTTGAAAACAAGAATTGAGTTCCACTCGCCATGGCCGCGCCCGTCGTAAACGAGACCTTCCTTGTCTCCGTCGCCATCTCAGGTGCGGTGTTCGCTGTTGTTCTTGGCTTCTTCATCATCTACAAAAAATGCGAGAAAGCGAGGAGCTGCTGCGCGACCTCCTCCAGCGTCTGTAGTAGTGTTTGGACAAGAGCGGTCTCCTGCTTGCCTTGCAGCACCTGCCGCTGGTGCTCAGCCAGCGGTCGGGAAGTGCACGACGGGAAGATGTTAGATGACGTCCAACGGATCTCCATTATTCCGGTGCCAGAGATTTTCAGCAAGGCCGCTCGTGGAATGAATTTTACCGAGGCCAAGTGCTCAGCGACGTCTCGTCCGGAGCAACTAGTAGCCCGCTCAAGATCTTCTGCGCGGGGCACTATGGTGCGCAGGTTCAGCGCCCCGAGCCTCTTCGTACAGGAGGATCATCAAAAGCGGCCTGGACAACTCCACTCTGTTCTACCAAAAGATGACCTCCGCGCGCGTGCGACCGCCGGTGGCGGATTTTTTACGAAGACAAAAGCAGCCGGTGAACGCGAACATGAAAAAAGAGTGGAACAAGAACGAGTGCCACCAGCGGCTAACGCAGAGCGGAGCCTGAGTCCACCATGCCTACCCCGCCTGGAGGACGATGACGGCGTACTTGGGATACTTATTTCTCCGGAGCCCATCCGTCAATCAGTCTCCTGGCACTCGGTGTGTAAGAACAACTCGCTGACCCGGCTGCTGGCGCACTCCTCACCGTCGTGTTGCAGCCCTTCAAGCTCTTCCGCCCGGCGCTCCTATCAGCTTTTTGAAGACCAGGAAGAGTTCTTATTGCGTCGGCTCGACGTTGATCCCGTTCCCGCCGCAGCCGGGCAGCCGCGGGACGAAGTGAAGACGTTCATCTCGACGAGCGAGGTTCTTGGAGGTGCGTTCGGAGCAGCCGCGCCACAGGCTGCACTACACAAGAATCGTCACCACCAACCGACGAGCAGTTTTCCGCTCTCGCAAGACAACAAGCGTTCACTGGAGCCACAATGGTCCTCGCAGCAGCAGACGTGGTCTGCTTTTCAGTTTGCTGCACTGCCGCTGAAAAATGTGTTCCGCCGACTTTCCGGATTCGTCATGCGGTGGACCACGATGCCCTTTAACTTGAAGAGAAGCGGATCGATGAACGATAGTATTCCACCACCGGCGGCAGGACGAAAACGCAGGAGCACAGCAAGAAATACTCCGGCCGAAAACAAAAGCGGTGTTAGTAAACATGCCAAGAAAGTAGAACTACACTCATCCATTAATACTGCTCCGCGAAGGGCGTCAAAAGAACAGTCCTCATCTGCTCCGCGAAGGGCGTCAAAAGAACAGTGCGTCGGAGGTGAGATGATGAACAATGATGGCGGCCAGGCAGCATCGCCGCTTCGGAAGATGAGCGGAGAGACGAGCAGAGAAACGAACCGAAGAAGCAGTAAAAGGAAAAGCAACTTCTACAAACAAATAGAACATGGTCACAACCTCGAGCACGACAGTACATCAATCCTCGTTCGTATTTCCAGTACAACTACTGCACGTGAAGTTCATGATGAGCAGGGTCGTGCGCCTCCTCCTGCTTCGGGGGCGAGCAAAATTTTTCACAAGGAACCAGGAGTCGAAAGTAACAGTAACATCAAAAAACCAACAGCAGGAGCAGTGTCGTGTGGTCCTAAAACTGGCAGCAGCCTGCACCAGGACCGCCGGAAGTCCTCGCTGCGAGCAACCACCTCGAACATCAAAACCTCGGCCAGCTGCCAAAATCTCGCCGCTGCGTTGCAGAATGCCCGAACGCCCCCCACGCGGCCGAAAAGTATAAGCAAATCCAAATCGGCGGAGCGACAAGGACAACAGGAGCAAGAAGTGGTCAAGAAGAAAAAGAAGAAGATCACCGGGTCGACGTCAACATCTCCGACGCGTGGTGGAGGAAAGGCCGATACCACGACTGCTCGAGGTGCAGACAGCAGCCCTTGCAGCCCCGCCATGCGTTTTCAGAATGAAACGACGGACCACCTCGGGAATGACAGTTTTTCCACTCGCATTCCAGCTGCAGACGACCTAACCGCTGCCATCGCAATGGTGACGCACCAGGAGAAGCCCGAGAGGAAGAACTATGCATTGCAAATATAGATCCATCTCCTGTTTCTGGAGGAAGGACAAGGATGCATGCTTGTGATGCTAATGACATAGTATGGTTGTGTTGACACAAAAATCTGTCTTGCATGAAGAGCAGATTTTAAATCTATCCACCTGTGGAGATCGGATAGTTGATGCTATCGCATGTGGAATTATAGGCATGACGAGAAAGCTTTTGGATATCTGTGATGCTTCGGCTTGCATTCCAGACCTGGTGGGGCATGAAAACATCAAAGAACTTCTGCACTATTCCAGATGTAATCAGATTACTTATTTGCAATGCATAAGCAGGGCGGCAAGAACTCGTCCAATCTTGGTGTTCCCGGCACCAAGTCTGAGCCCCTAGCATCCCCTGTTCGGCGCAAGTCCTTTCAGGGTCCGGCGTTGCTGATTGGCGGTTTCGACACGGCAGGCGGTCCTTCCAGCGCAATCAAGGCGCCGAGCAACCGCTTCTCGTCGAGTGCAGCTGGTGCGGCGCACATTACGACGAGCAGGCCGGTCACGAAGAGCAAATCCGATGCGGATCCAAATGCAGTGAGCGGGTTGCCTGTGAAAAAAACCACCTCCAGGTTGACCGACCGCCGTTCGTCAGTCCGCGGTGGAGCAGGGCCCGCGTTGCTGACGGGCATCCGGATCGTCAAATGAAGAGATACACATCAGTAAATTTCATCTTGATCAGGTTGTATTCGAAGTGGTGGAAGAACCGACGTGGTTCCTCTCGTGGACTGGATTCCTGACTGACCATTTTGTGTACTTTTCTGCCGACCCTCACCAGAAAAGCAGGATGATGAGTGTCTGACTCTTGTTTGACGCCATACGTCACCGTATGTTTACGTAGTTTCGCGCACGCTTCTGCTTCGTCTTGCCACGTAATTAACTATTACTAATGTTGACACTCTGCGTCTACATCTACTTGAGTATTGCTGTGTTATTTCTTTTTGCCTTTAGGGTGGCGTTGGCGCACTTGTCTTTCCCTGTACATCTACATAAGCACTAGATTTGTATCTTTGTTAGCCGCTACGAGTAGAAGGTATTAGGATGAAAGAGATCCATTTCAGTAGAAAGAGATCCATTTCAGTAATACATTCATGTGAGTCAACATATTTTAATTGTGCGTTCTTTGTTAAAATACTATGTATACAACTACGTCCACTTAGTACATAATTGTCATGTCAAAATCGCTTTCGATTGGAGAAGATTAATTCATGGGTCTTCTTAGCGCTAGTAGCGTTCGTAACTTTATTACTTCATCTCGATTTGTTTTGATGGAGCATTTTTTTGAATTGGAATTTCGGTTTTGTTGCGAGAACTGCTCGAAGCGATTTCCAACGCACAAAAAGAGTGTGTCAGTTCATCACTGCGCATCAGGATGCTTTTCTCGATCAGTAGCGTTTTTTTTTTTCTGTTGTTCCGGTTGATTGCCTATGGCATTGTGACTAATGTTTGCGATGTATGTTTGCAAAATTATAGAAGCAGGGTCGTGTTAGTATCTACAGTATCGGTAGGTAAGAAGCACTGGCTATAATAGGTACTTACGGTAGTTCTGGTTGGTAGGTTTTTGTGCCCTCTATTGTTTTCTTGGTAGGTCAAAGGTTATGCGTAGGCTAAGCAGGGTTGAGCGTGGCAGTTTTCGTCTTTATTCGCTGCCTATCTCGAGAAAAAACATTTCTACCGCCGCTCATCACGAGCGAGCATCTGCAAGCACTCACCTGGTGAGTGATTTCAGAACACTATCTGAATCTGAATCTGAGTAGAGTTGTAGACCGCTGGTGGAAGGAGGTTTGTCGTGCACGCTTGTGTATACGAGATAAATTTGTGAGGAAAATAAAGGACCCGGATCAACATCAAGTGTTGTTTAAGTCTCATTGCAACACAAAAAATTCAAGAGCAAGAAATCTGTCTTGCAAAGGCTTTGATCTGTTACATGCACTTCTTCCGTCTTCACTTTATTTGTTTGTTTCTAAGTACCTCCCAAGTCGTGCTAGCGAGCGACACCCGCGGCCTCCCCTGCTGCATCGATCATGGATTTCCCGGACCTGCAGAGGGAATGGCGGTTGCACGAGCGCGCCAGGCGGCGGTTTTTCAACCTGCGTCGGTTTTTGGTGAATTACGCCATGGAGGGCTTAAACAGCGGGGACCGCAGCGGGTTTTTAGAACATCAAAACGAATCCCACACTGACAGCTCACCGGACCACGGAAAACAACAAGGTGCGCCAACCGGCGCTCCAAGCGGCAACAACTCACCGGAAAATAGCAATAGTCGGCGCCGCACGACGGTAAAACGGCGTAGCTTCAGCGTGATGGAGGACGTCGCGAAGCAGGAAGAGAATTTGTTGAGTACCGAGGAACGCAAAATGATCATCATCCGTGCGGTGGAACAAGTATGCATTGCAAATATGTCTTGGTCTGGACACTTGTGATGCTGGGTGGCGTATCATGAGGAGGCCACAAGTGCTGGCTCAGCATGACAAGTTTCTGAGCTTCTAGGTGTTGCCTCTTCTGCATGACAAACCGCGTTTCTGCATGGCAGAAAAGTGGGGCTCTTGGGTAATGTGCATGACAGACTCAAGAGGCATGCCAGACAAGCATGATAAACATGCATTCTTCCTGACCCAGACATATTTGCACTTGATAACAAGGCAAGGTGAACAAAATTCGCACCTACCTCCAGTCGCCGAATGTTAACAATGACACGAAATTGTGGAACCAGGTAAACAGCCGGGGAGACACGCCGTTGCTGGTCGCGGCGAAGGACCGCGAGACCGCGATGATGCACTTGCTGTGTTCCAACTGGCCGACCGTGAATTTAGACATCCAGGACAAGGCGGCAGGCATGACCTGCTTGCACTACTTGACGCTTTTGAACATCACTGATGATATAATCGACTTCTTCCTGCACCACGCGGACCTGCAGCTGTTGGACCACAGCGGATGGGGTGTGCTCCACTTCGCCGCATTCGCGGGGAACCTGGAGGCTTTGCAAAAGCTGGCGCGGGACCACGGGTTCCAGTTTGGGAAAAATAAAAGTACCAGGATGACGTCAAATAAAACCACGACGGCAATCATGTTAAAAACCACTTCATCGCATCAACCCTCGAGCACGAGTCCCAGTCCGAACAGTGGGACCGCAACAAGAGGACAACAACCACAGCTCTTCGGCGCCAGCGCGTCGTCTGCCGCTTCTACCAAGCGCATGATGTTGAAAAACCGCTGTGCGACACTGGCGGAGGAAGTTTTCCTTTCTGACAGTGAGGAGGCAGCAAGCGCGGAGGACGTGGCGCAGGCGTCCGTCGCGCTGTTGCACAAGTTCGTGGCAGACAGCGAAGGGACGACGAACAATAGTACCAACACGACTACTTTAGCGGCGGATACGGATTCCGTGTTGACCAGGCGCGAAAAAGTCGCGTCGATGATGATAAAAGAACCTACAACCTGTGCTATTTCGCCATTATCAACTTCGCCGAAGGGAGGAAATCAGTTCAAATCTACTTCGCCGAGTCCGTCGTCTCGCCGGATTGGTCGTGGGAACAACCTGCACGACACTACTGCTTCATCCCCTTCCCGCAAGATAAACAACATCGAGGTGGACTCGGGGTACGCTCTCCCCCCCTTGCAGATCGCGGCCGGGGCGGGGCACCGCGAGGTGTGCGAGTTTTTCGTCGCCGAGTGCGATTTAGACGTGAATGTCGTGCACGCCAGAACAGGCACGACAGCTTTGATGCACGCGTGCCGGTCCGGCGCCACGGACATTGTGAAACTGCTTCTGGCGCACAAGGCCATCGTTTTGGTGGATGAAAAACTACTACCCGAAGACGCCGCGGGCAACGCCGTGGAAATGCACGAGCGCACGGCATTACACTTCGCGGCTTTGAGCCGGGATAGGTACGGCACACTGGAGGCATTGTGGAGGGCCATTCGCGAGGGCGGCGGAGGAGGAGGAGGGAGGGAATTGATGTTTGCTCTTTCAACTACACAGGATGGTGGACCACAGGGAACGAATGGAAATCCAAATCCAAATGGTCGAAACGAGATGGAGATTGAGGGTGCTTTTACTGAGAAGTTGTACCACAACGCGGATGAGTTGGATTTGACGCCCTTGGACCTCTTGCGAAAAAGACACCTCACTGGGTGGGTGTACGCGGAACGTGGATCAGGGAATAAAGATTTGCTTTCTGCAAGATCTGGAGGCGACAATGACAAACTGACTTCTACTTCCGGCACACAGCAGGTGGATGACAGAGATGCAAGAACAACTTGTCCGGCCAGTCCGTCGTCATCGGGAAGACTGGGAAGAACTATTTCCCCACGGAAAGCAATGACTTCAACACACGTGAACAACGACGGTAAAAAACAGCCTGGTGACGCGTCGGAGTTTGTGATGGTCTGCGCACGGTGTCGAGTGAAGAACGCGACGCTGCTGTGTCAGAAGTGCGGGCGCGCGCTCTACTGTTCGACGCATTGCCAGCACAAGCACTGGCCGCTGCACAAGCGGACCTGTGCAGAGTTGCGGGAGGAGGAGAAAGAGAAGAGGAAAAATGGAGGTTACTACGCAGTAAACAACAGATAGAATTAGAAACTTACGGTACTAGGCAGCCACAGCAAAATATATAAATATAAAGTAAAAAGTTGTAGTGTCGCGATGGAAGAAAGTGCAAGAGTCGACTATGTAAAAGAGTAGGCTGTGCTGATCCACTTTTTGATGTGTACTAAGTTCTAGCAGGGAGTTCCTGTTGCACTCGATGGTTCCGCACGTCTTGCTGCGTTTGATTGAAAAAGCCAGCCTCGAACGGAAAAAGCTCTGTAGTCATACACAAAAATTTGATGTTGATCAAGAACTTCATCTTCGCAGCAAATGTGAAAAAGAAGTAGTACCCTTTATTTGGGCCAAAACTGAAAAAACGTACTCATAAGACTATCGCCACGGCTTGGCAGACCGTTTTGCGAAGTTATGGTAGTGTTCGAGAACCGAGATTCCGAAAAGGAGATTCGCGGCGAACTTTGTTGAAAAGCTTAACTGCGAGGACTGCGACAAGAGAGGATGCAGGAAGTGGCCCGGTGCGGAAGGGGCTCGCCTCTTGGCGTAAAACACGCCGCCGGGCTCACGGCTGGCGCAAATTATTACGCCGAAGCCTCCGGCGGTTGCCGGCCGGCGCCGCGGGTCCGGCGCCCGTGTTCACTTTTATCCCCCAGCAACAGCTGGCGTAGAATGTCGCGCACCCCGTGCGACGTCGAGGGCCTTCGCGGCCCATGTTTATCGCGCGCCCCGCGCTTTTGCAGCAAACGAGAAGCGAGGCGCGGGCCCTTTCGGAGAATTTCGCTCGCGGAGTGGGGCGCCGTGCCGGAAGGCTTGGCGCGCGCTTCCTTGGCCGATTTGCGGGGCAGAGGGCGGCCGGCGCCGGGCCGGTTCTGTTCGTTGATGCATAGCTCTGCGCCCGGGGGCATGTCGCCACACGCGTAACAGCGACCGGCCCGGTCGAAGGGCCGAAGTTGCGCATCCGTGTGCGCGGAGGCCCGGAACAGTTTCCGGCTGTCGAACCCGTGGCCGAGGTCGCCGCGTTGTCGTTGCCTACGCGGCTGGAACGTGCGCCAATCGTATCCAGCCAGTGGGGCCGTGAGGGCCGGGCCGGTTCCCCAGAATTGTTTGGCCATCTTGGCGCGGCTCCTTCGGGGCGTTGCTTGGGCCCCCACTGCAGGTGGGCCGCCAGCACAGACGCAGGGGGGCTGCCGCGCTGGAGAAAACGCGGCGCGGCTTCGGCATGGGGGCCGGCTGCGAATTTGTAGCGCCGAAGGGATTGGGGCACTCGCGCAACCCGCCCGGGCCGGCCTTTTTTTTTCTCGCCCGGCCCTGCGCCCCATGCCCGGGCGCTTCGCCTTCGGCGCGCCGGCGCCCGTGCACGCGGCCCCCCCGCTGCAACCGCGTCCGCCGGCGCGGGCTCCCCGGGGCCGACAACCCCGAACAGGCGCCGGGGCGGCGGCCGGGAAGTACCGACGGCGCCGGGCTTTGCTACAATGCGAAGAGTAAGCCGACGACGCCGGGCCGGGCGATATGGATCATGTAGCGCCCGCGCGCCGCTTCCTTTGTGGCGTGTGGCGGGGAGAATGGCCCGCGAGGGGCGGCGGTGGTCGCGCCCCAGCGGTGTGGCCGCCTCGCCGGGCGGGGTGGGCGACGAAGCCAAGCGGCCCGCGCCAGCCTGGCGTTGGTGCTTGCAGAATTCGGCGAGGCGGCCGGGCGCTCCGTGTCTGCCTGGCCCATGGTGGCTTCCTTCCCGGCGCCCCGCCCCCCGCTTTCGAACCGGGCCCGCCGGCCGGCTAGTTGGTTCCGCGCGGGCGCATGCAATGAGTGTCCCGGCGCGCGCGGCGTGGGGTGTCGCGCAGCGGACAGGGCACCGCCCCCACCTCTCCCCCGGCGGGGCGGGGGGCCGGCGCGGGTGGGGTCCCTCCGCAGTTTGGTAAAATGCTTGGGCCCGCCGGCCCTTGTGCATGCAAGCAAGCATTGTGTTTCTGTATTGCATTGCGATGTTCGCCCGGCCAGTGCAGGATAATGCAAATGTGCTCATCTCCTGAGTAGTTGCGGCGGCGGCGGACTCGCCACTGCGTGTGCGCACAGCCAGCGCACACAATAGTTGATCGCGGACCCTGGCAGGGGTGCGACGGTTCTGCTTTACTCTTCTCGCTGAGTGTTCTTTGGATAGGGTCTTTTGGAGCGAGATAGTGCTTCCTTTGTGAATGGATCAAAGCCCCGCGTCGCTTGGTCGCGCCAGTCGAATCCCGCGCCGGTTCATTGAATCCCACTTACTAGAATGAATCAGTAGTGGCGCAGCTGTGAATTCTTGCAAACAACAGGCTGAGTGCTGACGCTTTTGCCGGGGTTATTTGAAGGTCTCCAAATCCATTTGGTTCTAGCAAGCAAGTTGTACCAAGCGGTACTTAGCAGCATGACGTTCTAAATTCGTTGAATTCTTGATGAAATAACGATCACCATAACAGATCCAAGTCGTTAAGTGGGAAGTAGCCTGACCCTCTACCAATCAGTAAATGCTGAAATGATCATCGTTCGTGTTTTCGAAAGAATAAAATGCTACGGAATTATACTTACTTATGTTTTTCTCTGCGCGTTCAGACCTTCACCTTTCTACATTGAGAACAAGGACAAGCTGAATCTGAAAAGCTCTGGCACATTATTTCAGGCCGCCCTGCCTCTTCCCTCGCTTTAGTTAGATGGTAAACGAACGGCATTTTTATTGCCACGGCCCTATTAGAGCAAACGATAAGCGACCACACCTGAGTAGAGTCGTGTCTATCTAAAGTGTACCCTCTCGTCCTACTCCTGGTATGGTCCGCAAGAACCAGCAATTTACAAGTTTTACCCATACTCCCTCTTCTGATTTTCATTTTCCTGGGTCGCAAAGCCTGGTCAGACAATCCAGCGCAGGAGCAGCATGGTGAGCCAAAAAATAACAAAACAGAACATGATATCCCCGACGACGACTTCCAAGACCGCAGCCATCGGCTCTCCCGGTGACTGTGCTACGAACGCCGTTCTTTTCGTCGGCGAGGGGAATTTCAGCTTCACGCACAGTCTCCTGCGCGTCGACGAAAATGTGTTGCAGGGCTACTTTGGATTCGTACCAAAAACCGTCTGCGCGAGCAGCTTCGACCAGGAAGAGGAGCTGCATGAGAAGTACCCAGACTTTCGGCACATGCAGAAGCGCATGCAGGGCAGGATCGACCTGCGACACGGCGTCGACGCGGTCACGTTGGATAGAGTCGTGGCATCCTTGGACGAGGATGAACACACCGGAAACTACGCAATAAAAACCGCGGCAATACTAAACGCAGTAGACGGTGGTCCTCGGGGCGAAGAGGTCGTGATATTAGGGGAAGACGAGAATCATAGAGCGGCTCCACTCGTAGATGAAGCTGTGCCTCCCACTAGAAGCGACATCAATTGCGAGAACGGCATCACCGAGAAGGCGAAAGACATCGTAGAAATTCGGCGTTTTGATACGATCTGCTGGAACCATCCGCATTTGGGGACCGAAGACTGCCGCTTGCACCATTTTCTCCTCTGCCATTTCTTCTTCGCGGCGAAGGGAAGATTAGCGGGTCTTGAAACTATGGCGGAAGAAGGAACTCTAGCGCGTACTTCTACTTCCCGCGAGGAGGAGGAACTACAGGATGAAACCAGCACGGAGACGTCGACTCCTACGGCGATATCAAAGGGAGATCGTTCTTCTAAAGGTCTTGTGAACAGCGACAGACCCTCCATACAACATCCGCCCGTCAGGAAAACAACAAATCAAACTCACCCTAGAGTGATCATCTCCCTGGTAGAGGGACAAGCACACCGGTGGCGCCTCGAGGAGGCGGCGGCGAAGTGCGGTTTCGCTCTGCACAGCTACTCGGTTCTGGACGCGAGTCGGTTCCCCGGCTACGAGTCCAAGCGCAACAAGAGCGGCAAGAGCTTCAAAAACACGGAAACGAAAAAGCAGTGGCGACCGGGCATGAAGAAGAAAAATAGCAATTATGTGGGAGCAGCAGGGTCCTCGTCTTGTGAAGCTGAAGAAGATGGTGTACAGGATCAAATAAGGCGAGCGCAGAAAGACAACTCGGCCTCCTCCCGCACAACGGCCAGCACCACAGAGATGATCAGTTACGTGTACCGGTTTGTGTTGCAAGGTGAGGAAGGAGAAGAGCAGCCGGAAGATAGTGTTAAACTTAAGCCAGGGCAGGAGATGAAAAACGATCCTCGCACAACAACCACCTCCAGCAGTACACCAACCTCGGGACGACACCTTCTTGACGATATCGCAGCTAGTAGTACTCTGTCGAAAAATGATTATCCAGTGGAGGAAAAAGAATCATCGTCCTCGACGAGGGCAGACGTTGTTGACGCAGATGCAACCGCGGCAGCGGCAGCTGCAAGAACTGGAAAAAAGACAATGACGGAGCTCTTCTGCAACGATAGCCCGTCAGGGCGACCTAAGAATCATTTGAACGAGACAAGCATCACAGAAGAGGTGGTTCTCAAGAACAGCACGGTTCCAGCGAGGAGAGAAGTCGTAGTAATGGAAAATAAGAACAAGAACAAACGGGGCGCCAGTCTTGGTCTTTCGAACAACTTTTCCTGCACTCACTGCGACCGGTCGTTCCGATCGGAGCAGGGATTGCGGACGCACGTGCGACAAGTCCACGAGCTGAAGAAGTATGACAAGATTATTGAGAAGCTTCCTGTTGTAGCTTTGGGGAACAATGACATTGCCAACGTCGACAGCAATGTCCTCTCAACATCTCCTGCGCTAGGACAGGAGCACCAGTTTGTCTGCAAGTACTGCCCGCCCTTGTGTAATGAGGACAACGACGATGAGGACCCAACAAAGACGATTTTTAAACGGAAGACCTTTCCCAACGCCGAGGCGTTGTGGCAACACCAGCTAGCAAAACACACGAAGGAATGCTTTCAACAGATGCAGACAAGGGGAGACGGAGGTGAAGGACGACCACAATCCGGAGCTCCTCCTGCGGCTGGGGTGGAACAACTACAAATTGATGCACAACAAGAACTTCTATCATCCGCCACGACATCTTCTTCACCTGTGGAGGGTCCTCTTTCAGATCCCGCAGCAGACACCGTTAAGAATGTCGTGCTTAACCGGTACTCCATCGCAAGCGGTTCGCATTTACTGCGGGATAAGTACCTGTTTTTTGATCCTGATGGCCCCCCAGAGCAGGAACACAAATCTACGAGCTTTATGGCGACTAACAAGACGAGAGGACGAAACGGTGGCGGTACAACTGGGGCCGACAAAGCTACGACAAACAGCGACACGACGAGCGCAATATGTCCTGAGGCTGGTGTTGAGCAGGGTGACTACGAATCGGGGAAGAACACGACGAGGTCTTGCACAGGTCCTGGAGCAGCTGCACTGGGGTCCTCGATACAGCCGAGTACTACTAGTAGCTTCAGGCCGTGCGAAATTTGTGGGCAAGCGGTTCCCTCTACGTGGACTTTGGACGAGCACCTGCGGACCCTGCGGCCGCTGTTGGGGTTGAACCTGGAGTGCGACTCCTGCGGAAAGTCTTTCATCGAACACCGTGCTCTGCAGCAGCACAGAAATTACTGTCGTTTGAAGCAAAGAGTTTGATGATGACCCGGAGCGGGTCAGGGCCGGCTTGCTGGGCCTCATCTACGCGGAACTGCTTGCTCAGACTGCCGTGCCGAGTTTTTTCTTCAAGAACTTCTACCCAGCAAGAACGATAAATATAGCGACTCCGAGAATGTTATGAATGCAACTGAAATTTTTACACGCGATAGCGTTGGCTGATGGAATATGAAAATAACTGAGACGTCGTGGAACATGTGAAACGTAATAACTCGTGTTCGTCTACCTGTGCCAGCTCTTGGTGAACAAATTCGCCCCCTATGTAAATGCAAAAGATCTCTGTACCACGCCGAGCTTCTATCACAAAAAGATTATCTTGTTCAGTTCTAATCTCCACCATGAAAACATCGATCGCGTTTGTCTTCGCTGATTTTGGACAGTTGACATCACGTAGCACCTGCCTGTATTGAGGTTTTTGCTCTCCAGGTGTTTTTTGGTCAATGAGATCCCGGCTTCAATTTTCTTTTTCACAGTGGTTTGCACATGAGGAGAGAGAGTGCGGCTGTACCTTGTTCATGGTTTATTGTTCACTGTGCTGGGCGGCGATTGCGGTTTTTTTCGTTCTCCCGAATCAATTTTCTGCTACGCGAAGTTTCTGACTTTGTTTTCTACAACTACTTGTCCTCAGTTTTGCTTAAAGATGTGCATTGAAATGCATATATTATATGAATGTTAGAGGAACTATGGCCCACTTCTACACGACGTGTCGCATTTGATTGATGAGGATCAGGGGCTTGCTCAGCCCCCCTCTACCACGCAGCAACCGACACGGGAAGAATGAGCGACCGAGGCTTCGTCCGCGGAGTAGCCTGCGATTTAGGGGCCCATGACAACTGGGTGGTTCCCAACGAAATTGAAACCTCCGCGTTTGTCGCCGAGGGCCGCGCGCGCGCTCACCAGCTCGCTTCGAGCGACCGGCTCTTCGAAGACGCGGACGAGTTTCCCCCGCTGGCCAAATCGATTGAGGGTGAAAAGGGAAGGAAGCTGAAGTGTCGGTGCAACCAGGAGCCGAAATTGTCGTACGTGGGTCGGTCGGGGAAAAATGCCGGGAAGGCGTACTTCCATTGCGCCAACCGGCGGTGCAACTTCTTCCGGTGGGCCTTCTCCGCGGAACAGATGCAATGGTACCGGTTCGGCACGCACAACCACCACGTTCTTGTCGGGCCCCAGGGCTTCCGCGCGGATGACCTGGTGCAGGGAAAAGTGGGCGACTGCTGGTTCCTGTCCGCCCTGGCCGTGATTGCGGAACGCGCGGACCTCGCGCACCGGTTGTTCCCGCGCCTCGAGCTGAGTGACCGCGGGTTCGTGGAGGTTTATTTGTTTCTCGATGGGTGGTGGCGCTCCGTACTCATCGATAATTTTCTGCCCTGCATCATTGACGAGACCAATCCGGACAAGCTGCGTAGTGCTAATGGTAGTGGTGCCGCCGGGCGCATTTTGAGGAGCGACACGGCAACTACGGGACTACGCCCGGAGCAAAGTGCTACTGCTACATTTTCCTCGGCAGGCGGAAATGCGAGCACCGACCCGTTCGCCCTTTCGGCGGCGAACCGGGACGCGATCGCACACACGCGGGACTACCTGGAGGCGCAGCGAGAACGGCAACAGGGGCGCAATAATTTTCTGTCGGGGGGCCAATCGATACGCCTGGACCCGCAGACGCTGGTGACGCGGACAGCCAATGCGCTGGACCTCGCCTACAGTAAGGCCAACGATTACCAGTGCTGGGTGCAGTTCCTCGAGAAGGCATACGCCAAGGCCCACGGCTGCTACCAGGCGATATCGGGTGGGGAGGTCGCCGAAGCTTTTCTGGACCTGACCGGCTGCCCCACTTTGGCGTTCTCGTTCGACGACCGGAATCACAATAGCCGGTCTTTCTGGACTATCAAGTGCAAATATGTCTGGGTCTGGAAGAATGCAAGGCTTGTCATGCTTGTCTGGCATGACCAATAATGCTTGTAATGCATAACCCAGTATCACAGATTTTTGGAAGCCGTCTTGATGCCATTTCCGCATGACAAATGCCCTCCTCGCGTAGCACAAATGTGGCTCCTCTTGCTGGCCATGCACTACAGATTTTTTTAGAGTCCAAAGTTAGCATCACAAGTTCCAACTTTCCAGACACAGACACTTTTGCATTTGATATGGACCCAGCTGCGCGGGTTTCACGCCAAGAAACTGCCGATGGGCTGCGGTACCAGCGGTGGCGGCCGGGGGCAGCTCCGGGAGGTGGGGCTGGTGGGCAACCACGCCTATTCCATCCTGGAGGTGCGCGAGTTCCGCAACCTGCCCGACCCGAGCCTGACCCACGGGTGCGGAAATGTGAGCGGGTTCGGCGCCGACGGGGTGCTGCGGTTGCTGAAGATTCGCAACCCGCACGGGCAGGGCGAGTGGAAGGGCGATTGGAGCGACAAGTCGGCGAAATGGAAGCAGCTGGCGCGCACGCTGGATCTGGACCGTGCCAGTCTGGATCGCAGCAACGAAAACGATGGCACGTTCTGGATCGACTACGACCACTTTCTCATGGGCTTCAGCAACGTGGACGTCTGCCTCGCGTTTCCCGGACTGCACGCCAAGAGCTTCGACACGAATTTTCCCGCGAAAAAGGCCACCTTGCGGGGTATGCACGCCTTCGAAGTGGTACTTCCGCCCGAGAGAAGTGGTCATGCGGCTTCGGGCTCATCTTCTTCTACCTCCGCACAGTCCTACTTGCAGGAGGCCGTGGAAGTGTACGTAATGGGGATTCAGAAGACGCGCCGCGGTGCCTGGGCCGGGCGCGCGGACCGCAAAGTTTCGTATAAGCAGTGCGACGTCGGTTTTCTGGTGCTCACCCCGGTGCGAAGAACTACGTCCTCGGGCGGCCCAGAGGAGAAATCATCATCTTCATCGATGGGGAGTAAGAAAAATGTGATTCCCTGGTACTGCGATCCCGCGAGGTTTCGCGTTTTCGGAAAAATGCTAGGGCAGCGCCGCAACGGGCACACGCACTTTCGGCTGGTTAATACGAGTGGTACTACTGCTGGGGCGTCGAGGAATTTTGTCGACCCCGTCCACGCAATGGCAACCCAGGGCTCGCCGCCCCGGGGTCCAGCTGCACGATCATATTTACACGACTCAAATCCTTTCCGAGATAGTGTGTGGAGCGGAAGTGGCGGTCCATCTGGTCATCCTCTGCAGGGTGATGTTGGCAACATTGGCGACACGGACTTTGACCGCGCAGTCGTCATTCCCGTTTCGTTTGGTCACCCAGCAGCCACAGACAAGGAACTCTCCTACGTCGTTCGCTTCGTCTGTTCGGGCGCGGTGCAGGTACGTCGGCTTCCGGTGCTTCCGGACTTCCGGGCCCCGTTGCAGAAGCTATCGAACTGAAAAGTTGTGCCCCAGTGCCTGTAAACGTGAACTGACCACGAGTACTTGATGTAGAAATATCGCCAGCAAAGACAAAAACTCGGGGCCTCATTTTGTATATTCATCGGCGGCGAATGCGATAATTTCTGTTGCTGACGTCGGCATTCATTAGTGCAGCTGAAGTTCTTTCCATTCAGATCCGCGTGAGGACAAACATTATCAGGCCTCAGCATTCGTTCCTGGGCGCGCGAGGGCAGCAACTTTTTTAGTTTGATAAGGCTTCTGCCTCCTGCAGGAAAACCTGGTGCGCAATGTGGTTCTCGACGGCGCGCCGGCCTATCGCGTTTTGCTTTGCCGACCTCGTGTAGCGAACACCGCGTTTCTTTACCTGATGGTGGGCGATGATGGAAGGAGAACTGCGCAGGACGGCGCTGCCAATGCCAAAATCCATCTATCAGGTAAAAATAATCTTGATCAAGAACCAGCCTCTCAACAACAAGGACCACTATGCCTGTCATTCCGCGTAACCGCTCTGGTTCGAGGTATGTCCTGCCGCACGTCCGCCGGACTGATAGCGCACAAGACGGTGGAAAACCAGGAGCGCGAGAAGTTCAAGGCGGTGTGGAGGCGGTACGAGGCAGAGTTTGAAAATGAGACCAAATCCCGGCTGCTCATGGTCTTAGTGCAGTCCGGTATGGATTTCGAGCTCGGTCACGTTTCTTGCCATACTTTCCAGCCGGCGCAAAAGCTCGGCTCCCTGCCTAAACTGGTGCTGCAGCTGTCTTCCGCTTCTTCCGCCTCTTCGGCTTCGGAGCGAGACGAGGGACTGCGGGATAGAAGTGACGTGGCGGCGCCCCCGCCCCCGCAGGTGGTTGGTCCTTCCGGCGAGGCGCAGTCAGCGAAAGGACCCCCTCCTCCTCCTGCTGAAAACCAACAGGCAGCAGCGAGATCCCTGGAAAGCATCGAAGCGGACGCCAAGTCTCGGTTCCAAAAGCTTGCGGGAAGGCGTGCGGGTGGGACAAACAATGACAGAGATATGAAAATGGAGAAGCAGAAGTTTGCAAATTTGATGGACTTTATGCCATCTTCAAAGCAGGCTACGAACAATGCGCCGTCAGCTTCATCCAGAAATGCAGGTGCAGCCAAGAGAAATGCTGCGCCCGCCACAGTGGGGCTGCAGCTGCACGACCCCAGCACCGCACCCACGCGCGGAACATCAAAGCCGGAACATCAAGCTGCGAGTACGCATGGTGGAAAACAAGTTCCTCCGCAGGTGGTAGAGCTGTCCGATTCTTCTGCGGATTTATCTTCCCCGGACGACGACGACGACGACGATGATGCACAATTTCGTAATGCGCCAGCATCAGCGAGCAAAGCTGCAGGCCACAGCAAGAACAACGCGGGAAAAACAAATACACTCAGCTCGTCGACAACAGCAAAGACCACTCCCGTGACTAGTCATTTTTCGTCGGCACTAAGAACACACGAAGACGATCCTGACTACAGCCAGCGTGGTGTTTTTGCAGCAACGGACAATGTTGTGTCGCCGTCGGATTGGCAGTCCTTACCGCTGATGGGAATAACTACTGGCAATGTTCTTGCATCAATATCAATGAACCAAATCGAGGACGACGAGCTGGCGCAAGCGCTGGCAGCGTCGCGGGGAGAGATCGATATAATACAACCCGGCGGTCAACAACACCCAGCTATCGAGCATCCTTCCCTGGATTTCGAGTTACAGCAGGCCCTGGCGCTCTCGCGTGAAGGCGTAGATGAGGCCCAGCGGAGTGAGGAGCAAGATTTGCAGCGGGCAATGCAGGAGAGCTTGCAGCAAGCGGGTGCAGGTAGCAATGATGGTGCACCGGGCGCGCCAGCGTTAGTACCGTCAGTGCCCCCATTTGCAGATGAAGTAGACCAAGATGCGGCTTTGCAGGCCGCCCTGGCGCTTTCGGCTGCCGCAGCTAGCGGTAGTGGCGCCAGCACCTCTTCGTGGATGGCACCGGCAGCCGGAATCGTCACACGCGACGACGATCTGGAAGCTGCGCTACGACTTTCTTTGCAAGAGACAACATTGAGTATTCAACCCCAGCCGGGCGCGGCGGGCGCGGGTGCAAGCACGAGCAGTTCATTTTTGCATGTTGTGCAGCAGTCGGGTGGAGCAACATCAAGCACCTCCGGTGGTACAACTAGAAATGTCGCCGTACCAGTTCCACCACCTCGTCCACCAGCGAATGAGGTGATCGAGTTGGATTCAAGTAGTGAGGAGGGCGCGGATAATCATAATCACCCACGTGCACAAAAGCGGCGCAAACCGAACTCCACGACCGTACAAGACCAGCCACGACCGCCGGATGGTCCTCTCGCTGCACCGGAGGATCATACGATTGCAGAGCGGCGACGGCGCGCTCAGGAAGCAGCGGAACGCAGGCGGCAGGCGAACATGCGCAATGGGTTGTAGGGAAGTTTTATATATAACGAGTGCTGGCCCACAACTTGAACTTCGCGGAACTGCGGGCAGCTGTCTGTAAAGTGTTTAATAAGCTTCAAGAAGGGCCCAGTAGTACAATGTACAACTTCGTCGAACGCAAATGCAACTAGTACTGAACAAAGCGACACCAGCGCATAATCTTCACGAGTTAGTGGCTTCTAAGCTGATCCTGTAAGCGTGTGGTGCCATGATCGTGACTGAACGTGGGATCGTTTTAGTACATGATCATAATTATCGCACCGTCGTGATTCGAGTTGAGAAAAACGCAATCGCGACGGCATTATCGACAGAAAACTTCGACAAAGGGTTCAGCTTTTGATGTAGCATCACAAATTGAAACTCTAATTCACACACAACACATATGTTGACACATTCGCGCACGTGTCAAATGAACGGTTCCGGCTGGATAGAGCCATGACTTGTTTCCACAGAAAATAAAACTGGCACTTACACTCGCGGTTTCTCAGAAAGAGGAAACTACTGGAAAGGCCTCCCGCCCTAGTCTTACTTACATCAACAGACCACCTGTGTTGTAGCAAAGTCGGACTTCTTGTTAGACGACTTTTTCCTTTTAGTTCTCGTTGAAATGACTTGCTGACATGGTATGCAGTGATGTAAAAATAATAGCACCGGAAGTACTGGCCGCGTGCTCTTCAGCCAGCAGCTAGCCTGAAAAATAAGCAAAGATCCATTTTGTCTGAAAAGTGTTTACGCTTTAGGTGAAGGAGCCCAGTAGTACAACGCGAAGCTTTGTCACTGAAAAGGCCTCCAGAAGTTGTAGATCAGACGATCATATCCTGTGCAAAAGTATCGTACTCGTACTGTAATCATGCATTACAAATCTTTTTCCCAAGGGAAATCCGCATTACAAATTTTATTCCACAAATTTTATTCCCCATGCTGATGAAGTCTGTAATGCATTTATACGAGTACGATAGTTTTGGTTTTGCAGTTCATAGATCAATCTGCAAACAAAATTGGCCGAACATGTGGGGACGAAGATCGACTCCTCTGCATGTTGTTGAACAAAATAGAGCGCGCCGAAAATAAATTAGTACGGTTCAAAAAAATAAATTAGTACGGTCGTCTCACCGAAGATCGGCGATCGCTATCTTGCTCAAGCTAAAAAATGGGGCGCCTCCGAATTGCCTTTGTCATACGAGTTTGATTTTTCCAGGAGAATCACACCTGGCAAGGGCAGAAGTAGTGTGAGAAATTCGGAGAAGCGAAGTCATGAAAGTGATCGAACTTTTGAAATTAAATTGTATTTAATCGACGAGTCTAGCAACATCGGTGTTTGAGGCGATTAAATATTTTTAATTGTCCAGCGAAACCCGGCGAGGCTTTCGAGCGCATGGGGCTCCGGCTCTGTTTTTCTCAGCCTTGCAGGGACTGGACTGATTCCCATGAGAGACAGAAAAGGCACGAGAGACATTGAGAGCAAAGAACGCAGAGAGGAAAATTAAACAAGAAATTGAAAGTGAATATTATTTTGTCCAGTTCGCTCTGCTACTGCTTTTGCTTAATTTCAAACTTCAAGTATTGTTTTGTTCACCTATCCTACGTTTCCTGGATTCTTGAACCTATAGCATTTGATTTTGCATTGCATAGTAAAAGTACCTGTTATTTCTAACTCTCTTCAAGCATCGCCGGTCCTCGAGGCCGGCTCATCCTTCTTCGAGTAACTAGTTAAATCACAATTAAATCACAAATTTTTTATCACGAACTATAGTATCAATGAGCAAACAAAGGCTCGGGTGTACAATTATTTTCGACATGATCTGTAAGATGAAAGGTTATGGTAAAAATTGCAAAAAAATGACAATCCTGCGTTCACAAAAATCCTGTTGGTCGGCAGGGGTGGCGGTTTTCTACTTATTGGGATCATTTGTAATCTTGTCCATCTGCTTGCAAAGTGGTGGACAGTTGCAAGCTGTTTCGGGGGCGGCCCTGAGCCTTCAAGGAGAACGTGCTACTGCTACTGAACAAGAAAATACTATCATAGGGAGGAACGAGAAGAAACTGAACATTGTTTTTGCCGGCGGCTTTCTGGATACGGAAATGATGCAAGCGATCTTGCCGATGAAGGTGCTAAGCGAGCACTTTGCGGACAAGACGAATGTGTTTTTTCTGAATTTCTCCCCCTTGCTGGCCGCACGAGTGGAAAAAAGTGCCCCCAACGTGGTTCACATTGTCGGCCCGGAAGCGGAAAAAGAGCACTGGCTGGGGGCCCCCGGCAACACGAGGACGGTAACGCCCACCCTGCGACGGTGGCTTCTGCTACGAAAGTGCACCACTCCCCCTCCCACTCATTTGGATTTGTATTGCATAATACCGGTTCTTTTGCATCACTAATTTGATGCACAGGTGGAGTGTCACAGGAGTGTAGTGCTATTTCATTTGGACTGCCAGAACTTGTCATGCAGACAGAGCCAAGAGGAAGAGGCAAGGCAGTGATTACATTAGGTATTTTGCATGACAAATGAGGGGGACGAGGGGGAGTTGTGCACTCTCATATCTGCAGGTGGTGAAGGAGAAGATGGAAAATCGAGTCGACTACTGGATTATCAGATACAAATATGTCTGGGTCTGGCAGATTCTAAACTTGTGATGCTGTCTCTGGATTCGAAAAAAATTTGCATTCCATGACCAGCAAGAGGACCACTCTAGTTTGTGCCACGCGGAGAGGGCGTTCTTTCTCATGCGGAAAAATACTAGCCATTAGTAAACCCTCTAAAGATTTGTGATGCTAGGGCATGCATTACAGCAGACATCATGGGTTTTCATGAAAAATATGCTTGATGACAACCATGGAAAAATAAATCTTCCAGATCCAGATCGAGGTTTGTAGTTGATATGGGTCGCGGACTGGATCTCCCCCTTTCCCGAGTTTGCGTCCGAGACCTTTTCACCCGACCAGGTGGCGCAGTCCGTGTGGTTCGGAAACTCCGAGAAGCACGCGATGAGCATAGATAGCCGGGCGGCAGCGCAGCCGGGGGGGTGGAACGGCCCCTGGCGCGGGCAAAATCGGTACGTCGAGTGGGTGCCGGCCGTTACCGCAGACGCCACGTCCCTCCCCTCCTTGCGAACCGAGGGCGCCGCCGACGTTCACGTTGAAGTAGATCAAGATGAAGGTTTAGTTGGAGCACGCCAGCACAGAAAGAAAACTGCACCGCGTGTCGTGGGGCGTGTTTTTCCCCTACACGACGACGGGGCAGATAGCAGGCCATTTACCGCCTTGTTCTCTTCTACTTCCGGCAAGAAGTTGCAACCGGCCGGTTGGCGCCCGCCGTCAGTTGTTCGTCCCAGAGGGCAACAAGAAGTAGACCATGATCTTGAAGTAGATCACTGTGCAACGTACCAACATCAACCGGACGTTGGGATGCATAAGTACCTGCGCGAAATCGAATTGGCCGCGGACGGGCGAAAAATCGTGTATTTCTCCTTGGGAACGCTTTTTGACGTGGATCAACGCACTTGGGATGCCATCCTTGCGGATTTGACGCGACTGAACGCGACCGAATACTACGTGGTTCTTCGTCTTTCCTTGAAAATGCAAGCTCCAGAGGATGAACAAGCTGCGGAAAACAAATTGTTCCCCAACATGCGACTCGAGAGGAACCTGATCGACCAGGCCGCGTTTCTGTGCTATTTCGGTGCGATGAGCAGGTCGAATGATAGTAAAAATTCCGGAATGCACCCCCGCTTTGTTTTTGTGTCCCACTGCGGAATGTCGAGCGTCAACGAAGCCCTGCAAGCGCGGGTGCCGCTTGTCGGACTGCCCTATCAGAACGAACAAACGCTGAACGCGACGGCTCTCGCGCGCGCCAAGGTGGGCGTCTATGTTAAGAGCGCACACCACATTCTGATGGGTCGTCGTGGTTCTACTGCTGATGGTCGTGGTCCGCAGAGTGAACAAGATGAACTGAACTGGTACTACGAGAGGAACCTTCTTACACCTGATGCGCTTGTGGCTACATCCATCACGGACGGGATCGGTTTGCTGGTGGGTGGTGGCCCTCGTCACGATGGGCAGCCGGTGATGAATTTTGAAAGACTGGAAGCGGCGATGCTCGCCCTGCAAGCAAGGATGCGCGCCGAGGCCTTCGACCCCACGCGTGCCGCAGAGCTCATGTTGCACATTGCGCGAACCAAGCTCAATTGGAGAAAATCCCTACGACACATCGCTCGCAACGAGGACCACGCCGAAGAACTTCATCATGTGGTGCCCACCAGCGGCGCTTCGGCCGCAAGAACATTTTCTTCTGCTGCGACTTCTGCGACTGACCCCTTCGTCAAATTAAAACCCAAGCTGGAGCAAATTGCAGCCCTTCTTGCTTCGCGCCGCAAAAGGAAAAGTCGTCCTCTCACGGAAGAGGTGCGCAGCCTTTTTATTCAAAAGAAAACGAACAGCTTCACAGACAGGCTGACGAGAGGAAAAGCAGGACCTGAGAAGAAACATTCCATTTTAGTAGAGGCCAAGAAAGAAGTTCAAGTAGAGCCCCTGGACACACTTTTCGCCGCCAGCTGCGCGAGTACACACTTAAAGGAAAAAATAGAAAAAGACGCGGATGCTGGATTTGTGGGGGATCTGAACCGAGCTTGTCACGGCTTTTTGAAGAACCCGTCTGAGGTTACTGCCATGTATGGGCAGCGGGACACAATGGAGAATCAAATCCCGAGACGGTTGGTACAGACTGCTTTTTTCAAGGACGAGAGCAACTGCACTCGGGAAGAGTTTTATGCTTTCTTCCAGTGCAAAGACCCGGTGATGAACGAGGGACGGAAAATATGGCAGGCGTTGAACCCCGACTTTGAGCTCGCCTTTTTCAACCTAGACGAGGCCCGGCAGTACCTTTCCGAACACTACCAGCCGCGGGTTCTCCGCGCTTTCGACTCGGTAGAGCCCAACCAGATGAAGTCGGACTTTTTCCGGCTTTTGACACTGTACCGGCACGGGGGCGTGTACATGGACCACAAGATCGCCCCGGTACAAGCTTGGGACGCTATCCTGGAAACGGCCTTTCAGGGAACGAAAAAGTTTCGGAAGCCCTTTGTGGAGTATCACGCCAAAGAAGTGCCGGAAGTCGGCAAAAAAATCTTCGAGAAGCGGCGCTCAGAGATGACATCCAGGCATGATGTGGGTTTCCTCGGCGGTTGTCAAGATTTTGGCTGGATTAACGGCAGTAAAGAAGAAAACCCCGCGGGGATACAGTTCTCCCAGCCCGAGGGCTTGATGAACGCTTTTCTCGCTGCGAAGCCGGGCAACGAGCTGGTGGGCGATCTGCTGTATGTCCTGCTGGCGAATTTGGAAGCGAAATACCACGGCCGCACGCCGTTCGACCCCACTGGGCCAACCGGGCTGTGGACCGCTCTCCTGAGGGCGCCGGAGTTGGTGGTGGAGGAGAATGGAACTACGGGTGCACCAGCGGCCGGTGATCCTCCTGCTCCGATGAAAAGCTTAAAGCTGGCGCGGCTCTCCCCGGAGGAGTGGACGAATGTGTGGGAAGGGATTCCCTCTAAAAAGTTTCCGTTTACAGTTACACCAGAGCTGGTGCCGACAGACGACGACTTGCCGCTTCACCTGGGTCGGATTATCAAATGCACATATGCCTGGGTCTGGAAACTTGTGATGCAAGCCAGGGAATGCAAGTTTTTGAGCTGCTATGTGTAGCGTATTCCGCATCGCAGACTGCGCGTTTGCACCGCAGACAAAACGATCTTTTTGCATCTACGCATGACAGAGTTTCGAGTCATGGCAGACAAGCATGACAAATCTGGCAATCTTCCAGACCCAGACATATTTGCGATGCATACGGATTCCCTGCGAGCAATACCAGGGGGGCGTGGGGTATTGTGAGGAAAAATCCCCCCTCCCCATATCGAAAAGGCGTGCTTTTCAAAATTTGCGATGCTGATTTGTGGTTACAAATCGAGTCTGTCTTGCAAGAGAGCAAAGCCAGGGCCTCCGCTGCATTTCGCAGCCGATTTGTAATGCTGCTACGCTACGAGGGAAGACGTCTGCCATGCTGAGTACCTACACCAAGCCACACCTTTCCGGGCTTTGTATGTATCTGTCTGCAGTCCTCCACCACAACACAAATTTGTGTGCGCAAATCCTGCATCACAGATTTCCATTTCGATATGGGGAGGGGGGATTTTTCCTTTTGATATGGGGGGCGCGGCCTTTATCCTGTTTGACATTAACACTAATACCTGGTTCGCGAATCGCGGCGACGCGCAGAAATTCAAGAGCGGAGACTTCGATCATGATCCAGTGCAGATATCAACAGCAAAAATCCGCCCTCCTTTCATCAAAATGGAAATCTGTGATGCAGATTTGTGGCCACAAATCAGCTCAATGCAGAATAAACGAAAAAAATTGTCTTGCAGAATAAACGAAGTGGAGGTGCATGCTAGGCCTGTTTGGGTTCCTTGAAAGATGTCTAGCTCTTTCGCGTGAAGTACGTTGCTGCTGTAGGCTAAAACGCATTTTTACATAATATGGAATGGGGTCATATGGCCTGCTCAGTGTGTCGCCTCGCTTTTGCTTCCCAAGTAAGTATGCAATGCAGAGGCATTTGCGCCGTGCACGACAAATCAGCGGCACAGCCTTCCTTGTGGTCCACGTTTTCGATGGGGGGAGGGGAAATTTTTCCTTTTGATAGCAGAAGGCCAGCCTTCAGCTCGTAAAGAAGGTCTGGAAGGGAGGCGCCGGGGAAGGATGGAAGTGCACCAACAGGAGGGACGGGTTATTTGCAGGGAATGGCAGCAAGCGAGTGCGAGAGCTCCGCGGTACCAACTACGTGGAAATGTGGAACAACCGGGGTTTTTACAAAAGTGAAGATGCTGAAGTTGTACTTCCCGCTCCTCTTTTTCCCGCTTACAAAAGAGAAGACCGACAACTTCCTCAACTCTTGCCAGCTACAGAGCCGTATCCTGTGCAGATGCAGGCCGCGCGGCAAACTTATCAAATGCAAAAATGTCTGGGTCTGGAACAAAGGAAATTGTCATGCTAAATCTGAATCATGTAAAAATCTGTGTTGCATGATTACCACAAGCTGTCCACTTTTGACCTAAAAATCCAGAGGCAGTTTCTCATGCAGCAGGATAGGCCGCATGATAGAACTCTCACAGATGAATCTGTCAAGCTATGTCCTACATACCAGACCTCATGGGTCATGGAGAACCTGCGTGACAAGTCTGGCACTGTTTTAGTTCCTGACATTTTTGCATTTGAGAAAACTGATTCTAGCCGCCCAACTTGCCCACCCGAGGCACCGAAAGTGTATGTCTATCCTCTTCTATGCAAGAAAAAAACTGTGTAAGTGTAACTCTGTAATGCAGAACATGCAACAGAGTTACACGTGTCATGCCAGACACCCATGAAGTCCTCTTTTCCTGTGTATTTTCCCTTACAACCCACGCATGACAGGTTTTCTCTGTCATGTAGAGCAAATTTGTAATGCTGTCAACCAAAGAAAGTTACACTAACACAGTTTTCTTCTTGGATATCTTCCGGACAAGGTGCAGTTGCCGAATGGGCGTACGATCGTTTGGCGGGAGGACGCTTACTGCGAAAGAGCGCATCCGTCTGGCTCGGCCGGGGAACGCGATTGTGTTTTTGGTCCGGAGTTCTCAGTCACGATCGACGCTGCACTCGTCCCGCTGCAAGAAACGACGAAAGTGACGCTTCGCAGCACTGACCAGTTTCGCATGGGCCGCATCTTCCAGTCGCGCCTGACGCGCACGGCTTGCCAAGTGGCTGATGCTACACACGCCGATGTTTTTTTCGTGCCTATCTGGCGTGAGAATTACAAGCCCGACCCGGCCGAGTGCCCAACCGCAGCGGAAGTTTTGAGGGCTCTCCCCTACTTGTCGGATAATACGGCGCGCCAGCACTTTCTGATGTCTCCGCGAGTCGGGGGGCTTTCCGGCGATGATGTCTGCGATTTTTGGAAAAGCGACGAGCCGCTGATTCAGAAAATCAGAAAGCTGGCCCTGGAAGACGAATATGCTCTCGGGGGGAATCGGCCGGAGCGTGCTATTCCGTATCCGACCCTTGGCGCCGGTTTGACCAATACGCAACTGGATCACCTGTTCACCATCGTCGACGCAACGCAGCAAACCGGCCGCCCTTCTCTGGTCATGGCCGCACTTGGAAAACGGGCTCCTGGCCATGCCGCTGCGGGCGTCCGCGACCTCTGGAATGCACAGTGCAGGGACCACAGCGACGATTGCGTTGCGGTGGATCCCACGGTGGAAGGCATGCTCCCAGGGTTGGTCAAAGCCATGCTCCGTTCCACGTTCTGCCTGCAGCCGGAGGGAGACACTCCCTCTCGCAAGGGTATGCTGGACAGCTTGGCGCTGGGGTGTATTCCAGTGCTTTCGTCCGAGAAGCAGCAGAAGCTGTGGCGGTGGCACCTGGGAAATTATAACTGGAAGGACTTTTCTGTGCTGGCGCCAGGTTCTTTGCTGGCGCCAGGTTCCTCTTCCACCACCGTGGTCGAGTTCCTGCGCGCGATAGGCGCGGACACAGTCAAAGAACTGCAGGCCGCCGGACGGATTGCGCGGACGAGGTTCCTATCGAATGCAAATCTGTCTGGGTCTGGGAGATTGCCGCGAAATAATTAATTTGTCATGCTTGCGTGGCATGCGCATGACTCTGAACAAGGCTGGAGTGCGTGGTCGCAATGAAGATCTCCTCTTGCCTGTCATGCAAAAACGCTGTTTCTCATGCGGAGTACGCAACTGAGAACCATGGAAAAACTTGTCATGCTTGGCAGCACATGACAGTGCGCTCCCTGCTTGGCAGCGCATGACAGTACGCTCCCTATCCCCCTCCTTGCATCACAAGTTCCCAGACCCAGACATATTTGCAGTCGATAGTTCCTCACGCGTTGGTCGGACGCCGACTCCTCGAGCGATGCAATTGCGGTCACGTTGGAAGTATCCTGTGCAGCAAAAGTATCGTACTACTCAGTAGGAATAGCATATACAATTTTTCCATAAAGGAAATAAAAGTAAAATTTGTCATGCTGAATTATGCTAAGAAAGAACCACAGATGTACTGCAATTAGTACGACGAGTACGATACTTTTGCAGTGCATAGGAAGCCATACAGGATGGTCAATGAGGAAGCTGCTGCTCACCAGTACGATTGAGTTATTCATCAAAGACAACACCACATAAACGTAGAGTAATGGAAATTTAAGTTATAGCTTCGATTGTTTTTTTTTATTGACTTTGTGCTCTTCAAAAAAGTTCATTTTCATTTGTTTCCTTATTTGTTATTCATAGCCTGCTAAGTATGTTGATCGCGGCGATCACGCTATATCAGAGCAATCCTCTTGCATGATCGTCGTCATCATATTTAGGCCGTGACTTGGCATCTAGAGCAGTCATTTTGATTCACAAAAAATGTTTACACGGGCTCACAAAAAAATGTCAACTTCGATAGTTGACACTCGACCGTCGGTCTTGTGCCTCCTGCAAAATTTCCATAAACCATACTATACTTCTAGTATTACAATTAAAGACAAAGATGATAAGCCTCTTGACTGAGTGGGCGTAGTTGTATGATCACGATGAAGCACCAAAAAAACAAGTAGAATTGTATGATGTTGAAGCACCAGCGTAGTTGTATGATACACAGTAAAGTACCAAAAGTGGCTTGATCACGATGGATTTTCTAGGGCCTTGAACCTTTGATGCCATGCCCGGGCACGGAAAGAAAGAAAGCACCAAAAAAACAAGTAGAAGTGTATGATGAAGCACCAATGCAAACTTCAAAGTCCTCTCTGGGATATTGTATATAGTACTTTCTTCTGCTCGTTTGAAGCTTAGCAGCAGGCAGCAAGAAAATGAGTAGAGCACGGAGCAACTACTGCTTGTCGTGGTTGTGTTTGACTGGGCGAAGCTGCATTTGGATTTTGGATTTGGATGAGCAAGCTGCAGTTTCTCGTTGATGATGTCTCGCGTCGAAAGTTTTTTTTGCTTCTCACTTTCTCATCGGGTCTAGTGCGAAAACGGCCACTGGGTAATTATCTAACCACTCTAGTGCGATGCTCTAGTAAATCACTATTTTTCACCTCAGTTCCGGTTTCTCAGTCGCGAGGAGAAACTGCCATGCAGTTCCGCCGCTGCACGATGTACGATGTTCACCAGTCGCTTGAGGATACTTGCACTTGGCCCACGTCGCGGGACCGCCCGCTGGGAGCTGTCTGAAAAGTGTTTAAGCTTTAGGTGGAGGAGCCCAGTGGTACAACGCGAAACTTCGTCGAACGCAAATGCAACTAGTACTGAGAGAAAAAGCGACAGCGCATATATCACTTTTTTAGTTCGTGAAAATAGCCGTGCGTGGAAACTGCGAAATTTGTTTCGTCGTGTCTGTAAATTGTCGGAAAATTAAAAATCATAGTTTTGACAAAATCATAGTTTTTTTCAATTTGAAGCACACCATCGTGATGTATTTCCAAGCACGCATTTCCACCGTACCCTCGGTATTCGAAAATCATTTGAAACACATATTTCGTTGTTAGTTTCTTTCGAGTTCGTCACGAAACACGACAGTATGCTCGCTTTTTTTTCAAAATTTTGCGACTGTGACGAGCGCACGCAAGGTAGTATTTTTCATGTCAATTTAATAGACAAAAAATCGAGCGTGCCGCCGTGATTCGTCTCGAACTGTAAAGGAAAACGAGCACTTTTTCAAATTTTTCGCTGTTACAACGGCGCTATACCAATCTGTCGGTTTCTAGTTTTACTTGTTTTCCCGACATCAGCAGCACGCGTGTACAGAAGAGAGAACAAGTGCAGCACAACTTCACACAAGTTTTGCTTTGTCCAAAGTAAGAAAGATGTTGTCTCCGTTTCTCCTCGTGTCCCTCGTGCTTTCTTACATCGGTGTGCGCCACCCTCAATATGGCAACGTCCGCAGTCTAATGGGTCGTGTTGCGACGGATAATTTGGACAACAAGCTGGCGCACCCAGAAGGTCAGGACGTGGCCCGTTCCGCCCGGGTTGTGTATCGTGTGCGACGGCAAAAAAAGCGTTGGAATCGACGTGAAGAAGTTAATATTCGAGGGTCACCGTCGACCTCTGCACGCGGAGCAACGACGAGTCAAAGAAATCCAGAAGATCTTCTGGCGCCAGAACATAATTCCAGAACTTCTACCTCAGCGTTGAGCGACAGCACCAGTACGGAACCATCACCTCCTCTACCAGTTAAAATTCCGGAAACGAAGAAAGTGGAACAGAGCATTGCGACAGATGTAGTTCTCACGACAGCAACAACGACTAGATCGAACCAATTTAACATTGCTACTCCGCCTTCACGGCCTGCACACGCGCGGCCTGAGGTCGTCTTTGAGCCACTGATTCTCTCTCCAGCTGCCGCGCCATCGTTGGACCAAAACCGCAGATACCAGCTGGATGGTTGGTATCGACAAATTTCCGCCATGCTGCCGGAGATTCCCAACGCTGTGTTTCGAGCATTGCAACAGGTGAATAGTAGAAATAATTCGCCCTATCATAATCGTCGTGGCACAACTCCACACGAGGACCAGCAGCCGCCACTAGTTTTAGACATCGGCGCGAACGCCGGCGCGTTCACCGGGCGGATCCGTGCCATGTGCTATCCACTGCAAATACTGGAAGGGTGTAAACTTGTCATGCAGGTTTTTCATGACCCATGACATGATGTCTGCCATATATGATTTAGCATGACAGATTCTGCGCGACCTCTACCATGCCTCGCCTGCATTAGAAACTGCCTCTCAACTTGGTCAAAAGTTGGCAGCTTTTGCAAATCACGCAACACAGATTTTTGCACTATCCAGAATTAGCATGACAAGTTCCAGCGTTCCAGACCCAGACATATTTGCAATGCATATGTGCCCCACCTGCCGGATCCTCGCCTTCGAGTGCGTGCCGGAGTACGCCGCGTATATCCGCGACTCCCGGCGGTTCGACAAGAATCTGCACGTGGTGCCTGCTTGTGTGTCCGACGAAACCGGCGAGACCAGTCTGTTCGTAGCCAGCGACGGCAACCTCGGTTGGAACACGATGGTGCAGGAGCAAACAAAAGGGCAACGCATGCGGGAGGTAAAGGTGAAGCAAATCCGGCTGGACGATCACCATGTGCAGGCGGCGTTGGGACTTAATGACCACGGGGGAGGTGAGGATGGAATGATATCATCATCATCATCATCATCATCATCGTCCTCGGCAGGAGCGTCTACCTCCGTAAAAATGCGTAATCATCTGCCAGCGCTGATCAAGATCGACACGGAGGGAGCTGAATACAAGGTGCTGCGCGGGATGCGAAATTGGCTGCAACGCGGATTCGACCTGGCCAGAAAACAAGCGAGTGACGAGCAGGGCTCTGGTGCAACATCGCAAATGGTTAACATGCCGGTCTTGATGGTGGAATTTGGTTGGGGGGTGCGCGATCACCCGCAGAGGGACGCAGAGCTGGAGATGTTTGACTTCTTGACGCAGAATTTGCAGTATTCCTGCACGCCGGATTACCGAACCGTGGCGAAAACGCAGGACCTGGTGTTTCTACCGCCGAGCAAGTACAGTGGCGGGAGCAGATAAGTATGAGGTCCAGTTTTCATTGAAATTTGTTTCTGAGTCGATCATGCACATGCATTGCACGACCACGATGTGAAGCGTACTTTGTTCAAAAGGATTCTGTGCGAATGGACGCGAAGTCGATCCGCTGTGTGCCGTACGGCGAAAAAACATTAGACGAATTTCACTGCAGCAGACTTTTCCATGAAATGGTGTATAAGTGGTAACAGCGATGAGATCCTTTCAGCCACCGACTTTGAAAGTTGTGTGCTTTCCGGCATATAGTTTTTCGACGGATGGCTCACAGTAGAGATTCTAGGTTCGTAAAGAGCTGAGATGCAGAAAGTAGCCGCGAAGAAAATTTCCGTCTGACCGATTTGTTTCGCCAAGATATCTTTCCCTGCGTCAAATTCAGTAAAGCAAGATCCCGATGCTGATGATCCATGACTGTGCCGTCGAAATAAACATTGATGTGTCTACTGTGCTATCTCGTGCCAGGCCCAGTTTATAACGGCAGCAATCTTCTTGTGCTGCTTTTGGTCATTCACTTTCATTCCGCAGTGAAGTGTAATTCTAGCGATTTCAGTTTCACGAAGAACCAGAAGATCTTCATGTCATTCCCTTCTCTGAAAGTATTCTCCGCAGCGTGGCCGTGGTCGCATTGTTTTTGTCTTCCAGCAAAGTGTTTTCTTCTTCAAAAACACCGGAATAAAAAGCTCTTCGACCACCTCAGGAGCAATCTATGCTTGAAGATCATCACCAGGATCAGACAGCAGCTTCTTGTTCCAACAGGATCAACACACGTAGCAGTCTGTGTCATTTTTGCCGTGCGGCCTGGTCCTCGGAGTCTTTTCGAAAAAGAAAAACGTGTGTGATATTTGCGTAAGTACGCAGAAACTTCAGATCGAAGACATTCGTGTCCCACACAAAATCAGCTCTCTTCTTTTTACATGTGAAGTGCATGTCGTAAACAAAGGTATCTGTATTGTTGAGTACCGCTCAAACGTCTGAACACACCCCATTTCCATAGTGGAGGAAGAAAAGGAAGCACTAGGATACTTAGTTTTCTTCCGAGAACAACCCAGACGCGAGCGGGTTATCAGCATAACATATTTTTTTGACATAATGTCATACATGTTGCACTACCCATAGTACCCATGAAAATAAGTACCCCCCCAATAATGAAACGTATCGGAACCCCCGACCAAAATCAGACGGTACTCCTTGAGCGAGCCGTAGCTGGACTGTGTGGCGTCTGCGCCGCATGGGAGGTGGACGGTGCGTCGCTAAAAGAACGGAACGAGTAGTACAACCACGACCTGGCAGCACATTTGTGTGCAGTAGCTGCCAGAAGAACTACGGTTCGACTCAAACCTGCAGGAAGAGTTGCTTGTGAAGCGTCTTTCACCACATGACATTTTCGTGGATGAAGCCGACGCGCACTGTCCTGCGTGTCGGGGACACGGTGAAGTTCTTCCGCGCTGGGGATACCACCAAAGAGCTCATCGGCGTCGTCCAGGCAGTGACAGACTACCAGGACGAGGAGAATCGGGAGCAACAGCATGATCCCAAGAAGAGTTCTTTCTACACGATCCTGCTCCTGCGCAAGGGGAAAGAGAATGTTGACCCCATCCAGAATTCCCACCGGGTTGACAAGTTGGTTATGGACGAAGCGTTGCGCGCAGGGGACGCAAAAATCAAATCACCGAACAAGCTGGCGAAAGCGGCACTGAAGAAGTACAACGAGGCATGCTTGCAAAAGAAAATCGAGGCAGATGTCGTAAGAGCAGGGAAAACAAGCTCGTCAACTACTACGCATAAAGCTAGCAACGGTGGTAGTTCAAGTGCTTCAACCCAGGCGGGAGTAGAAAACAAGGCAGAACCTCCACGCAGCAAGCCGGTTATTTCAACACCCGTAGAAGCTGCTCCGACAGGGGACCACCTCCAGAGCGAGCAGAATAAGGAACTCGTTGCTCCTTCTTGCCCCCGGTCTCCTCCGGAGCCGCGTTTGCGGATTCTCACGGAGGACACGAGGAAGTTGATCGCCGATAATCCGCTGCACCGAGTGCGCAACGCGCCTCTCTCCGCACTGCGAATACCAAAAAAAGCAGACCTCAGCAAGTTCCACCCGAAGAAGCGGCCCAGCGAAAAGTGGGTAAACGGACCGTTGAAGAAACGCCTGGGACGTGCGAAAGACTTGTTTCGGATATGAAATGCAAAAATGTCTGGGCCTGGAAGAGTCATGCTGTTTTTGCATAACACAGAAGGTCTGGCATGGGAGCTCTAGCATCACAGGTTTCGAGAAGCTTCCGCAATGCCGAATACGCATGACAAATCGCCCATTTTGGTGGCAGAAAGTGGGCAGCTTCTGCTATCTATGCATAAGAGATTTTTCTGTGTCCTGAAATGCGCATCACAAGTGTGTATTCTCCCAGACCCAGACATATTTGCAATCCATATCGGAGTCGGACGAGACGGGGGAAAAGATTAGTGCCGTTGTGGCTTCCACCAAAAAATGTTAGCCAAGATCTTTGGTGGATGAGTAAGGAGGTAAAATTTTTTTTTTGGGCTCCCACTGTGGAACTCGGGCCTTGTTTAATATTTTTTCAGAAAATATAAGCTTCAACATGTTCCAAGTGCTTCTCGCCGCCCGGGCCTATTGCTATTGTTGAAACAAAATAAAACCACAGGATGCCCAGCGCGATAAGACGAGGATGGCGACTGTCGCCTGGGAGTGGGAGAAGGTTGTCCGCACGAACCTTGCTCGCCGCGCGCGACAGGACAACGAAATGCGCAGCAAAATCCTGGGCTACGGGTTGACTTCTGGCCCACAGGCCGCAGAGTTAAAAATGTCCAGCAAAGAGGAAGTTTTGCCGGGGTTTTGTGATACAACTACTGGAAGCAGCAGTATTCGCGCTGACGATTTGGAATGGCAGCTGCCTCCTGTGGAAGAAGAAGAAGACGGTCATCTGCGAAATTGTAGTAAGCAAATTTTTCCAACAAATTATTACAACTCCGCCGGGACGACGAGCAGGAACAATTCTTCTCCCGCCGTCAATTTTTGCTCTTCTTTGTACAACTCTGCAGCAGCTGCCCCTAGTAGCACTTTTTCTTCTTCATCACCTGGTCGTCCACCTGCTTTTTTTGACAAGCACTGGCGCCGTATCAACTGTAAAAATGTCTGGGTCTGGAAGAGTGCGAATTTGTCATGCATATTTTGCATGCCCCAAGAGGTCTGCAATGCAGGACTTAGCATGACAGGTTCTGTGAAGTCTCGATCATGTCTATCCCGCATGACAAACTGCAGCTACACTTGTTCGCACGTGGACGCCTTTTGGTAATCATGCAACACAAATTTCTGCACTATCCAGACTTAGCATGACAAGTTCCAACCTTCCAGACCCAGACATTTTTACAATCCATACGCCGCAAGAATTTGATGGCGGCCGAGCTCGACGGGCGGCGTTACCGGGTAAATTTTGATCGCGTCGCGAACCGCATGCGCCGTATCAAAAGTAAAAATGTCTGGGTCTGGAAACTTGTGATGCTGGGTGGCGTCTCATGATGAGGCTACAAATGCTGGCTCAGCATGACAAGTTTCTGAGCTCCTAGGTGTTGCCTATTCTGCATGACAAACTACGCTTCTGCATCACAGAAAAACGGAGCTCTTGGTTAACGTGCATGACAGATTTAAGAGTCATGCCAGACAAGCATGACAAACATGAATTCTTCCAGACCCAGACATTTTTACACTTGATACGCCGGGTGGGGGAACAACTCCAAGGCGACAAAAAGACGGTGCGGAAGTGGGGAGCGCGGGGCCAGCGGCCGTTTCGGTCTGGTCGCGACGACGACGAAGATGAGTATGACGTGGTGAAGTCCAAGATGGAGCGGGACACTTTGACCGCCCGGGAGAAGAACTGGCACTGGTTTCAGCGGCCCACGCGCAAGCGGCGGAAGCGGCGAGACAGAAGGAAGAAAAACAAGACGCGCTACCGGCGGTGGCTAGAGGAGGAGACGGGGGACAACATCGTGAACCGCACGGGGCCGCAGATCGACACGCACCGCTACGGCAAGTTCCCGGTTTTTACCTACGGCCAGAAGAACGTTCTACGGGACTTAGTAGAGGGGCTCAAGCGGAACAGCGACGGCATTCCGCTGCCCCTGGAAAACGTGGTCGTTTCGGAGAAGACCGGAGCCGTGAAAGACTCCCTGCTGCGGCCGGAGCTCGGGGATATGACCTTTCTGGCCGTGGACATGCGGCGCATGGCGGACGACGCCATCTCCGCGACCACGACGGGGGACGCGTTGCGCGAGTCCGTGCTTCTGGGCAGTCGCAGCACGGCGCACAGCGTTTTTGAAAATCCGCCGCGGCTGCAAGTCTTAGCGGCAGCGGCGGCGCAGTGGTGCAATGTGGAATCGGGTAGCTCCGCTTTGTGTGCGCGAATTAGAGCAGAACAAGAGAGGTTGGATGTGCAGAGTATCCCCAGCGGAGAAGAACAAGGTCTTTGTGCAACAACCACGTCGGGGGATGATTATGCGGTAAAAATAACGGCGTTAAAAACGCGATCTTTTCTGCGACAGACTTCGAAGGCTGCAGCCAAAGCTCATCGAGGAGGACACCAGCAAGCGTCAAAAACCACGTCTACCATGAGAAGGTCATCTGCTTTTCCCACTACTAGCTCCAGTCGTTCTCCTTGTGCCCCGACTCGAAAAGCCGATGGCGCTGTCAAACACAAACAAATTCCCCTCCGTGGGGTCTACCGCATCCCGGGGTTCGCGCAAGGTGTGGAGTTCGAGTACTGCAAAAAACGCCAGATCTACTACCATCGCTGCCGCTTCTCTGGACGATTGCAGACCGCCTGGGGCGTTCCGCCGAGTGTTCTTGAGGCGCGCGGCGAGTGGGGCAAGAAATGCAGTGCCGGCGGGACAAATTTGAATTGTATGTAGTGAGGTCACCGAACGGTTCTAATCAGGGAGTTTTTTTGCCAGCCAGACAGCAAAACGACCGGCAGTTTTCAAGCGGCCGGAAGTGTTTTTGAGCATAAAAAGTTTTCACTTATCAAGCGGCCGGGGCGTTTGCGGCAAACAAGCCCGGTCGAAAACTATCGATTCGCACTTGATAAAACGACGCAGGGGAGCCGGCAAAAGGGGCGCCCTTCTGAGGCGCCCACCGCCTTGGTTTCTGGCGATTTGGGGCGCCCAAAAAGGGGCGCGCAAAAAACGCGCCCAAAATCAGAACAGCGAAACAGCATGGCACGGCCGCGATTTCGGAGCATTTTTGGCGGCCGCGAAAGCGGCGGCCTTTTCGCCGGTTTCAGAGCCTGGGAAGCTTTGTGAAAGCGCTGGCGTGAAAAATAAAAACGCGAAAAAGAAAAAGCACCCCAGACGCGCGAAGCCAATCGGCATGCTATGGGCCCGATTTTTCTTCGCTTTTTGGGCGCCCCCCGTGGCACCTGGATCGGCCCCATAGCATGGGGGCTGGCCTTCGGAAAGGAATTTCGGTAATTTGCCAAAATTTGCGACGTTTATCAAGCGGCCGCCATACCGTGCGGCCTAACGTTACTCACGGCGGTATGGCGAGCCAAGAAAAAGCAAAGCCGCGGCCAAGGCGACGGCCGGCAAGAAAACGCCCACGACCTCACTACCTCCGCCCCGGCGGCTATATTTGGTATTACCTCGCACGACAAGAACAATTCTT